GGTGGATGATGCACTATCTCTAATTCTACTTCATTTATCCTGAAATATTTTGCAGAAAATTTGCCTGGATAATGCACTAAACAAACACTTGCCTGAATAAATTCATGTTAGAATAGATCGCTTCTGAATGCTTTAAAGCAAATGTGGGTAGTTAAAATTGACTTGTTGCCAAGCTAAAAAATTAGAATAATAATTTTACGCAGTTGGTAGTGAAAAAAAATAGAAGACTCTACCCCTCTACTGAGGTCGTCCGATGCCACCTCAGTTATTCGAAGCAGTACCTGCTTCTATGCCTCTGCCAGATGCTCACCTCTGCTTGATAGGCATCAAGTGCCACTCCTGTCATGCACTTCGGTACATACATAGAGGTGGAGATGAAGCATTTCACCTGGATTTGATGGTGCATGCCATCCTAGAGCCGTGTTTGACGGAGATGGAAAGTGTGAAGAATGCTGTTACTGTGCCTCACCAGCATACACACGCATAAGTGCCAACTTTGCTATGAGGTGGGGTGGTAATTGGCCTCGGGAATGAATGCTCGATGGCCCCCGAAACACTTTTACACACACACACGCTCGCACCTACGGTAATCGCCCTCACGAGCTGCTGGGGCTCTTCACACCTGGGTGGTCGGTGGTGCTTCGTGTGAACCGATCCCCTCCAATGCTGTTCAGTTCATTAAGAACACTAGAAGCACTCAAATAGCATGAAGCAAGCAGATGTGTAATTCTGACTGCAGAATGCAAGGTCCTGTAAGGTGACTTGGAATTAAGAGCCTCATCATCTAACAATCCTCTTTTTTAGGGCATGGCCAGATCAAAACTGGGAAAGATGCCTTAAAATTTTGTCTTAAAATAATTGTAGAGTACTTGTAAAAGATAAGTTTGGATTTACAAGTTTTTTTTCATACACATATATGAAGCAGTTTACCTTCACCTTACGTGCCATTGGATAGATTTGGGTAATCCCAGCAAAACATAGGAAAAATAAATCACCATAATGCGACTAAATTCTAGATCATGCGTGCTTAACACAATTGCGTAGTTTATCAAGATTTCAGTAAACTGTTTATTATCAATGAAACTTGCTTTGAAATAAATGCGATTTTTGTAGAGCCCTGAAGACGAAAGCGGATGTGATACATGGGTAGAACTGCCGACGTACATAAGGGCTGGGGGCCGCTGGCATGGCCCTGGAGGCCAGGTCGATCAGAGTGACCTCTACCAATACCAAGAGTCAACTAAACAACAGATGTATTACATTTATAGTCGAGAAGAATGACTTTGCTCTGGAACCGACTATATATTAACCGGGGTGGATCAGAAAAAGGCAAACTGGAGGAAGTAATTAAGTGTGTTGCATTTCCAAATCAATTGCCAAAAGAAGTTTGAGTAAACTTGAGGTTAAGATTTTAAAAAGTCAGTCTTACATACTTCTAACTTAGCTAACACACTGGTTTTACGCTGAATGAAATGAACTTAATTGTACACACCCTTGCTAAAAGTTCACTTGTGAATTACCAGGTAAGTAAGCTGGGTAGCTTTCGATGCGGCTCTCGAAAATGCCAAAACGACTCACCGAGTGGATGTTACTTCAAAGATTTGCCCGTTTGTACTTTTCTACTGGGGCATACTTTCGAATTCCTTCTCAAACATGCTGCGTATAATTTTACTCACGGTCTCACAGAAAAGAGCACCACATCAACTGAAGGTGCGCCGTCAGTTAGGGGCGCTTCAAATAAAGATCTTAATAAAAGCTAAATTTCATCTGGCAAGCGTCGTCTTCATTTACCCGGTAATGCGGATCAACGAGCCCACAATGCTCACTTCTTCAGTATCACTTGTAAAAATACATATGTAGATAAATGTTTTTAACATTTTTGTACTAACTATATGGGATCTCATGTACTAATGTACCCATGTACTAATTTCAATTTCCCTCATTTGGAATTTCACTAAACAGCACTGGAAGTAGTTTTAGAAGATTTGGAAGGTTTCAGCTATCAAGGGGTGATCTTCGCCGTCTTAAAGACACAAGTATTGTTGCAAAAGAGCTGGACTTACATTTAGACCTGGAACAAGGTTGGAAAATGCGCTCATGAACCTCGGAAGCGCAGAGCTGTCGCCTACTTAAATTTGTTTAACACTTAAGCATTTTGGTCTGCCTATGAATCCACGTTTTTCAAGTGGTAATTTCAAAAGATGAAATGCAGACAGATGAAAAGGCATTCATCGAGATGAAATTTTAGCAATCGTTCTATTCAAAATAGCAACATGGCTCCTTCTTCCTAAAGACTAAAAGTAGTAGATTTAATAACAATTTGATGGGTGTAAAGGCCCCTAGTTGACACACCAATGACTAACGTTTGGAGGCGGCTGACAAATTATATAAGGGTTTTCGTCCCATCTCCACTTCGTTAAAGTGATTTAATTTTCTTTTTAATGTTTAGACAAAATTTAATGTAGCGCCTCAACACTTCTCTAAAGACTAAAGGGGGTATGTGGCCTTTTACCAAAATTAAGATTAAAACAAACAACTTAAGTATTACACAATTCCTATCTTCTTTTGGGCGTCGTCCACGGCGCTCCCCATGGTTAACCTCTCGCGTTAGCCATCACAACGTAAGCGGTGCTGCAAGGAAAAGTACCCACGGACCGCCCCTGGCAGTCGTCGAATTTCACGCATCTGAGCAGACACTTGGCCGTTTGGGATCTGTATTGGGAGGGAGGGGAAGTGAAAATGTGCTGACCATCACGCGTGTCCATAGCCAGTCGTAGGAACAATGGCATAAAAGCAGTCACACAATAAGGGAAGGAATTCAAATTCAAATTCCGTGGGTGTGGGTTTTCGCGCCTATTCTTTCTTGTCACGCATGTCTCACTTCAGTGCTGCCCAGCCATATCTATGAGCTCCAAGCAGCTAGTAGAGAGGATGACGAGGTATCACCTGTTTATATATGTGACAGCTTTATAAATGTACGACAGGAAGCTCGTAACGAACTTTGTTGGATGGTTCACGGCTAGTGTCGCTCGCTACAATTGTTTATAGCTTTCCTGTAGGGTACGGGATTGGGGCAGTAGTCGGAGGTAGACTTTATTTTAGGCCCTTCTATAATGGGTAGTCACAGATTCTCCCATCCACAGCATGTGTTCTTCTTCCGTCACGTTAAGGTTTACCACTCATCAGTAGAAATCGGGATGGTTGTCTTTTAAGATAGGGATTGCTTTCCACTGCCACTAGCGTAGCGTCCCGAGACTTCTCTGAAGACAAATAAGGCCTAATACTCTGGCAAAATAGGTATTGTCGACATAAAGAAGGAATTGGAGCCACTAGCATGGCTCAACGAGAGAGAAAAAAGTTACTTCTTGCCAAAACAGAGAGTTAAATAACCAACAAGTTACATATGTGAAAGATGCAATAAAGGCAAAATGGTATCCTCCATGCCACCAAATTACAAAAATAAATTTGCCCGCCAAGGAATTGGCCGTAGTGTAGAGCTCTGTGGCTTCCCTGAAGACAAAAAAAGACGTAATGCAGAATATGTTTTGTTGAAGTGCAGGAGGGATTAGGGCTACCGGTAAGGCCTGTAGGCCAGTCCACCCGACAGAGGTGCAGTGGCGGAGCCTCCAAGTTGTCCATTACCCAAACAGAAGGTAAACAAGCAATTAACGTATTACACTGTATTACCGACGTACAGAGGGACTGAGAGGCTACTGACATGGCCGAGCAGCAAAGCTAACAATCGGAGGTAGTCTGTGGCGATTAAACTCCTGCGCGATCAAACGCGTAGTTAAACAAACCATGCAAGCATTAAAAATCCGTTGGGTGATGCTGTCGTTTTGAGCTTATGTACAACGGTTTCAACCTGTTCAAATAGGCACTTCAATGCTTGCCAATTTTCCCTACAACATTTCAGACAAAAATCCACCTGTAAGCAGGTGATTATTGCTTCTGTGAGGACATTTGTATCATTGTGACTAGTTAGTAACGTGGAAGTAGTATATTCCACAAACCCATTCATTTACAAAATTAATTCATATTTACATTTTGAGCAAATTCACAAATAAAAAAGGTCACTGACATCTTTATCGACATTATTTTTGCTTCAGGAGCCTTAAATTGCCTACTGCGTAGCTGCAAGATCCGTAATGGTAAAATGAGCGTATAAGTTACTTTATTCACTCCTCTTCCCTGTCATTAGAATTGTATCAGATTAGTTTGGTGCAAATCAACGAATTTGCAGTGGTGGCATATTAATCCACTCCGTTTGAGACTGCCAGGCAATATCGTGTATTTTAATAAATCGGTGACTTCACATAAAACGTGTGCTATATGCAAAACACTTTAATACAAAATCAGCAGAATACTATCTTAAATACGAAAATATGATTGAAATTTGCTGATAGAAAAAGGACGTTTCTGCGTTTTAAACGGCCACTCTGTCAAACTTGGAGCGCTGAATTTGGGCTCGGAGACTCCTTTTGTTCATCTTGTAGGGGTTAGGGAGACCCGCGTGGACGGTGGAGAAGTGACGACCCAGATCCCAGCTCCACTTGTAGCAATTGCTGCAAATTATACACGTGTATGGCCTCGAGTTGGCATGCACCACGATGTGCTTCTGCAGCTCCGTGGGCCACTTGGCGCAGTAACTGCACCACGGACAAACATGACTCTTGCGTGGACTCTTCTCCGTCGTCCCCACCACCAGACGGTCACACGTCTTTGTGGGCAACTGAGACTGGCTTTGTGATGCATTACCCGATGTGGTCTCCACCGGTGAAACTTCCGTCTGGGTTTGGGGTTGATCGCAGAAAAGGCGTCGCTACAAAAGCACAATGGTTGCCAATGTAAGGCAAAATCATCGGTTTTGGTGTGGTGGTTGAGGTATTAGTATTTGCACAAAACCCTAATGCATGCGATTTGAACTAAATAATGTCGGACATTTGAGATTAAGTTGGGTACTAGTATGCTAACATCCTTGTAAAGCACTGGAGGATTCAAAACTCTTCAGTGCAGGACAGCACGATATAGTGCGACCAATTTACTTTGGAAAAGTCATTAACAGGTTAGCGGTACACACCTAGGAAGTATAATCCCTGATGTCGCGTGGAATTCTCTGAGACACGTTTCTAAATTGGTTGTGATCTGTTTTGGAAATTAAGTCGATAGAAGGATCTCTTTCAAATGACCAATTTTTTATGCAGTAGCTTAGCTCGTTCCATTTTACAAAGGAATTTCCAAACAAAGTAGTTTTATAAAAAACACTTTCTAAAAAAGGGTATTTGCCGCGCGCTTGAAGTTATTTCAATCTGCTTTGGAAAAAACTTTTTCCCAAACCGTTTTAACCATTGACACTGATTGATTATATTTAAATACCTACAAAATACGTGGATGTCATTTCTTGTAAGCTCTTTGTTTGCTCTTTTTTCTACGCATGGGTAAAGTTGATTTTGCTTACATGATTGGAGGTTTTGTAGCACCTTCGCTGCCGTTTAATAAGTGCAGCAGTCCATTCTTGCCTAAGTAAGTCATGGTGCTTCTGCATGTAGTGCTGGTTCAGATCACTCATCTTACCAAATGGTCTGAAACAGGCGGCACACACAGATAAACCTTTCCATCCCGCTCGCCGCCGCGTCGGTTGCAGTACTGTACGCAAATTTTCCTTGGCCTTCAATGGGACCACAGGTGCTTCACAATCCAGAGATGCGGGGAACACTGTCCACATATCAGGAGTTAGCGCATGCGCTCTGTTTGATGATCGAGGGCTAACACTAGAGAAGTAGGCATTCATATCATTCCGGAGGTCCTACCTTACAAAAGCGGATCTTGGTTTCTGGTCTCGGATGCACAGATTTACAGGGGCCTCAGATGACTGCTTGTCAGGCAGTGTGCTGAAAATGTCTCGGGGACCCTACAACATAGAGCATCTAATGGTTGAAAAAGACTACTTTACTTACACTACTGAGACACTCGTGTATCACGTCGGGTGGTGGGACGGGAATACGAAAGCTCAGAGGAAGCCTCGCCAGGAGGCTGGCATAGCTGTTGGTTATACCGAGGGACTGGCTAAAATCCATACATCACAATGTCGTGGAAAATGCTCACCTCCCTTTTATATCGAGTGCTCCGGTTAGGAGGTGCTGCGAGGTGTGCGTGGCAGTGAGCGCCAAGCCAATGATGTGCCACTGACACTGTGCCTCAAGGGGGGCGATCAGACTGAGGCCTGCTCGCACGACGCGAAACCCACCAATGGGACCGCGTCGCACCAGCACGAACACAAATCGCACTCGGGTGGATGGGTGGCCCTCGCTAGTTGCCTTGGCGATACAATTAGCATTTTTAAGGTGTTCGTTCATGAGCTTGTATGTGCGCCGTGGTGGTGAACGTGCACTAATAAGTACCTCCCTCTGATGAGTTTTAATGACACCTCATTGTCAGCAGACAGGCGGTCTGATGAAAAGAAAGGAGAATTGTGGTAATTTGCATAGGGTTCGCAAGGACACAAAAAAATTATTCATTTGATGATTCAAATTAATTTGTGTGGAAACCTTCCGAGCTCCGAATTTTAATCCGTATTAAAATGAACTTATGTCGGAAATCTTTCCACAAAGGACGTTACAAGGTTTGCCTCTGTTGCATCATTTGTAGACACATCACGGTGTTAACGTACCCCAAAACTTTTGAGAACTCTTCTACAATACCACCGATAACTAATCCAACAATACGTTGGTACAAAGTTGCCTGCAATGCCTTTAGCTGTTTCAGTGATTTCCAGTAAATTCCATTGAGGCGAAATTGTGTTGTAATCTAAAAGTTGTTTAAGGCTGTTGCTAAAGATAAATAACTAGCTGGCGCTTACAAACTTCTTAACCTCGAATTCAGAATCACATTTTTAAAATGGGGATTGCTACTGACAATATTAACCTACAAAATTTCGGTGACAGCGACTCATTCATTTTGAGATTAAATAAAGATGTCTTGAATAATGTCATTCAGCTTCTGACACAGATAAACTCAGTGGCAAATCCCCAAAACTTCCTCGGCAGGTGTGCGTTTCTATTTTAAGACTTTTTGAAGACGTATTGCCAGTGAAGCTGAAGCACCCCAAGTTGCGCGAATGGCATCAAATTATTAGCGGTGGATACACCCCTCCTGAAAACCTCCGAAATGCTACTTAAAAATGGTTTAAGAGTATGACATCCTTAAAACAATGATAGTGTTTCGATACTCCAGCCTTTCCTTGGTGATGACTTCGCAACAAAAATTATTCAAGACTTCATGGCCCACAAAAGATAGGTTTCATTCCATGCTGTGCTACTCTAAACCGGAAAAAAATATAATTATCCGCGGACAGATAATCTTTCATTCCTAATTCACTGTTTAAACTTGGCTACTGTGTTTGTGTCACCATATGATGCAACCATTTACCATAAATAATAAGGAAAACATGTTAAATGTGTGAAACCGGTAAATAAAGTTCTACATTATTGCCATCTTTTCCCGCTCTTGTTATCGATAGACCGGAAATACGAATGTTTGTTTTTACAGTTTCGTTAGAATAAAAAGAAAATTCAGCCTGACGCGATGAGGGGAAGTACCCACAAATGTTTAGACTGACAGGCACGCATTCAGACGCAGACCCTCTTGCGCAATTAAAGTGCGCCCACCTTCGGGAGCATTAAAGTGCGCAGTCATTTCAACTTGATGCATTTTAATTAGTAGACAAGGCAAAAATGTAATCGCATGATCACCCGATAAAAGGTCATTAAAAATCCCGGAAATTGTTAGCCTTTTAAATGGCGTTGGAGCTCAAGCCTCTCGGGATTTTGCTAACAGGATAGTTTATTTGAATCACCTATTCTGTGTGCTTTGATGGGACGATCTGGACATCACTAAAGTGACAAACTTTCAAATGCGGCATCACTCAGCAAAGGTGTTATTACATAGCTGTATGGCACTTCCAGTGCGAATATGGCATACAGTAACCATACCAACGCAAGAAATGAGCCATAAAATCGTCTCTCACCCTTTTTGAATGAAAAAATGTAAAACAGTGAACTAAGTGTACCCCCGCTGGTTCATGGAGCTTCTATCACAAATACTGCTGCAAAACTTCTTTCTAATCCACAAATCTTTTTCAACAATTTAACGTCACCATGAAATCCTATGCTTTAGGCACAAATAGTGTTTGTGGGTAGGAAAGACAAATGTGGGTTACTTAATGGGTTACTTACTGCTCAAATTAAAGCAGATCCAGCCTTGGGTGGGATCACACAAATTGGGGAGAAGAAATTCATTTAAGTGGCTCTCGTGCAAAAAAAATTTAAGTGACGGTAAGAAAGGCTTTGATACTGAAAATAATTTGGTAAAATGTTCAGAAATTTTTATACGGATAAGAAAAATTTAGCGAAAATGGATAGTTTCGAGGACGCTAAAGAAATTGGAAGTGACTATATATTCTAACCTATTACCGTTTAAGTAATATGCCGACATGTGCACGTCAATTTAATGAGTATGGAAGTGAAGTCAGATCCGCGTGTAGTATTTACCAGCCGAATACGACACTGCTGGATAAGGTGAGTGTTGATGAGCTGCGCCAGACAGCGTCAAAATAGACTCAATTGTCTAGTTAATTTATGGTGGTTCATGATTTTTTTGTATGTGTGAAAAAAAAATAATGCCAGTATTTGAAACGGACATTGAGGCGATCACGAGGCAGCTGAAGTGGGCCGATTTGAATGTCCTTAAGGGAGCGCCGATTCAAGTCAACCTTGAATGGTGCCCGAGACTTATCATTGGGCTGACAAACGCCAACTAATACAGTTTTCAACCAATTACAGCTGCTGGATTATACTAATTTTTTTTGAAAAGGGAAAACCTTTGGATTCGTGATTTACTAAACAAGGTCATGCGTATCACGTCATTTCTTCTCATGGAGAAGAGGCAGCTCACCAAAATGACATGAACGCTGTTTTTGTACAAATCTAAATCAATATATTTTAAATAATATTTCTGGCAGAACATCTAGGAGGATGTGTTGAGGAGTTAAATCAAGTGGTATATTTTGGTAAGGCATCAGAGTTGGTTTCACACCTTCACAATGAAATGATTATCTTTTCTTTCCCCATATTAACAAAAAAGCTACAGTTTATATTAATTACCTAAAAATAATTTGAATAATTTTTAGGACAAACCACGAGAAAACCTAAATTTGAAGCGTAGTACCCAATTTCCTAGGTTCAGCTGGCAAAACTTTGGAAACACTTTACGGAAGTACCCCTGACCATTCGATTAGTTCACTTATTTACCTGAGCTTCCTGTATGAAATGAACTTCTTTAATTTCAGACTAACATCAAGTAAGTATTTGCAAAAACTTTTTGTCTGAAGGGCGAGAGCATCAACTTGAGAGTGCAGCAATTCCTGGTTCCATTCACTACCCCCGCCGTATCAATCACATGCGCACCCACCGAAACATTGGAAGCATCCCCTCAAACATCAAATGCAACCGTCGTGTCATGCAGATTCTCGAACACCTCATCGTGGTCACCAATGTCCGTCATGATCTACTGAAGTGTATAGCTAGTGATGAAATCCTACTGTAGTACGTCAATTACTTGTTTAACTCTCGGATTTGGTAACGGATTACTTGGGGGCTCCGCCATTGTACCTCTTGCTGGGCGGCCCGGCCTGTCCTCTGGGCCATGTCTGCAGCCCCCAAACCTTCTGTACGTCGACAGTACATATTCCGCCCGAGTATTATGTCTTCTCCATACTTAACACTTCCCTCAAGAATCGCATTTAAGAGGACAGACTTAGACCTTTAGGAAGGAAGTATATTAATGGGTAAATCATTGTCTTTTTTCTGCGTATGAATTTACTGCTGTTAATTTATAAACAAACATACATGTGTGAACTTGATTTATTACATTTACCTTAGGAGTTAAAATAAAACTGTTTTCCTAAATAAAAAATTTTTTACTCCCTTGATTTTTGAAGATTCATGAAATTGAAGACTGGGTCGATTGGGTAAGTAAAGCGAAGAGCAATGATAAGTAGGAAAGTTAGGTACACTAAAATTAAAGTGCTATGAGAAAAGAGGGCAAACGAAGTGTCATTAATGAAGGATAGGTAATTACCATCTCTGAAGCATTTAAAATTTGCAACTGATTTAACTTGATGGATTTAAGGGAAGTAATTCCTCTGGCATGGTTAGCTTATTATCAATACCTCGAATAAGGCGAATTAACTAGGCCTAGCTACCCGTGTGCTAAACTTTTTACGATGTAACATCTAGAGCCTGGCAGCTAAAGATCCAGTTTCAAATGGCAACACAGATGTTTCAGACAACTGCTTATTTGGTATCGGATTACCTTTCCTCAAAAAGTGTGCTCCTGCTTCTTCAACGTTTCAATCTGTGCAGCGTGGTAGTTTGTGTCAGATAAAAGGCGTTTTTAGGACCACTCGCACCAGCACGCAGACCTTCAGCTGGCAGATGCGAGTGTGTACACGAAGTCAAAGGTCGTTTGATGCGCCGACAATGATAATTTCTGAAGTAGGGTGTGAGTAAGTTACCAGTCGAACCTGAGCTACCTGATAAATGATACAAATGCTCAAAAATAGTATTCTCTTGACGAGTTCACTTTCTCACCGTGTAGGTCCCCAAATATGGATATAATTTGACATCTGCCCAACGTCCCATCAATACATGAAGCACAAAACACCGATTCGTCTATTTAAAAAATTGGTTTAGAAACAGATTGATCTCGAGTTAGCTACGAAGAAAAGGCCTTTTACGATTTTGCCTTAAGGTATTTATGTTTTATAAGTGGTTCATTTACACTTGTACAAAATAATGAGGCAACTTCCTTTTCTTAGTGAGTTTCATTTCATCTAAGCCTCCTTTAGTATTAGCTGTGTCACGTAATAGGGGTCTGAATAACATAGGGTTGTTGTCAGCGGTGACCCCCTCTCAATTACCACTACCGAGCTGCAGACACCCATTGTCCAACGGAACGCACAGTACAAGTCTTGCTTGGAGGAAGGGAGAGGCTAGTTTTAACGCTGCCTTCACTTAGCCGATAAATGTTACACTTTTCAACACGTATTAAACTGCACGCACAATAGCTTGAGTAGTTGTGTGGTAGATTAACCATCTAAAAGTCATGAAAGTTAATTGCAAGCTTTGATGTAAATGCTCCACACCTTATCCAGTACACCCTTTGTATCTGATGCACGATTGTGCGATTGTAAAATGACAGATGTGTCTCAGTTCGCCTAATTGAGTGCTGCTATTGCCTCAAAAGTGTTTGTTGGTGAGATTCCAAAAAGACTATCAATCTCTAAAATACACCCTCTTTAATGCGAGAGTCATTCATTCACAGCAAATTGCTTGACGTTAACAGCCATCTTCAAAGGCGCTCTGAGAGGAATCATATTGCTGATGTGTGCAATAGCTAATGGCATTTTGAAAAAGGCAAGACTTGAGTGCAATAATAAGCCTTAACTGCGATCATTTGACGTCTTCTAACCTTGTGTTGCCTACGAATGCAAGAAATCAGCATTTTCAACAAGCAGAGATTTGATAAGACGAGGGTAGACCTATCGTCCGAAGGAGATTCATAACACAAAAGTATTTCATCACCTCGGCTGAAGAGCGGCTAGTAAGTGTTTTGCGTTCATGCTAATTTGTGCCATTAATACTTTCAAATTCACAGGTTCAAACGGAGTGGTCAAGGTGTAGAATCAGGCTTTGTGTAATCTAAATACGCCCACAAATGTTTTCATGCTCTCAAACTGAACCCACCGGGGACAAAGGCACTTTAGGTCTCAGAGCCAACTATTTGCCTAGCGATTAAACCTCGAACCTTGTTCTTCTCATTCGGATTAGGTGGCCACCCTAACGAGCAACAGGTATGTTAGAGCCAGGATCAACGAGACTAACGGCCTGGAAAGCTAACACGCTAATTGTGTCAACTATTAAGAACGATGTTCAAGGCCCCATTGTGTACGGAAGGACTTAAAATTCTCCCTGAAATGTATATATCTAATAATTGTCGTTTGTTTTAGTAAGTCCTTTATTTCCCCTCATTACATATTTGTTATTAACATTTAATGGAAAAAGTTAACACAACAAGTCTCGTATCAGTTAATAAAAAGAATTATCCAACTTTTCTGTTTTTTTTTTTTTTTTTGGGGGAAATCTGGGGGGAAAGTCACTCTTCCTACCCTTATGGTATGCATTAATGAGCCAAGTAGATTGTCCCGTGACTTCCGCGTTTCCATCAGCTAGCTGGCGGATGAGGAGTGACGAATTCTCAATGCGATGCCTTGTAATTGATCACACCAACGCCATGCTGTAAAAGCGTGTATCGGCGTTTTTCAACTTTCTACTCATTAAAATTCAAATAAGTATCCGGTGAATTGCAGCACCGAAAGGCCGCAACCTGTTTTCCATTTTCTAATTGCGCCTTACTTAAAAACACGTTTTGCATTTTAATGACCTAACAGCACCAGTCTGAAAATAATTGAGGTCGTTGAGGCAAGACTTGATGGCAGAGAGGTTTACTAGTCAATTCCTACCCCATTCACTCGCCAGCTAGGCAAAGCGACAATAAAAAGCTTTGTGGATGAGCTCCGAGATCGGATTTCACATTGTTCATTTTGAAGTGCGTTTTGTCAAAGCCAACCTCATACGACTGAAAACAAAGAACGCTATGTCCGTTGAATGAGCTCATGTAATTGACCTCTATCGTCACAAATTTCACATGAAGAAATGTCTTTTTGGTGAACAGGTTTTGATATTATTGTAGCGTCCTTAGACGCCGCTACCATAAGCGTAGCGCCCTGAAACTTCCCTAAAGATGAAAGAAAATGATGTAATACTCGGATGGAACATATAATAGGGCTAGGTTCTACTGGCATGGCCCGGAGTCCAGGTTGATTAGCGGGGTACAATGACTTATCACCTCCGTGATCCCTTTACCAAAACTAAGAAATAGGCAAACAAGTAGTGCATTACAGTCCCTTTCTTTATAAATTTTGACCTTTTACGCTTTAGAATATTACTCAGGGTGCTACTTTAGCGGAATAATTTACATTTTGCTCAAGACGGTGGTTTAAATACGCGTATAATTAGGGCTAGGCCATTGTACTTCCGCTTAAATCCATAGCCTCTAGGCCATGTCAATGACTCTGCGGTCCTTCTGGAGGTCAGCAATACACTTTCTGTTCCAGTATTATATCTTTTTTGCTTCAGGGAAGACTCAAGTGGCTGCTTTAAATCATCAGAAACATAATGGCTACAATTCTGAGTGGTTTTCTAGGTACTGTGCTTAGTCGACCTTAATTGCCAATATTTACTCAAAAAATGGCTTTTGCTGAACTTATAGGGTTCGAAACTAAAAAATTATTGCAAGAAACAACATCGTGAATAATACACAAAGAACTTGCATCCAGAATATTTGAAAACAATTTCACACACATATATCTTCTTGTATTAGCACATTTAATTAAAACTTAAGCCAAAGTCAGTCGATACTGTGAAATCCAAGTTTAAAATTTATCTTTTCAGTATGCCCAAGGCACTATACAAAAGTACAGACTGGTAGAACAAAGGGCCAATACTTGTAAGCTCCTATAGCAATGCCCATAAATAAGCAAAACTTGCCTTTTAAGGCTACTTTACTAAGTATGTAACTTTTACACAACAGTCTATTTAACATGAACGTTGTTTTAATTCGCTGACCTTGCCTCCTCTTGCTTCAATTCCTTGCTGACGCGGTTATAACATTATGCTCGATTTTTTTGTAATACTTAGTAGAGGGGGCATCGTATTATGGTATATGAAAAGTACATCGGAGTGCATTAGAACGACAATTAACGCTTTTTTAAAGTCCCTTATACTTAAGGTAAGACGTATTGTTTTTATTGCGTAGGGAAATCTTAGTAACGGGGCGTTTGTGCATGAAAGCATCGCAATGAAACACTTTATGGACAATGAGTTTGATCTGTTGTATATTGTATGTTCACGTTACTACCCAACGACTCCCCTTCAGGCCGGCTATCAACGTGTACTTCAATTAAGTTATGTCGACAAATTTCTGACTACAATTGCTTTGGAATTTCGGGATAAGTATAAAAATGAATTACTTGAAAAGAATCGATTAGGATATTTCAACGACTTTAGACCCACTTTTGACTCAAAGTTGCGTGAGATCGAGGTGGAGTCACGAAAGTCTATCAAGGCTGCCAAGTAAGTTCCTTAACATTTTACTATGTGCAGGCCAATGCGAAGTTTCGCTGATTCTGCGAAGTCAAAAAAGACAATCGCTTCAATGATTGTCAGTAAGGATAATCAAAACCCTACCTTCAATACAGAGAAAAGGATTAATTTTGACGAGAGCCCAAACTCAGGCGAACCTATTTTTGATTCAAGTATCAGTATGTGTCGCTTTGTGTATGTCATTTTTGATCAACTTTTGTTCCTATGCTACTTTGAAATTTTAGCTCCCCTCCAATCCAGAAAAACAAAATTGCCTTCACCAAAGTCTCGCTTTGTCAAAATGAACAAAAAACCCAAGGAATTTTCCAGGTAATGATTTTTCATAGTTTAAAACCTTGAATGTTTCTCTGAGTATCGGTTCCGTTGCTTCTAAATTTATTTCTGCACTCCTAAATTGCGAAAAAATGGAAGTGCCCATTTTATCAAACCATTTAATCCCCGTTTTCTTTTCAGTCCCTCGGAATCGCCTGTTTCTGCCAAACCCGGTAAAAAAGTAAAGATGAATCGCCGCTGGACCGATGAGGCCGTTGGAGCCGAGGCCGCTGCACTCGATTACAGCGGTGGAGGTGGTGCTGCTAACTCCTCCCCAGGGGGCTTCGTTTGTAACGGCACAAATGCGGTTGTCTCTCAAGGACTACAACTAACTGCCATTGAAGTAGAAAATCTCACCAAACTTCGTGGTACATTGCGCGAGGGCTTCGATGAACTAGAGATCTCATCTGATGAGGAGGAATACGTGGAATCATCAGACGAAAAAGAACAGGACTCAGAGGTTTATTCTCGAAGCGGGAATGGAATCAAGGCGAGTTTCTTGTATGTAATTTTATCAGTTTAACGGTTCACCTTTTTTATCACTTTCTGCTTTACCCATGCCATTTCATCAATTCCAAATTCCTCTTCATTTACCCCAACTCTTACGAAGATTTTTTTCATGCCTCCTGCGTGACGCCTATTCTTACTGTAATCTACTTAAATTCAGCCGAACAAATCATTCGGCTTTATGTCAGGTTTGTTACAAACCTTGAAAACGACTGCATCCGGTCGAGTATTAACACATGAAGATATCCGAAACCCATTGGAACGGCTGCGTGATCACTTGGTACACAAGAACGTGGCTTTTGAGATCGCGAACCGCCTTTGCGATGGAGTGGCCGAAAGCCTAGTCGGAGTGCAACTCGGCCGCTTCGAGCGCGTTGGCCCGCGTGTTCGCTCTGCTCTGGAGGAGGCCTGTACTCGTCTTCTTGCTTCTGGTCGTCGTGTCGATGTTCTGCGTGACGCCCTTGAAGCCCAACAGTCGGGGAAACCGTATGTCATCGTCTTTTGCGGTGTCAATGGCGTTGGTAAATCCACTAATCTCGCCAAAGTGAGTTGCAGGTTTTTTTAGCGATTATTTTATATGGCCATGAGTGGGACAATAAGAAGGATTTTCAATAATAATCTTGAATCTTTCTGACGCCGTTTTCATGAGAATTTAACTCAAGATAGCATTTCATGTGCACGTTTTGCATATTTTCAACATGCACGATAATATTCGTCTCATTCACATAACTCACTTATCGGAAAACCGCTTCAGAGGAACAGTTTCCTTCCCGCTCCTACACACTCTTGTACTGTATTCTTGTACCTTGGAAGAAAATTGTGTAAAATTAACTATCCTCCATTACAACTCGAAATCATTATATTATGGGACAATTTGTTTGATTTATTCTTGAGCTTTATTTGCAGTTACATCAGATCTTGCTCAGTTTATGCTTTCATCCAACATCATTTTCCAACAAGACCTGTAATTCTGATATTCGAGGTTTGCTTTTGTACTATTATAACGTATATGTTTATATTCGGTTTGACGAAAGTATTTCTATCTTTTAGATAGCCTTCTGGTTGATAGAAAAGAATCTCAAGGTCCTTATAGCTGCCTGTGATACATTCCGTTCTGGTGCTGTGGAGCAACTTCGAACCCACGTGCAGAAACTTAATTTTATCCACCCCCCTGAGCATCATAACGGTCAAACAATGGTTGAGCTGTACGAGAAGGGCTATGGCAAGGATGCCGCAAATATTGCCATGTCGGCTATCTCCTATGGTACGCTGTTTTGCTCCCCGATTAAAACAGATTCATGCTTTTAAATGTAATGCCAGGAAGTATCTTAGGTTGTTGGTTTATGAAATGCGATATTTGAATTGACTGCTAACATTTGATAGCACCGTGAATCGGCTAATCCAGAATTTAATGGCATTTGTGTCTGCAATACTTAGAGTGGTGTTTTTTATTTTGAAATTTCACGGGGAACGAACTTTTGCCTCTCGTCTATGAATGCAAATTTTGGCCATTTCAGCTAAGGAAAAACAGTGTGACGTGGTTTTGGTCGACACTGCTGGACGGATGCAAGACAATGAACTACTGATGCGCGCGCTTGCTAAAGTAAGTTGCTTTCAATGCCTAACCGAATGTTCAATATGCCCACAATGTTTCACTCACCCCACTTTCCATGTGAAAGCGTCAGAGTGCCATGCACAAATTTAAAGTAATCTATATTATGCGCATAAATTACATGTTTGCCCTTTTGCATGGGCTACAGCTAACACTTTTCACAAGCAGTATTCCCAAGTGGACACTATTTGTCTGCTTCCTTCTACCAAGTAGTCCACCTCAGACTATCTTATCGAATGTTAACCGTCATGCCTTTATCTCACTATGTTCTCCCCTCTCCTATTTCAGCTTATTATCGTTAACGAACCAGATTTGGTTCTTTTCGTTGGTGAGGCACTGGTCGGAAATGAGGCGATTGATCAACTTGTGAAATTTAATCAGTCTCTAACCGATTATAGCAATACAGCCAAGCCCCATACCATTGATGGCATCGTGCTCACTAAATTTGATACAATTGACGACAAGGTTAGCTCATTGCTCTTTTCTGCATTATCAACCGCTTTTAAAGACTGGATCAAATGGTGATGTTGATCACGTGGGTTAAGAGCTGCAGGTGTCCACGGATGAAGTATTAATTGTATACTGCCGTTTAGGTTGGAGCAGCTGTCTCGATGGCCCACATATCAGGGCAACCGATTGTTTTTGTTGGAACCGGTCAGACGTACTCTGATCTACGTCAATTTTCTGTACCAAGCGTGGTTAAGGCTCTTATGAAGTAAATTCCTTTTCATTGTGACTGCTTCAGCACCATCCTTTTTATTGTATTTCGGCCGCACTTTCTCATGTGCGGTGTTATTATTATTGTACTCTCCATCTGTGGCCCCATCGACTTTGTCTTCCTTTCGTACCTTAGCGGCTGGCTATTGTTTCATCTAGTGGGCGTTATTGAGTGGCGGTGATTTGCATGCGTGGTCTGTTTTTTCTTCCCGCTCTTGGAGGTATTAGCTAGCTTACCTCGGGAGGAGTCCTGCTTGGTCTGTCGAGGAGCCCTGGTGGGGGTATGGTTCGGGTGGGGAACGTCTGCTGCTCATCAGCTGGTGCTGAACGTCAGTAGGACCAGTGGTTGTAAGCTTGATGTCAAAGCGGCGGACAGGCGCGGGGATTTTGCAGTGGCTGCGCAAAAATATCCTAGTTAAAAATAATTCGTAAGTAGGGCTTCTGATGGGAGGCAATAGCGCGTAAAGAAAGGTTTTTTGGCAATTTGCTTTAGTAAGTCCGTATAAAACGTAAATAGTCAGAGACGACCCTTTTATCTTCAAACAGATCATACGTATAAATTTTGATATTCAAAAACATGTGCATCTGCATTTTATGCAGCATTAAGTCTTGTATTACTTACACACAGAACCTTTGTTTATATTCTCCCCGTACATAATGCGTCGCGCAATTTTCATTATCCCGTTTTCAAGGTCGCGGTACGATGTGTGTTGATATATCATTGATTAAGTCAGCGCTTGATGACAGTGGTCAAAGCCACTTATATAGATATTGGGATGGGTTGTCTCTTGAAGAAAAGAAGCAGTATTTGGAGGAGCTTTTGACTCTAAACCTGGACAGGATAGATTCTGCTTATAAGGTAATGCTTCGCTTCAAACGGTAAATACATATTGTAGGCCGCATTGAAGGTATGCAGATAATCATTGTTATAAAACGCTATGCTTTAAAATTATTCGTCTTAATATTCCTGTTTCTGTTTTTTGAAAAGTTAACGAAAAGTTTCCAAACAGTTGATGAACGGCTTATGTGTCCCGATCCATCTATCTGTGGTCATGCGGGCTCCCTCCGTACTTCACATCCCAAAGAATATGAGCTATACGTTGATAAAGGTATATTACTTAGCCCACTAGTCTTAACTTGTTAATAGGTCTTAGGGCGATTTCTGAAAGACAAGTCGCGGTATTGCTCATGGCTGGTGGTCAAGGAACTCGACTTGGTTCATGTAATCCTAAGGGGATGTATGATATTGGACTTCCATCAAAGAGAACTTTATTTCAAATTCAGGCGGAACGATTATTGGGTCTATGTCGGCAAGTTTCGGCCAATTACGGTCAAGAAATATACATTCCCTGGTTAGTGGTGATCTTTGTTTTTCAAAGTAGCGAATCATTGGTATAATGTTCACTGATCAATAACTTCTTTGATGCCTCTCTGTCTCCAGGTATATAATGACATCTGGTCACACGCAAAACCTCACGGAAAGTTTTTTCAAGGAAAACAATTACTTTGGCTACAGTCGTGATCATATCATTTTCTTTGAACAGTTTAACTTTCCAGCTTTGGACTTAAAAGGAAAGATTCTCATGAAGGACAAGGCGTCCCTTTGTTGGTCCCCAGGTGAGAAAAAGGTGGTATTTTCAACTTATTCCCACCTCAAATATCATGTTACCAAAGATTGAAATAATATGGTAGACTTGTAAATGGGTCTGGAATGACGTTTATCATTAAAATTGCGGCCTACGAATCTTGTGTTCTTAGGGTTAAAAGACCAATAGTGCTCCTAATTTAAAATCAGTCACATAATACCAGTCTTTATGAGTCATCTATGCTACTATGGGAATACCGTTCGTGGTAACGCTCCTCAACACAAGCATCGTATGCATTTAAACTGTTTCATTATTTCCTGAATTTCTTCCGGGGACGTGTTTTTTAGAGGGTAATGGAGGCCTCTATCGAGCTCTTTCGGATCGAGGGGTCCTACAGAACATGAAAACACAGGGCGTTCAATATGTTCATATCTATGGAGTTGACAACGTACTTGTCAAAATGGCTGATCCAGCTTTCATTGGATTCTGCATCGCAAAGACCGCCGATTGTGCAGTTAAGGTGGTTGAGAAAACTGACCCAAATGAACCCATGGGTGTCGTTGGTGTGGTGGACGGGAAGATTCGGGTAAATTTAGGTACCCCAATCCTTTTCGGGAAATTGTAACAGGATAAGCTACACTAGAGAGTGGTAGCTTATCTAATTCATAGCTTACAGATAATTATTTAAGCATCACGAGGATCAAGAATTTCCCTTTTCTTCATTTCCTTGGGTTTAAACCTCTAGTTTTTTGTAGAAGTACGTTGTCACAAAAATTACTTATTGCCTTTTTAATGTTAACTAATCAACCTATCTCCGAAACAGAGAGAAACTCTCCTTTTAAGTCTCTTATGAGTCGCCAACAAACCTGACTACTAATGGACTTAGGGTATTTCAGTAATAGGCTAATATGCTGCGCATTTTGTACTCCAGTCGTCATTACGTTTGCTAGGTGCTGGAATAGTGCTTTACATCGGTGCACCGATAACAATCGTTGCGTAGGATCATCCAAAGTTTGGCTGATGAAACTTCAGGCTTATGCAAAATACTTGCGTCATTGGAACTTCCACTCTTGTTTACTCTACCTATTGCAGAGTATGACTTGGCTCGGACATCGCCACGTCACATTTGCGTATAGCTTGTTTTGAATAACGTCTGTCCAATTAGGTGTATTTTTAACAAACCATGGTTCCAAGTCTGAACTTTGTCGTCGTGTTGTGCTCTGTATGTATTGGTTGAGAAGAATACGTCGATAGTTAAAAGATATACGCTTCTTTTTAACCTAAAAATTCGGTTTAGGTGCGGTAACTAAGTAGTGATGCTGGTACTAGAACAAGGTGTGGTTCTAAAGGATGAAGCTGGTTAACTTCCAACAACCTCCCAATACACCTCATAAAAACGATCAAGTCCTAATTTTGTTTGCTTCAGCCAAATAAAGCTAGATGGTTGCAATTTAGCACCTCTAAAATCTTGCTGAACGATGCATAGCAACTGGTGTAATAGCGAAAGCAAGTAAATCTTGACAGGTCGTTAAAGTTGGTCTTCTAAATCAACGGATTGTTATTGTTTCTTCTTTCAATCTGTTTATCTCAGCAGGAAAAAGTCACTAGTTTCGCTTCATCCTTGAAGTCAGGACGGCGCAGCCGAGGTCACATGCAAAGTGTAATCCTCCCTCTGTTGCATGGATTGCGAGTTAATGGCACACAGCACGCAAAGTAGGCACGTACTAGAGATGTGCTAATATCACTGGTTAAAATCGATGGGAGAGTGACTATAAATCCTTGTTAAGTTTAAGTAAAATTTAAGGGCTAACTCTGGTTCAGTTTGAGCGATCTATTTCTACAGCTCGGTTGGGGATTATTTTTAGTAGAAAGGGTATTAGATTAGTGGTTTTTTCTTTGTAGTGGTACAGTGAAAAGCTGAAAGTTAAGTGCTTTCAGTTTAGGTCTTCAAACAACACGCACACAAACTGATCTTTCAATGCTTTGGGATTGTTTCGTTTTGCACAGGTAGTGGAGTACTCGGAGATTTCTCCCTCCACGGCTGCATCGATGCTGCCGGTGCCGCCGTGCCAGATGGGCCATTGTCAAAACAAGATGGATGGCCATCTGAATTCAGTGAAGCCACGCTTGCTCTACTCTTTGGGGAACATTTGCAACCACTTCATGACCACTGATTTCCTGGAGCATGTCTGTGACCCCAAACAAGAGGCCCTCTTGCCTTACCATATGGCTCACAAGAAGGTGCCTCATTTTGATGTGAGCATGGGTTGCCTAGTCACACCAGCTCAGCCGAATGCCCTCAAACTAGAAAAATTCATTTTTGATGTGTTCCAATTCTCAAAGTAAGTTGGCTACTATTTGGTATAGCCTGTTAATTTGACCACGTTGTCAGCATTGGGATAATACTGCCTCCCACCTTCGTTGTGCTTGCTTATTTAAATTGCCGTAAACTAGTCGAGGTTGTTTAAAAAACCATCTATAAAACCATTTCTATTAGAGGACGTGGCCTTGGTAAAAGTACAAATGGAAAACATTTGGGTTAGATTGGCCAACTGAAAGTTCAAATCAAGTTTAACAGTATGATGGCATGCATTTATGTATTATTTGAATCCGCAGGAATCGCTTTATTTTGCTGTTCTAGTCCACGTAATCTGAGTTGTATATTGTTGAAGAAAAGTCCTATTAGTGTAGCCTTCTTTAAATAACTATTATCACCGGATTTAGCCTCAATCGAAGCTTAAAACCTCATCATGAGTGTAGTCAAATACCTTACACTCCCGACTGTTTCGGTCAAAGTCAGTGAAACAGTCTACAACTGTGTGAATATACTCAAAAATCGCATAGTAGGTTGAGCATAATTTCTCTGAAGTACTTTTTTCCTCAAAATCAATAGACGCTTCTTCATCTGGGAGGTGGATCGAACAACTGAATTCTCACCCCTGAAGAACGGCCCAGAGGCGCCAAAGGACTGTCCAAGCACGTGTCGTAAATCCATTCTTGACATGCATGCATCGTGGGCCAAGGCGGCTGGTGCCTTGCTCAGCAATGATACTCAGGACATCATAGAGATTTCCCCACTTGTCAGCCTAAGGGGAGAGGTGAATTTTGCAACTTAAGTAAAAAATCAACTTCTGTGCTTTATTTCGAAAACACCTTTGTGAAATTGAGTAGACTTAGAATGTCTTATATCCAACTGATCAAATTGTGCACTGTTTTGTACAATTTCAGAATTTGGAATGCTTGAAGGCTAGGAGGATTGGTGGAGTAAATATTTTGGAGTTGCGGCGGAATGAGAGGGGTGAGGAAGTCCCCACCTTAGTAAGAGTGGGGTAGTTTAACTTGATTTCTGGATTACTTCTCAAGCAAAAGGCTTCTGCAATCTACTTGGAACCTACCTGATCTTTTGCTGCTTGCTCGTGACTATCTGTCCTGTGGGTCTTTCTGTAATTTTTCAACTTACATGAATTTCTTTATGGTAAAATGACTTCGTGTGTTATTAGTTCACAGAATGTATCGACACCGAGGCCCGGGGCGCAGACGTGTTGACAACCGCGGTTTTAATTGTGGGGAGTGGCTAAGTGGCTTTGAGATGGCGAGGGTTTGGGGTCATTTCACCAGCAAAGTGGTCTGCCGGTGTGAAGTCTCAGCGGTGTAGAAACTAGCATATTTGTTGGTGTGGTGGCGCATCCACTAGTCAAGAAGAATATCAGAGTTCAGTGTCTTGCCAATCCCTTGTTTTATTTGAGTGAGCAATCTTGTTGTCTTGGACTAAACACCGAATCTTGCGGCTCAGAGTTGCGCGGCGTTTAATAAAATTCTTCGAGTACACGCAAAACTTATTTGTTTTCTTGTTTTTAGGCATATGGATACATGCATAAGAACTGTTAAGAGAATTGCCACCAAATCCGGGATTAGTGTATGATTTCTTGAGATTCTAACCTCCTTGGAACATCGTTACAATCTTGCTGACTTTCGTCTAATTTTCTGACTTGGTCGAGTTAATCGCAATTACGCACTCACACATTATTGACTAATGAAAGTCTCACCTTAGCCCAGTATTTCATTCAACCCAAGTGGCCATTTGCTGTGTGAGTTTATGGATCATGTGTGCCAGATTGGTAATTGTTATCTCGATTTCTTTGCTTGTTCAACTCTCCAGTGGGAATGAGAATTTCGATCTTCAATTCCTCAAGCAGCGAGTAGAAAACATATTCTACCACAGTTATGACAATTATATGAACCATGCCTATCCCTATGACGAACTTCGTCCGATTTCTTGCGACGGTCATGACACTTGGGGCGGATTTTCCCTCACTCTGATTGATTCACTCGATACGCTCGTTGTACTAGGGAACTATTCCGAGTTCAGACGTGCCGCAAGTCTTATTTTAAATAACATTGACACTAACCAAAATGTGAATATCTCGGTTTTTGAGACAAACATACGAGGCAAGTGCCCTATTTAATAAATTGGCAAATGAAGTGGTTGGAGGACTGCTTTCCGCACATTTGCTTGCTGAAAGAGCTGGAATGGATCTGGAACCTGGCTGGCCCTGTCATGGAAGGCTGCTTGCTCTGGCTGAGCGTTTCGCGAGTAAACTGCTTCCTGCTTTCAACACACCTACTGGAATGCCATATGGCACTGTTAACTTAGCTCACAATGCGGTTCCTCCAAACGAAACTCCTATTACCTGTGTTGCGACAGTCGGTACACTGATTCTTGAATTTGGTGCCCTTTCCAGATTAACGGGTATGTCAGACCCCCATCATAAACTTGGAGTTTGCTTAAGTTTATCAATTTAAGTTTTCTTCAACTTAGGTGATCCTCGGTACGAACAGGCGGCAATGAAGGCTCTTCGTGCTCTGTGGACATTTAGGTCTAGTTTGGGGCTTGTGGGAAACCATATTAACGTACGCACTGGAGCATGGGTCGGAAAGGAGGCGACTATTGGTTCCGGAGTGGATTCATATTTCGAATACCTTTTTAAAGGTTCTATCCTCTTTCGCCTTCCAGAGCTTGACGCAATGTTTCGTGGTGCGTTCCCCCTACCATGATTCCGCTGTATCATTTGCAAACAATGAATCCAAGTACTTTAATTTTTCGCAGAATATCGTAGTGCAATAAAGAAATACTTGAAATTTGGAGGCTGGCATGTTATGGCAACCATGGATGCTGGTTCTGTAATCAATGCTGTTTACCAAAGCTTAGAGTCGTTTTGGCCTGGTGTTTTGGTGAGTCCCATCTTAAGTGGTCATTTTTGATCAGATCCAATTGCTTCAAGTTGGGCATTGTACTTCGTGTGTAGGCGATGGCAGGTGATATCGAGGAGGCAAAGGAATTGCTGATTACCTACCATTCGGTCTGGAGAAGATATGGGTTTTTGCCTGAGATGTTCGACGTTTCCTCTAACAAGCCGGTGGGCAGACAAAGCGTTTATCCTCTTCGTCCCGGTACTTTGGCCCGTGGCTTGCCGACTTTTGCAATATTTTTTTCTTTAGTGGATTGGTAACGGTAATTGGTCATTAATTCTTATTCTAGAGTTTATCGAGTCAGTGTTACACCTGTATCGAGCCACAAAAGATCCCTACTTGCTGGAAATGGGTGTTAATGTTCTAACATCCATCGAGAGGGATGCAAGGACACCGTGTGGATTCGCTACGGTGATTTCATACATTTTATTTAGATGAGCCAAACTTTAAGAAATAAATGTTTCTACCATGTCGTATGCGATAGTCTAATTTATTCCTTCGCAATCATCTTAGATTCATGACGTCCAAACACACACCAAGGAGAACAGAATGGAAACTTTTTTCTTATCGGAAACCGTGAAATATTTGTACCTTTTATTCGATGAAGACAACTTCCTGCATCATACCCCCCTATCTCCGACCGACTCGATCCAATTCGGCGACGCTGATGGCTACTGCACAGGTGGGACGGGCTATATTTTCAATTCCGAGGCTCATCCGCTTGACAGTGGTCTCATTCATTGTTGCTCTATCCAGCACCTGCGAGAGTTGGAGGCGGTAAGCAGTGAGGAATCTCTTCCTATCGATTTGGGCTTACATCGAGACCTTGGCAGCCTCGTGAATACATTTGCCTCGTCAAATTCGTTGACAGATACCATTTTAAACGAGTTGGACGTCACCTTTGAGGAGATCTTGTCTCCAAGTGTCACGTGGACAGGAGACCAGAACACCAGCCAAGAAATTGACGCTTGGGCAGAAAACCTGTGGAAAGAAATGAGTGGGGCAGTTCTACTCTCAAGTACCATTAAAGATAATGCGTCCACACCACCAAACTACGTCCCCCCAGATATGCATCGAAAGTCCGTGGCGCCGCTAATGAGCTGCCCGACTGTACCCTTCCATGTACGTCTTAATGCAATGAGAGATCTGGATTACCGGAATCTCAATTAGCCCAACCTTCATTCAGTCTTTCCTTTTTCACACGACTCCACACTAATTTTGTATTGGATATATTTTTCGAATGTTAGACTGTTACAATGCTGTCATATCAAGCTTTTTTCTACCTTATGGGAATAAATTCTGGTCTTCGTGCCGATAACAACTCACTCGAGCCACCTTACCAACCTCAACCCGCAATCTGTCGAGGGGATACACCTCAAATACAGGTTGAGCACCAAAAGACGACAGTAAGTTGGCCATGATCTAAAAACGTAGATAACATTTTAGCAAATCAGCGTTAAGGATGCTCATAATCATCCCTACCAGCTTCGTTCTGCGGAGAAATTCTTGTGCCTACTTGAACAAGTCGACTCGGGTTTAATTATTGCACCACACTCGCATCAAGATTTATAGAACCATTTTTGTTATGACATCCATTGAAGAAACAGTTGAAGGCTGTATCAAGGCTCGCAAGTAGTCGTTTAGAGAAAACAAAGTACATAACAAGGGTATTCTAAACAGTGGGGAATTTTATACAATTTACAAGGAGCTAGCAGCATTAACCTATCGGCGGTATCGGAAGCGTTTAAAGTGGAACCAGAGCTGAAAGATGGTGTTGTGGAATTGGCACCGGAACCCGTGTTTGTACGAGTACTCCCACTCACGACTGACGATCTTAAAGGCGATATCCTCGTAAGGCGGACCTGCAATGAAGCGGAGAATCTCGAAGTCGGGCTCACCGTCGCAAGGTATTCGCGTGTACGTGGGTGTCTTGGTCATATCGATAAGATCGGGGTAGAAGATATTGAACTTGTAGCCTTGGACCACTTTTGGTGGGGGATTATCCAGATCGTAGTGAGTCTGATTGTACTTGTTCCACACGAAGCCCGTGTGCACACGATTGAAGAAGCGCGGTTTACGCGGACGGTACTTGTCGGACCAGAGAAATGACTGATCCTCCAGTGGTGCCTAAATTAATGTATGTTCGGAGTATGATAACTGGTATCTAAAATAACACCTAGTTCAGTCCGATGAATTCTTAATCAAGGGGACAATATTCTCTCAAAATTTCAGCACAGCAAAGAAATCATATTATGTCAACAGGAATAAAAGCAATAACTTCTAAGAAATGATGTCACCTAACATAACCATTGAAAAATGGCCTAAATTGAGATACGATTACGTAAAACGACTTACCAGTACGCTGAATTCTGCATCCCCCTCTTCCACACCCTCACGAGCTCGTTTCATTAATTCCTCTTCGGCAGTCTTGCGCAGGGCTCCGGTGTGCATCACATCCTTCCTCTGTTAGTAACAGAAGTGCGAGCGATGTAAATAGACGCATTCAATAAAACATATATTTTAATGCACGCTCCATTAAACAGCTCTATATTAATAAAGTAAGACTAGAATATCTTTAAAGACATTAAGCTAACAAATTACGTAAAATAAAAGTCAGCATGGCACTTTATTTGCATTGCAGATAGGAGACGTAAATTACGAGAATTTCCGCAATAAACCAGAATGCAGAACACTTTGTTCTAGCGATAATAAATTAAAATGCAAGACTAGGTGACAGAGATTAGCGTTCAGTCAAGGTGTTATAGGGAGTAGGTTGTGCCAACACCCTAGGGCAAAACCGATCCATATACAGACTAGAAGCAGATTTGATAAAAGAAACGAGTTCACCAAGACCAATAAGACAGGCAACAAACCTGATACTCCAACTTGGCACGATCATCTTGCGCATCGTATAACACAGCGTCAATCTCTACATCTGACTGATCCAGTAGAACAGGCGAATAAAGTGAAGAATCGTACGGGTCTGGCTGATTAGAAACACCCGGCGCTTCCGGTTGTGCCGTGGAAGGGCCTGGAGTAGGCTCAATTTCTTCTTGATTCGCCGGAGCCGAGGGATCCTCAGGCCCCTTCTTGGCCTCTCCCAACTGCTGTCCTTCATCTCTCTGCATTTTAAAGACAGCTTGTTGTTGCAACTCCCGAATCTGCTCGACCATATTGTATGTGGACCCAGAGCCACTGGGGAAAATGGGATTGGAATCGTTACTCGCACTGGAAATCCCCTGATTTTGCTGAAGGAAAGCGAGTTTACGGCGAAGATGCTCCTGATGCCTTTCACGGAGGCGTGTTCGAGCCATCTGAGCAGCCACGAATTGCGATAGCGTCTCCCAGTACCCAACATCCACGCCCTCGCCACCATGCAATTTAGGTTGAATCTAAGTAGACAGGACAAAAGCGTGTAGGTAAATGTAAAATATTGTAAGGAAAAGCCTGTCTAATAAGACTCAAGCCAATGGATTAGGTAGTTTAAATAAACTATCATTTTTAAGGTGAGTGAGGAAAGGATAACAAGAAAAAAGAACGGTGAACTACGGCAGAAACACACACCTGTCGTTCAAGAGCTGCTAGCTGAGCGTAAGTTTTGGACTTGAGTGTGTCAGCAACTGACTGTAGAACGGAGTTACTAATGTTGACCGAAGTGTGTCTTCCTCCGCCTCCTTCTGCATCCTCATCTTGCCTCAGACGCCGCAGTTCGTCCTCCACTATCACCGTCATGTCCCGCCAGTACTCCACGTTCTGACCCTTCTCAAGTTCCATGTACACAATCTGGATAAACGAAGAGGAAAAGGTACACGCACCTGCCTTTTGTAACCCAATGACAGTGACCTTTAGTGTTGAGAGTTCATTTTTCAGAAAATAACTTACATCTAGAGTGCAATGACCCGCTGGAAAACATTTGAAATTCGGTTTCAGTGCATCGAGTTCAGATAGCTGGTTAATATATTTAATTATATTGCCGAAATAAACAATCTACTTATAATTGAACCTGCTTTGAAATGAAGAAGCTAAGCCAGGGAGACTTTAAAAGTTGAAACAACCCATCAGAACTTCCCGCCAAATAAACAACAAAAAATGACTAAAAGAACTCGAAAATAAGAAATTATAACGAAACACCATAGAGGTACAACCTACTTTAACCGCTCAAAAACGGCACATGCAGTAGGAATTCGAATCCAGAAAAGCCTATTTTGGGGTCCATTTATTACACGGGAAGCAAAAAATCTCGCACCAGCGCAGACTAATGTTATGGAATCTTACATGAATTGGCAAGTCCGTTTTAAGGCAAATGAGAAGAATAGATAAAAATAACCACACCTTTATGTCGACCAGTAGATCCTCCAGATCATCGATGCTCAGCCCGACCAAAAATTGCGTCGGTTCCATCACCTCGATAGCGCTAGATATGTCGCCACCATTGGTCATGTTCTGTGCACCCTCATCCTGATCAGCTATATATTTCGAAAGTAAATCAATCGGCTTGGCACGACCATCGGCGATTCGGATGCGTGAGCGCAGCTTTGCTTGCTCTAAGTGAAACGTATCTTCTTGTTGTCCCCAAGACTTATAGTACTCGGCCTCTCTTTCACGCTGAAGCATTTCCAACTCCTTTTCTCTCTCCTCCTTCTCTCTTTCTCTCTCCAGCCGTCGTCGGCGGACATTCTCCAGCTCCCGCCTATTTTCTTCCATCTTCTGTGCTTGCAGCGTTTGCAGTCGCGCACCATCAAGGTGAGAGAGACCCTTATCATCAATCTTTTTGCGCCAAACGAATGTTTCTGATAGGTGTCGATCCCCAAATGGATTATCTTCATTTGTGTAACCGAGATAGTCCTTGCCCCAGCCAAGTTTTTCTCGACGACGGCGCTCCTTGCGCTCTTTCTTGGCCATTCGACGGGCACGTTTTTCTTCTGGAGTTTCCAGTTCCTTCATAATTGCCTTAAAATGATGCATTGAAAGCAACCGATTAAAGCAAATTCTCAGAGGCAATTACATAATTCTACCCATATGTATGCAAAAACATCATTAATGATTCAATAATGATTCTAGGTAACGGGATAATTCGGAAAACCAAAGTAGATCTTAACAGATTTTGTTCTGCGGGTTGTATGAAGCTTTGGATCCTGAATGATTGTAACAGTGTAAGCAAGATCGCTCGCTGCTTCAGTGAGAACCTTGTTTTAGTAATCAATTGGTTTGGAAATATTATAAAGACTCAACAGCTAACCTTCTTCTGTCGGACCATTTCCTTGAGCTTTTGAATTTCTTCAGGTGGAAGGGAAATCTCCGAATCCGATGAGCTTGACGATTTGGACCATTTTCCGTGTTTATGAGAGCTCCGCTCGTTCGAAGCACGTTTACCCCTGCTCTTGGACGGGAAATCACGAGTACGCCGGAGCTTATCCCTCGATCTACCACCATCACGCTCACGGGAGGACATCTTAATGCAAAATAATATTTGAATAATAGAATTGGTGAGTCAGAGCTCCAGAAGATCCCATTACAAAATACCTTTTATTATGGAAATAAACAGTCACATATTATGCCTGAAGTAATAATCGACAATAGTAGAGAAACAAGCAAATCCCACAGCGCCAGCTGCCCCTGCCTTCAAGCCGGCCCGCAAGCCAATCGACCCACCGACGAGGGCTCCCGTAACCGTACTATTGAACAAGTCAGACCGTCCTCGGTACTAAAAGAGTTAAAATGTAGGCAGCTTACACTCTCCAATCCACATTCGGTACCGGCGAAAAGAGCGCCTATGACTGCAAAGTTTTTCCCATGAGATATAGCGCGAGCATACATTTCCTTTGCAACAGTTTTGACAGACACTGTCTCTGTCCCAGTGACAGTACTTAACGGATCAATACTCGCAGTAAACAATCCGAACACACCACCCAACACAAGTCCTGAATGTAGTAAAGCTGTGCAATCAGGTTACCACCAACAGAGCTAATGAGGGTTTTAAATGTACAGCCGTCCATGAATCTATGGACGTAAATCTCCTCACGACTAGGCAGTGGGATAGTAGGAACCCTCAACATCACCATTGAACTTAGGTTTTTGGAAATATGATTAGATAAAGTCCTCTTGAGAAGGAGAGGATCATCGGTATCAGTAGCTGTTTTGAACCCCGCAGAAAGCATTGAAAGTCTATTTTTGTCATCATCAGATAAATCCAATATATGTTTGTAACGCTCTCGGAGTAGATGCTGGACCTCCGCGACGCGATCTTCAGCACCAGACGCAGGAGACTGTGTCATAGTGTGTAAACCGACTGCGCATATGAACCACCTCCTAAAAAGGTCCATTAAAACAAGGAGACAAATGTTTAAGCCACACATTTTTGCAGAGTTATTTCGTTATTTGCAAAAAAATAAAGGGGCCCATTTGTACAATTGAAAAATGATAAGTAATGGACCAATTTAATGACCACCATTACTGCCTATCAAACCTCCCAATCCTCAAAAGAGCTACGTCGCATTTAGTAGATTGTTTAACCTGACAACAAAAATTTGCTTAAAAATTGTATTTAGGACCGGTTTTCTTTCTTGCTATCAATTTTGTTTAAGACACTAATTTAGTGAGTCCCGCGCTAACTTGAGCAATGGGGAATTAGTTCATCCCGCTTCCTTTAAGGCTTATAAATGGGACGAAGTTGCAGGCAGAATGGGACCAAGCGTCCCCCCTAGTACAAGGGAATTCAGCAATTTTTGCTCCGGTTTTGTGGGCGTTTTTAAAGTATTAACTGTATTTTACAGCCATCGCAGTCGGCTAAGGGAGAATGTCGGGAACGATGTTAGAAAGGAAGATAGGTAGTAACTTCGCAATTCATGTAGTGCCTTGAGACTCCCCCGAGGACGGAAGATAACTTGATACTCGGGTAGAGTATACATGTTCAAAATACGGTAGGGTTTGGGGCTACTAGCACGGCCCAGAGGCCAGCTCACCCAACGAGGCTACAACGGCTAGGACGCAAAGTGACCTCCTACCAAAACCGAGAGTTGAGCAACCGACGTATGGCGTTATCAAACCATGCGCTTAAACACGCAGACGTCTTTGCGGCGACAATTTGTAATTTTTGCCTGTGAGATGACCTTTGGCCAAACTAACAGACTCCCAGTTCCTCAGTTCGCTAATAATTTGTTTTCCATGCTACTTCGGCTCATTGCAACTTCAAGAAAGACTACAAGATGCCACCATGCTGAACAAGACTATTCGTTTAACTCTTTATTTAGGTTTTGGGGGCACTTAAAGCCCCTTTTCTGGACACCCACTGGGCGGCACGACCTCGGGGCCAAGGCAGTACGTCGATAATACGTATTCGCTCTTAGTCTTATAGCTTCTTTCGTCTTCAGGGAAGTCTCAGAACTCTACAAAGTCCATTTCTACGTTTGAAAACCAGTAGTGGTTTGTTGCGTGCTTTGCGTCGTTCCAATAATTGCGGACACTTGGGGTTTGATTTCTATGACTTCATGTACATTCGCAGGTCTTTAACAATCAATAATTTTTAGCAAATATTAGATGCACATAAGTGTATCCACTAATTAAATAGAAAAATCAAGTGGCGAGTCAATCAAAGCAGATACTAAGTCAAGCGCTTAAAATCCCGACCCATTTAAGTAGCCATATATTTGATGTCATTTTAAAGGCATTTCCCCACTTTGTTGTTTGTTTTTTTGCCGACCTTTTGTCTTTGGAAGAGAGGTCCATGCAATGTCAGAAAAGAAGCGAGAAAAGGGGGTAATATTTTAGGAGCGATCACTCAGTTATCAGCATTATTACTAAGATGAATACTTTTTTTTAATGGTGGCCCAGGAAATCGAACCCAAGGATCTTGATTCAGGGTGTCAAATTTCCCTTGATCTTGATGAAACGACAGCAAATGAGACCACATCGTGCATTCTAATGTTCCATTTCAAGTATTAGAATTTTGGTTCTAAAAAATTGGGGAAAATGCAGATAATCGTGACTTCAACAAGAATGGTCGAATGAGAGCTTTCGTGTAAATTCGTGGGCATCATCAAACCAGTGAAAGAAGTCACTTTACGTGAAGTGGAAGATGGCACAAATTTTGACTTGCGAGCTGGCACGAGCATAAGAGAAGAAGGGCAACTATTTGCTTCACCTTGCAACCCCAGTCACTCCACTTATTTCCTTCAGCCTTCACACTTTGGGTTTTACAGACATAGTAAAGTAGCAATAAAAATTATGCACTGAAATTGACTGCCATACGTGTTCGAGAATTAGCTATACTCGTTTTTTCCTGGCTAACGTACGAAGCTATACTTTTGAAGGAAGACATTTACCGAATTTACCGACTGGATTCTATTGATAAACCAGCAGAGGCCAATCGCGTCACCAAACGAAGCCAGGAGATGATCGCCTTTCTTCATAGAATTCAAGCCATAGGTATTTCATTTACTGCCTAATTCCTTTGGCAAATAAACCGCATAAATTTTAGTGTTTATTTAGGTAGAAATAACCGCATCTATAACAATGTCATGTTGGTCTGTGTAAATTCTATCCACAATCTGTTCAGAGAATGCCAAGGCTATAGTGCGGGGTAGTAGTCGATTAGGATGGGTCTCTAGGTAGAACTTACGCAATCCGGCTAGGTACTGATCGTAGAAGCCTTTTCCACGTCCCAACCGCTCACCTTTCATTGTAAACGCCAGACCAGGCACAACGAACAGGTCCACGGCTAAATGAAAGTAGAAACACAGATGATTAAATGTTGATGACACACTTTCATTGCTGTGATTGGGTGTCATGATCGAGAAAGGAAATACTGCCCGGAAGCCTACCGGTGCTTTGAAATGGAGGCAGGGCGGATATTCACCTATTACCGGACGCCTAGAGCCTTTGATAGGTAGAAAAACTTATTATATATGGAAATCACACATTGGTGTAGCTTCATTGCCTACAGTCGAACTCATGACAGTATTTAAAATAAGCTCAGAGCACGTAAGTATTTAATTAGAAAAAAAACCCCACAGTGCGTGAGAGCATCGTCTTGATCGACGCCGTCCGAAGGCTGAGGAGGCTCTCGGACACCGAATTTGTTGAGGGGCCAGGAAAGAAGTTGGTCCGCATCGTGCAATCGTCGCATGCGCATAAGGCCCAGGCGAGTGCTCAATTCATAACCGCGTCCCTGCGTCTCCGTAATGATCTGCGGCACGACCACAACTTTGCCCCTCCTCAGAGCGTCTCGAATTAGCGTGCTCGTGTCCGGCTCGGTGGAGAAACTCACGTATATAGAGACACCTTTAGCGGTTTTGTAGAACTCATGCGCCAGCACCTACTAAGGCATTGCGTACTTGCAACCGAAAGCAGTCACGCGTGACTGTGTACACTGACAGTAGCGTACCAACTGTAGGAGGAGCTCGGAATTCTTCAATCTCACACTCGAAGGAATGCTTGCCAATAATAGCTTCATGTGGTTGCGAAGATCTTGTTTGTTCTAAGTTTAGAAAAAAAACTTTTGCATGTGAGTCGTCGACCGGATTTAAATATGGACGAAATACACAGCCAATGCTTTAACAATCATTATGGTATATTTTAGCCAGCTACGTAAATAACAGCCACACTTTCATTGAAACTCATAAATACAACACCATAGATTACATCATTTATTCCAGTTAGAATAATGGGCTGAATGTTACGTAGAGAAAAGGTTACCAGCAGTGCCTAAGACTAATAACCTTAGAACGAAGGGAAGACCGAGAACTAGATGTGCTTAAGAATGACATATTCCACTCACCATAGTCCTTTCAGTTCAGTCTGAAATATGATGCAAGAAATAAAATAGGAATTAATCCATAGCCGAAAAATCAGCAGTCAAATTTGATTAGTCATAGTGGAGAATGGAAGAGTTTAGGAACAAAACAGGAGTATCCATTGTGTAAGATGGTTTACTTTTGAAAAATAGAGTACATTAAGAGATCAAGTTCAGAAAATCTTTCAAGGAGGATCGATCATTCTTCGCCTTCTTGACGCTGGGCTGTTGAAGGCGCACCTCTTCCATCAAATCATTCTTCTTCCTCTTCTTCTTCCGAGAATTTTTAACACTAACGTTAAATGCAAGTCGGCATGTGGAAGGCAACCACAAACTCACCTGAAGGTGGAGAAAGGGGACAAAGCCAAAATTTCTGACGGTGCAATTGGTTTGAGCCCCCTAAACATGTTGGAAATAACAGCGAAGATTTACAAACTCACGGGACTGGGATAGTTCTAGACATAGCGGTCCGTGTGCTTGTTCTCACCCGGCAAAATCGGCAAGCGAAAGTCTAGGATTAAGGAGGTAGTAAAGACGTGACATTAAATCACACACCTCCCTAATCTGATCGGTTGATATTTTATCTCGTTTTTGCTTAAGCGCCCTGACCCGACAGATGCGATCAGAATGGGACAAATTTCGATAGCATCCAGGACAAACGTCAGAACAGCATCCGGGACCTTGAAAAGCATGAGTTGAGAGCAAGAGGAAAAAAAACTCATTAAAGGGTAGGTGAATGATTTGACTTACGGAAAGGCAGCAGGGATCTGAGACTGAGGTATCTGAGCAGAACAAAAAATAGTAAATATTTATTCCGCAATCGAAGTCTAGTTGGGCCCACATAAGCTAGCAATTCATAGTTCAGGGGCGAGTGTCAAAGCTTAACAATTTTTGCAATGAATTCAAAAGTTCGATGCAGTTTGGTTAATCCTAAGGCGTTTGAGGGGTAATTTTAGATTCACTGCATAATTAAATAAAAATCCTGATAAATTTCACAAAATTTGGGCATAACAATCGAAAAGAGGTAAGGTAGGGAGCATGGACGTTTACAATTTGGAAATCTCACCTATTATACAACTGATCTAGTGTGGTGCCTTTGAATACACGCCTCCTTGAAAGGCATAGCTCCCTTGTTTTCCTGTTAAATTCGTCAACATCCATTCTCTACTAGAGGAGAGAAGTAAAATACAAATAAAACGAGACAGATTGGAGGTTGCTAAAGCATAAGCGAAAAGGCGACCAAGCAAGCACACAATGGAGGCGAGGAAAATACTAGCACCAAGGAATCATGTCTCGTGAACTAGTTAAAAACACAAAACCAACCACAACCCGCCAAGATTTCAAGTAAAGCGATTAAATCAAATGCGTGGGCTGACAGAAATCAGGCCACAGATCGTGACATCCCACCATGGTGGTAATAGTACTAGTGTGAAAACATTCACGAACATGTTGACCAAACAATCAGGCTGGAATCTTTTGCTTGGTGCGTTTTTTTTAAAAACCCTCCTAATTCATTCAACTACATAACACTCCAATGTTAAAAATACCATCATTTTTCACTTAAAATAATCCTTAAAGTTGGCATGCAATTTGTACACCTTTGCGGAAATGATCCTCCATAATGGCAATCCAGATCTGAGCATTCATTTCTACGATCCACACCAAATATGTACTTTTGGCAACGTGATCAACTTAGGCCTAGTTTAATCACACGCGTTAAGAGCAATCACGTCAATCAAGACCGAATAAGTGTTACAGGGTGTACATGCCTTGCAATACCCTGTCACTAGTCAAGACAAAATAATCGCTATCTACTGCCACTAGCCCACATGAGCTTCCGCACAAAAAACAAACTCACGACTGCACTGAATAAATACCGGGTAGAAATTCACAACACGTGCATATATTCCTTAATAGCAAACAAATCTTCAGAATGACTTTGATTTTAGCACCAGATCCGCCGAATGCCACAATCACGAGGTACTAGAACCGATGCAAAGGCAATTTTAACTCATCGTGTCAAGTAGCTATGCAGCAAAGTAAGATGCAGATGTCAAAACGAGACCGGATTTCTTATAACTTTTTTTTGGCAAGCCAATCAACTTTAGATTCAACTATTTACCATGGTGTACCTAAAGAGTAACGGTATCGAAGCAAATGGAATAGATGACATTTAAGCACTCAGAAGTCAAATTTTAGATGGAAATTCATTTAGTATAAATTGACAGAAGAAATTATGCAATCAATCGAAGTTGCAAGTTAAAGATTGACAAAAAGGAAATGATAAGATAAACTTGTTTGATGATAGAGGTTAGCACAAGCCTCAAGCTCGAATAATCTGAGCAAGTTTGGTAATACTGTCGTCGGTTCGACTATGGTCGTGCGACGGATGGCTCCGTTGGTAAAGCTTAAGAAGATTCTGGTAGACTCCAACCTCAAATGCAACTCCCTGTTCGATCACCCTATTCACCACAGCCTGGAAAATATGGCAGAAAATAAATGTTAAATGTGAAAACTGGAACAAAGGTGAGAGACGGCCCTAATGAAAGGAGATCTACTAAATGGCAGAATGCCGGTAGATAGAAACCAACCTCAGGAGTTAGGTAGAAGAGTTCGTAGAGCTGCTTAACCCGAATCAAATCAGACTCATGATTTTCAGTCAACAGAGCCAAGGCCTGCTGCAACTTATAGATATTTCGACACATTTTGCGATTGCCGTTCACATTCATTCGTGTAATTTGGGGTATGAGACGAAGGAATATTTGTGAGATAAAGTCTCCGAGACCATCGAAAATAAATCTACAGAGAAATTGCATGCAGGTTGGAAGAGATTTGTTAAATGTGGTTAAGGGCAATGCCAACTGCGCCATTAAAATGTTTAAAAAGAATGGTCGAATGCGCACCTGATTTCATGGGGGCAAAAGGAATGAATCAAAACCTCCTGCAGTTGGTCCCAATAAATAAGGCAGCGAGTGACTTCAGAGTCTACGTCCACTTCGTCGACAGGACACCAGAAGTTTGCTGTTCGTGGGAGGTTGCCGAAGAGGTTGTAGGCCTGCACACGCACGTCGAGGTAGACCGTGAGGAGGGTAGCGTCGGAGAGGGAGGTGAGCTCCTCGGCAGTCTTACCAAACAGTGCCATGTCAAGGTCCGACACGTTGCCCTCCAGCCACACTAGCCAGTTCTGCACACACCGCTCCAACCAATGCTAAAAAATTGTTCATTTTTATTCCTCGTTACTACCAATGCTTCAAGACCCGTTTCACCATAGTAACGAATAAACACGTAGATTTAATTAATTAAAAAGAAAGTACCTAAGAGACAAAACTTATGATGGGACTCCAAGCAAGGCAATCCGTCCTCAGACCTTCATTACCATTATAATAAACCAAGACTGGTATTAAAGACATTAATAGAAGCTATTTCTTCAAAAAACAAATAAAAACGAAGTGAATATTTGTAGATTTGCGTAGTTGAGCACAAACAAAAGCCACCGAAAGCATAGTTTACGTAATTATGCAATTCTGGGAAATTTGCATGTTGTCACATGAGCAGTCGCGACTGAACATACTAATGATTCGCGCAGGCGTCCCATGCTCTTAATGGTCAGCATATCGGCAGTGGGTAAACAAAAACCATTGCTCGATCCAACTTCATCGCCAATGATGTGAAGCAAGTTGTCCATCTCCTTCACGGCCAGACGAGTTGCCTCACGTTCGTGAAGAAGCTGAAATGATCCAACGACAGATACTGTCATCCCGGACTATGGGAGCGGGCGAGCTTATGATTCTTTACAAATATTAGTGGTGGATGCATAAGCTTAAATAACCAAACACTTTGAGCTAGAGGGATATCTACACTGCCAAAAAAAAATTGAATGGAATGAAAACTTTTACAAAGATATATGCACGATCGTTACCAGGACCACGTACCACCACCTTAAAAGTAAATAGCCACAAAAACAGACGTACGATATCCTCCTGCTTCGAAATTCCTCCATTGCTTACAGCAGCACCACTGCCATCCCCATCAGCCCGATCATTCTCAGCGCCGCTACCATGCCCAACAGAATTGGCGAAGGGAATGGCCTGCAGACTGGCTCCTCCCGTGAATGTGGAATCACTACGTCCGTTGAGCCCGAGGTTGGAGAGACCGAGCACAATAGCTGCCGCCGAACTGAGGCTCGAACCAGAGATGGAAGGGTGGCAAGGATCACCAAAAATTGTCGACTTGCTGCTGCTCGCTCCACCGTCGAGCTGAAAGTCGTGCGGATTCCCCACATTGTGAGCTGTGTTGACGGTCGCGAAGGCGTCTGCCGCCATCATGCGTTGCCAAACGGGGAAATTTCTATAAAGTGGGATAACAGGGGGAGAGGAAGCTAGTAACTGGCGCGATTCGTGCAAAACATTTAAACGCTTAGGTTAGTGGAATTAGCTACCGAAACGTTGGAAACGAAAATACTTATTCAGAGTGCCGGGATTATCACCTGACTGTCGAGTAATTAACGAATATGGAAAAGTAGGACATAAGGGGAAAACATTAATAAAAAGTTGCAGTTAAAGTTAAAAACCAACTAAAATTTAAAATTGTTAGCTTCAAAAATAACCAGTCTAAAGCACATTCACCGAGGACCACAAAGCAGTGCTAACATTACCAGTATGTAGTGTGGTGCCTGTAGCCAGACCGTGAAATAGTTGGCTCAAAAACCGGTAACTTGTTCAGTATTTGGTAATTTTGTGCAGAGCATTGTGCATTGTGAGATTTTAGGAAAGGTTAATGATAGGTGCCATGCTTAGTAGCGAACTCACGTCCAAAATCTGCTAAGATCCTTATCACGCGCCCATTCAGCACTGGGAATCGTCGCTCCATTTGTTTCCAAAACACTTATACCTAGTAATTTTAAAAATTAACAGATTAAATACATAATAAATAAGAGTGGTAAAAGGCCGTTAAAACTGTTTTTTGAATGTAGCGAATACAACATTTAGGGCAACAATGTGAACAATCATATAGCAATGCTTTAAGTGCACCCTCTGCTAAGCAAAAGGAGACCAGGGAATAGTAAAAAAAACAATAGAATAACAGACTTTTATAAACAGACGAGGCCCAGGTAAGGAAGGTCTCAAGAACAGAGAGGCCTATCTTGGCGCAGCTTGCAGCATAATCGGGGAGAGATATGGCCATGCCCTTGGTTTCCCCCAAGGCATGATTTGTCAGGTAGGCAACCTAAAGCGGCGCAAAGTACTGTTTTTATGCGGAGGACTTTTTACAAAATTCAAGATAATATTTACGAAACACTGATTATCAGAGGAAGATGTATAAAACATCCACTAAGCGAAAAACCGATGTCTTGCCGGGTAATTGCTATTAGGAAAATCATTTAAAAGCACTTCACATCGATTAGCTTAACTATCTGTCAAAAAATAAGCATTAGCAAACGCAATTTTTGACTCGAACATAAGAAAAAGGAACTATTTTATGATACCGAAAGCGAAAAATGAGGCCACCTAACACTAAATAAACCAATTGCCTAGTCGTTCTTTTTGTACCTATGGCCAGCATGCACTTATACTGCATCAATATCGTAGAACAAGATTGCACGAGCGTACAGAAAGAATGGGACGTTGGAGACCAAGCTCTCGCTGTGTCTGTTGAGAGATAATGGCTGTTAGTGCATCTGGACCTGGAACAAAAGTCAAGCTTGATTAAATTCAAACAACCCCCCCCCCCCCTCCTCCGCCCGTTGGTACAGACGTCACTTAATGCCTGCATTGTAGGAAAAACGAATTTGATTCAATGGAAAGCTACATGATACTCAGAATGATGGTATAATTTCAGCTTGACCTCTAGCGCTAAACGCGACTATCCAGAACATGTTTAAACCCATGTCAATGCGGACAAAAGTACTAGAACTACGCATACCACTGATATTTGAGCCGATTTACCTCCAAATCAGCCGAACAACATTCGGCCAATGTCTTAGCATTGCAAAATTTTTTGTGTTTTAAGTATCAAGTAGAAACCTTACTTGAGACCGCAAGAACGATGGGCTGCCGAAGTTCCACTTCTGCATTCGGCAAATAAAGACGATCGATGAAGCTGAGCAAAAACACTCTCAGTTGGCACCGAACTGCAAGCCTATAAATTAAAAGTAGCTTCATCTTATTAAGGATGATACGTTGGCTAAACCACCAACGGGCAAAGTAAACAAGCCGGATACATGCAATACGCACGCAAACAATGGCGCCCATGCGAACCGAAAAGGGACAACACCTATCAATCACGCTCATCAAAGAAAAAACATACGCGTTACCATCCAAGTAGTCGCACGATTCGATTTCACTACTGATTGTTGAAAGAATTGAGCCAGTACATGGAACAGCAAAATTACAAAAAATAGTAACAGTAACAGACAATCTGAGCCAAAGCTGATTGGTGACTTACGGAAAGAGGACGTATTCAGAACCATCACTGTATCGCATAAAAGGGGACTTGTAGCAAAATTACCGGCACTTGTCACTCAACACATGGAAATTTAACAAACCTGAAGGGTTAAACACAGAATCAATGGAACTGCAGTATTCATACTGACAAATTACCAGGATTTGGGAAAACTCATGGATAAGTTTAGAAAGTGGTTCATTTCAACATCCGGTCAAATGTTAAGCAAACGGTATATTGAAAATACCTATGCCGTAAGGGATAGTTCAAATGGTGTTGGGACTGCAAAAGGTTATTCCTTTCTTGATTGCCTAATTCAGTAACACGTATAGTAGCTCATTTAAGAGTGTAAATGCCAATCTACTTATCAAATATTTGCTGAAATCCAAAGCAGATATGGACGAGCAAATAATTGGGCTAGAATTTTGCTTCACACCTGTGTAGCTGATTGTTTCCGGAAAAAAAGAACACGAATAAAGTGTCCATTGCCTAATTCCATTTTGAAGATCAGTGTTTTGCGGTGTCACGAATCGGAGTGGTGCATGCCAATTGCAACTACTTCTGAAATGTCAACCACAGACAAACAATAATCCTTGAACTTCTCACTTCCACGGAACACTTTTGCATCTCCGTAGCCACTAAATGGTTTTGACTTCCTTACTTACTTCTTCGGTAACATTTTTTGTGCCCCCATAGCAAGGATGGCGCCCCTAAGACCTTGAACAATAGAGGCGGAACCAATGCTGCTCTTGCCTTCCGGCAAGGATGGAACCGGCAGTAGGCGCCGCTCGCCATCGTTACTGAGGGCATGCTGAACCACGCCTTGCGACGACACAGACTGTGTTTCAATGAGACGCGCGAAAGTGAGCACCAAGGAGTAGATACTCTTCACATTTCCAGCTGAGGGACGGCATACGATTGGGTAGGGGAAAACCGCTTCCCCTTGCACTCCGCCACTGTCCTCCACGTTTAGTGGCTTTATGCTGATCGAATCGTCTGACAGATCCTAGATTGAATGAAAATCAGCGAGAATAACTAAGGCTCATAACAGCTCTAACAATAAGCATATTAGTAGGTAGTTGCTCGAGTTCCGTTAAATATTGACCATTTTTTCATGACTTGGCTGGCTTTAAGTTATTGCAAACAGTGTTACTCTTCTGAAATAAGTATTACTTAGGCCAGAATACATAACCGACACAATGTTGTAGATTAAAGCACATTTCATTCGTGGTTGGGAAAAAATGGTAAAGGCGGAAACTCACAAAAGGCATATTGATGCGGTTTTCCCGAAGATAGCTATTCAAATTCAGACTGTGAGCCGTCTTAGAGAAACTGAAAAAGAGTTCGCCATTGTTGGATGTCGAGGATCTATCATTTAGCCCACCATTCTGCGCGTTGGATGATCCACTTGAATCACCTGTGACCCCCGAGAGGAAGGCAGGGAAACCTACCTTTCGCTTACCCATCAGAGCATTCAAGTCCAACTTGCTCGCGTTGAAATTAGAGACTGCCGCCATTGATGTCGAAGAACCACGGATGTCGGTTACTGGAAGTGTAGGATTATTTAAAGGTTTCCAGTTCGATAGATGGGCAGAGAGAACCGTTCGGACCTGCAACAAGAAAGGAATTAGTGAGAGGCAAGATATCTACTAGATAGCTTAATACAGAAAAGCTACTCTTGACCCATGTAATCGAAAACTGCTGAGGATATTTACAATGCCAGGAAAATTCCCATTTTAACGAACCATAAGCTGCTATCCAAAATGTTAAGGTTCAAATATCTTAGAACATTTCTCGACGTGCATTCTTGGTAAGTGCAGTTAATCTAGCAGTCACGTGAAGATCAATTTTACAGGTGTTCATACTCACGATAAGGTTAAGGTCAACCAGAAATATGTGCATATAGTGGCCATCCTGGAACTCGAACAATCAAGCCACCAGGTAGGTACATACATCCAACACTCCCTGCGTACGCACAATGTCGACATCAAAAGCCTTGTTTTCCGGAATCCTCATCTCCTGATTACTTCGGTTGGGATCTCGGTGCCACCAAAGATCACACGTAAAACACCAGTTCATAATAGAATCAATATTGACTATATAAGAGAGGCGACCAAAACCTCCACAATTGTTGGACAGACTTACTTACAATTCAAGTAAAATGGTACTCACTTCCATCTGAATGTATTCCCAAATATGTTCTTCCGAAAGTACATCCAAAAATTGGAAGGAAACATCGGGATTTTGCTGGAAAGACAAAAAATGAAGTAATGTTGAGATCGTCTTAAAAGCTACCCATGTAGTAAACCATAAGGCACATAACCATGCTTAAAGCACGAGACTAAGATGGGAAAGAAATGAAGAACCTCTTTTATTTTTCTGGTCGTTTTTAAAACCAGCATGAAGGCGTTGAAGTGCATGCAGAGAGCAGGAAAGAGCAGTTGCAACAACTCGACCAAATAAGTCGGATCAGCTAGGCTAGAAGCCGGAGCTGTTTCCCCTTGTGCGACGAAACTGAAACGGAAATAACAAATAAAAAATCAGGTCAAGCCGCAAATTTTTAAATTACTCCATTGGATCATTAGTTGGGTCAGTTACACAGAGTATGAAGTATGTCCAAAAATAAAAAGGCGTCTCAAATCCATACTTATTCCAAAATAAATAAGCATGTGCCAAGGAGACCAAAGTTCCCATTCAGTAGTGCACTAAGTTGTCTGCTAGCTAAAGTGCAATACGGTTCTGCTAGCCACTTACAGGGACATGGAGAAATACATCCACCACCTACCAACTAGACCAATCAGAGACTCAATTACGGAACCATATTATATAAGACTTGATATTATGATTTAAAAATCTGGGCAAAGGACTTACGTGCGTTCGATTTCCGCAACGGCTGGAAGAGTTATGGAATCATGAATCTCAGCAATCAATCCACGTCCCCGCACAAAAATTTCATTATTATTTCGGGTGGATTTTGAAGTAAGAAGTCCTGATAAATCACCAGCGGTACTATTACCTTGTGTCTTGAGGCGCCACGAAGAGAAGGCCTTTGCGAGTGTTAACAATAAAAACCGATGAGAAAGCGTCGTAGGGACAACACACATCCCTAAGAAACTCTGCTTTCAGCTGAAAATGGGGCCAGGTATCAATGGTTTGCCTGTATCTGAAAACGGCTATTTATGAACAACTTGCAACAAATTTGTGTTTCATGAGAGCTTCCTTGTTAGGCGATAAATGGTAGCACTTGCACATGTATGATCAGAAGGCTTTAGCAATAACGTTACTATTTAAAATCATAATTACTGACAATCCTTCCTGTGGAATTTACAGACAACTTTTATCATAAACAGTTCTCCACCAGTGAAGGAAATGAGGGGATGAACGTTGATGTGCGTGCACCAGGTGCTTTAATGAGAGAAAACAATCCAAAACTAAGGGTGAAGATAATACGCGATTCGGATAGAAAGTGGGATGAAGCAAAACACTATAGTATGAATTCACTCTATCTCAATGTGGAGATATTGTACCATTTACGTATTTTCACATAGTTACTAAAGAAAGAAAACACTTTAGTCTAATTAAACTCAGGGGGCATTAACTTTTTGGCTGCTAGAAAATGCCTATTTAACAACCTAGAGTACCTGTTGGGAAATTAATAAAAGCTGTCTTATTCATACACCAATGCTACAGGAAATGTTCGGCAATAGGTAAACGCTTTTCAGATCCGGAATAAGATCACAACAGACAATTTCGTCGCTACGAATAACTAGCAACGTTTACAACCCTCCATCTGCGTGGACACGCAAAATTCTTTAAAAGTGCCAAAAGGTATTAAGTGATAGTATAACGCTTTTCATTTCGAGATTTAAAATAAGAAGCTAGTAAAGTGGACGACACCGCATACCTATACGAAGTAGACCAAATTTTAAGAGCTTCATATAATGTACGAAGTACAATATGCAATAAAATTGGACTATGACATGTTTCAAACTGCACCTTTTACACAATGACACATAGTAAGAGCAAATGAAAAACGTCCACGGACCTTTCGACCTTTGCAATCGGACTGTTCTTGTGATACCCGCAGATCTTAATACTGACAGCTAGGCTTAAAAATGAAGCCTTAAAGGAAAGGTAACGACAAAAGTGGAGCACTAAACACTGTTGGTTGGGTTGCTCAATGTGACGGCTCTTCACAGCACCTTCAAATCAAAAAATTATTTCAAAAAGATCCCACAGAAAAAGCATCCCAAAACTGCTTTTTTACGCCAAAAGTTGGTAAAAACCAATACGCCTCAAACTACTGTTATTCACAAGTGACCGAGCCTTTACATCTTTGGTTCACCCTTCTGGTGAAATCAGATGCTAAATGCGTACAGCCATTATTGCGACGGAAGGCGAAAATCGTAAATAAAACAGTCATTAGAAAAAGGACTGACCTGAGATAATTTCTGCAATCGATGTAGACAATGAGTCAGTGCAACAATGTTTTCCGCCCACTGCCCTTTATCAGTTATCATGCGATCCATGAGGTCACGAGTTCGGTTGGCGCCGCCGTAGGAATGATGCATCATTCTATTCTTAGCCTCCTTCGACGAGGCGAAGGGTCCACTACCTAGGCGTTTGGAAAGGAGGCTTGCAGCCACCGCCTGAGGATCCTTGAAGAGGCTTGAGTCGACCTCCGGTGGATCGGATGAAAGAGAACGCCAGTCAGATAGTGGAAGATCACAGAAGGCCGCAACACCATCGGTTAACTGACTTCTTCGATGAGACGGGTAAAAATCAGATAAATGATCCGAGTTATATGATGTCAGACTGAAAAAAATAAAGGCCATTTTGTTCTAAACTCACTCATTTAAAAATAGCGTTTGAGGGGCGGAAAGGATAAAGAAGAGGATTACTCAATAAAGCAAGATAAATGTCTCAAAGTACTCCCTACCGCGGATATCACCGTCACACCACCTAGGTTGAACAACCTTACACAAAGTATTGTTGACGTTCTAAACAATTGATGAGCTAAGAATAATTAAATGAATTTTAGGTCAAACCTCAAATGATCGACTATAGAGCTAACTTGAATGGACAGTTAGCAGGGAAGACTTACGATCGTGAATATTGCATTCCTGCACCCAAACTGCACCGGTTATTTTTATCATTGATCACCAGAGCTATTGGCTGATTGAACACGAGGAAAAAAAGGGTCGCACGCATTTCTTCAGTCAGAATCTATAATAGAGCATGGGACGCTGTAAACGCCCTTGACGCCACACGGACTGCTTTTACAATGAATTTAAGTGTCAACTACTATAACTCTAATGTGTGGAGCACTATTGAACGGAGTTATTTTTAACTCCAAAATTATAGAAATATTCTTACAATTTAGCAGTAGATCACGTACTAATGATCGGTGCAGTGCTGCATTTAAAAAAAGGTGATTTGAGAACCGAGACGAATAAATACACGAATTTGACTAACGAAAGTACCCAAAAATGGTCAGCGTGTTTTTGAAAAGACAAAATTGTATGAAAACCACTAGTAAAGGTATCAAAGCGTAAATTAACCCTCTTCTTGACAGACAGTTCGGCCTTGACGGTATCCAGAGCTGGTACATGTTCCACTTCCTTGGTCATAATTTCAGTCATCTTCAGTAAATACTCAGTAGCCTCTGGCCAAGCCTTAGCAGCGATTAGATTTTTCAAGACTTCGGGTGCAGTTTTCACGCGATCGAGCACCTCAATAAGTTCAAGAGCGCGTCGCTGTTCAACTAACTCCAGCCAAAGACGCCGCAGCTCCTCTCTATTAAAACTCAAAAGACTTTTGCATTGACCAATGTCTCGTTTCATTTTTTGGACTGCTTTACGATTTTCTACAAAATTGGATACGTAATCAAAAACCTAAGCATACTCTGAAGGTCCTCTGAAACGTCACGATATACGTTCAAAATTTGGGTAACTTCATTATACTTTTCTAAACAATACAAAGAAGCATAGCACCTTAGAATAATCTAAAAAAGGCATTTAGAAATGGTAAATACCGTTTAAGTACACGTTCAGCACTTCCTCTGTTTCAGTATAGTCACGTTCAAGATGCCTTCGTTTTCTTTCTCGCACCTCTTTGCTACTGCTACATATGTAGAAGTGTAAAAAAGAAAGTAGCCAACTTTTCAAGAAGCCCATGAATGAATGACATCAAATAAGATGATTGCGTCTAAACCAAGAATAAACCAAAAAAGTAAAACCCACCATGTCTTTAAATGTGTCTCAGTCTTCCAAAGATACAGATTGTTTCCGACTCTAAACCGTAGAAGCAAAAATTCTTTGTTTTAGAACCAACTGAAACTGTGCACATTAGTCCATAAAGTCAAGTGAAACAACAATTCACTTCATAGTGCTAACGATGAATGAGGTAACGACTGTAACTACAATCAAACTAACGAATTTAAGGCCATCGCGTAGGCACATTATACGTGATAATACAGTGGAAAGCTATGGGGATTTAGCGTCCAAAGCATCATGAATAACTGGAAGCAATGATAAACTACTTTCCAAGCCTGATGGTTATTATGACTCGTATAACTACACATTTATGAAGAGAATGTGATGCACCGAATATTTAGGTGAATGTATACCGGTGGGAGAACACGCGATGTAAAGCTCCGATAAGCTAACGAACAATAATGAATATACGCATATGCCTTCCGACCGAAATGTGACCACCAAGGTTAAATGATTCAGTCAAGTAAGCCCAGGAGCTTGTAAAATCAAAAATTCTTGCAATCATGCAGCAAAGTGCGTATCGCAAATACAATGTCTGAGTGCTCTTACTCATTGTTTGGAGACCTTCGGAAAATAACACTCGTTTAGATTGACAAGTTCAACTTACGATATTGCAACTCACGCCAGCAATATTTTTGGTAGATGATACGAGATGCAATAACATCAACATTACTAACTTTTAGTGTTGCAACGGTGTTTTTCATGGCTTTAATTTTGTCAGCATACATTTTTAGTGAAATGGTTATCCGTTAAAAATAAGTGCTGAGAAATCCCTAAATGAACCCAAACGTATGAGTGGGTTGCTAAAATGGCAGAGCTAGTGACAGCTCAAGCAAACAGGTGACACACTATTAATTTCATTGGACTTATTTTCATCAGCTGCAGACATTAACGTGGACATCCAAAGTTGGATCCATGGGCTAAATAGTTCTCACTGCCTAGTTTTAGAAAATTCTTTTACGCCAATTTTGCCCGATTACTTGTGTCATTATTTTATATTTACTACCTGGATGAATTGCTCTATTTTTGCCTTGTCAGTGACCTTTTTATGCCCATTGCATGAATTCTAAGTAGATGCATATACTCAATTGGCCAATAGTAACAAAGCTAAAGATAAACCAATAAGCGGACAAATTTGACCCGGACAAAGTAAAGCTTACGGCTAGGTGTTTTGCTTCTGAGGTCTTCGGTATTCTTAACTGGATCAGGCGCCTTCGCCTCAAGTACTAGAGGATGTTTCACATATTTTCCCCTTCTAATATTACCGTCTTTATTCTTTTTAGTCACCATAAATGCCAAATAATGTTGTTAGAAATAACAAGTTTTCTCATCCTGGATGCATTTTCCACCCAATATATGTCATCCAACTTGCTATTTTCAAACATAATACCTGTGACTGTATTTTAACATTTTTAAGTTGGAATCTAGATGTCATTTGGCCCTAGATTGATGTGTTATACGTGAATATATCTGTTTCATCTTAGGAGAATATGGTTGGCGTCATTCTGGAAACGCTGAATTCGAAGAAACTAGTAGCGTTTGGCGTCATTATTTTAATTGCACAAACTGCATTTTTTCTTATTGGTGGTCTTATCTCGCCGGCACCGCATTCAAGCGAGCAAATTCTTTTGTCAAAATGTGTCGACCTCGAAAGTACTCCAGAAACGTTCAATAACAAATGGTTCTTCTTAAGACCACAGCTGTCGAATCAAACCTGTAGATTGGTTCTTGACGATGAACCTCTGGAGAAGATTGCTTCCCGACCGAATATTACTGCTGAAAATATTGTGTTCGTTGCTCAATTTCCACATCCTAGGTCGGGGGTTGATCTCAAGATGACACGTTGGTTTCAACAAGTAATCGCCGTACTCTGGCTTGACATCAAACAGAAATATGACATAGAGGTATGTATTTTAAGCACAAGTAACTAGAATTGCTCACATGTTTTTAATGATAATCGGGCCCTACTCCTTGAACAGGTTAAGCCAGATGCATGGTTGACATTTGACGTGAGACTGGGCTATCGCAACGACGGTGACCCTCCAGAGGCTTGGAAGGAGATCGCACGCTCCCGAGAGATGCGTCCGCTTTTCTGCAGCCTTGACAAGAATGTCACGGGTGAATCTGTGGGGATTGAGCGTGGGCCTGGTGAGGATTTCGGATTTTATGATTGCGAAGTGATGCCCCTCTTCACATTGGGGAGTTGCCACCATCAAAACTATCTAGTCAATATCCGAATTCCCCGCGACCTTGATAAGGGAATCAACCACAAAATTGGTGTGCTTCAGGATGTCTGGATGGTAGAAATTCATCAAAACGGTGGTTTTACAATGGTCAGTTTTACCACTTGTTTATCCAATGTTCGTTTTTTATTAGAATGCTGATTGATCTATCAGCATAAACATGTTGGGGCTCAAAGATTTCCACGGGCAGCCCTTGTTATTAGATAAAGTAGAATTTGAAATCATTAAATAAAATTAACAGATCTAGTTGTGAATTGTGCATTCATTCCAACAAGCTGTTTATGTCTGCAATATCGAACACGACTTTTACATTTGGGGTTTATACTAATTTTAGTTCTGCAGGTGTATTCCTTTCGTCACGGATGTTACAAATGAGGTAATGAGACATGAGGTTTACCATCATTCTTGAATTGCCAGTAAAGAACTCTTTCATTTGGGAAAGGCAAAATCCTTTTACTTTTTTGACTCTTCCGAATTCAGCGAGTAAAAGTGGAGCCAAAACATAATCTAATTGTCTTGAATGTGTTACCTTTAATGCATCCTAGTGATACTGTTCAAATAAAACTAACAAGTTTCTATAAATCGGGATGCTTGCTTTCCATGACGCTGATTCAATCGCGAAAACAGTATTTTTCACTTGTTGAAGGTCAACATTGCATCCCAGCGAACGGGAATATGAAATTAGTCATGCTGTGTGCTCTTCCCTGTCTACCCTTTTTCTTACTAAAAGTACTAGTGCTTAAATTGATATCTATTACAACACACGATTATCGCTACCTCAAATTTCCATAGTTTGTTGTTACTTTACCCCCCACTTCGATGGCGTTATGACTCGCTGCATCGTAAGCGAAACCGAATTAGCCGGCGCGCTTTGAAGTCGCGCGCCGTGTCTACTGTAATGCGCACATTTCAGAGCTAAGGCAAACGCCTCCTGGCGACTGTTTGCACACGCGGTGACTCACTACCAGCTGCGATTCTCCCATCGAGCTGATGCTGGCTGAGGGCAAAATGACTTGAACCACCTTTGGAAAGTTTAAGGTGGTATTTTTTCTGCGAAACTGATGGTCTCTTTTTCCCCGATCTTGCTACACACCCCGGTAATGGTACTAGTGTTTTTACGAAAGTTTAATGCTTTTACAGAAAAGAAGGGCTTTTCGGACATTTGGTTATCTTACCATTCATAAGAAAATAACCATTAGCGATTCGTTACTCGTCTTGTTTATGAAATCCCTTCTAGACGTAGTATTTTTCTTCTCTAGGTGTGGTTTAGTCTGAAGACTTTTCTGTTTCCAATTGCATTGTTAACGGTGGTGTTCTTTTGGCGCCGTGTCTCTGAGCTCGAGCGCTCGCCCACGCTAATGGAGCGCACAATCTTCGCTCTCGGTTTGGTCCTGTGCATTTTCGATTGTCCGGTTGAGTGGCTGTCCCTTAAGTGAGTCTTTTGTCCTTCCTACTCACTGTTACATATTTTATTACCGTGCCGTTTTGGTCCACTGCCCTTGCAACCTGTTATCGTTGACTGATTTACCCTCTTACCTATAACACTTATCGAAACTTTTCTGGCTATATTTGAATGAGGAGTTTCCTGTTTACCTACTTTATTTCAACTCCATACCCTATTTCCAGTTTCTTCGCTGTAGTAACTAACCAAATTCCCTCTTTTATAGGTTTGATGCCTCTTTCTGGCTTGTGCTTTCTGACATTCGTCAAGGCGCGTTCTACGCAACTTTAGCCTGCTTCTGGCTGGTCTTCACAGGAGAGCATCTAATGGATTCACCTCACGGTCATCGCCACCAGACGCGGTTCGGCCTCTCCGTGTATTATTGGCCAAAATTGCTGCTTGTCGGTGGCTGCTGCTCGGCTATGAGCATATTTGAACTAGCTGAACGCGGCGTTCAACTGCACAATCCATTCTACAGGTGGGTTAGACTAGTTTTCCTTGTCTATATTGTTCTCAACGCCGCGAAAACTTGTTAAAAACCACGAATTTTATCTGTTTTGAAGTGCGACATGCGCGTTTGAGCTTCTTTGTTGTGTCTCAGTGTTATCAAAGAGGAAGCTTTATCCAAGCGGATGTTTTTATCTTTGTTTTAAAATTTATATTGGTAACAGAAAAAAGGTCTCTTTCGCCTTCTGAGTCTATCAGGTATGTTGACTAGGCGATTTCGGTTTACTTTAACACATTTTACATCACGAAACGCTTGTATTTTTGTAAGACCAAATGCTGCTACGTTGAGGCACGAAGTACACTAGTTAAACTGCTGTAGTTACTTCTAGGCATGCTTGGTTCCCGGGACTACACATGTTCGCGTGCATTTTAGCGAATTGTAACTTTTTCTAAATTGGCCACACCACTTACAGTATAAGCGCTTCTTTTGTTACCAAAGTGTAGATTATAGCGGCTTTTTCAAACTCTTTAGCTTTATTTGACTAGCAAAATAGTGTGCAAGTGTAAAATTTTCACATTGACTTTATTTTCTTTCCTCAGTATATGGTCACATCCCGTAGCAGCGAAGCTGGGCTACGCAAGCGTTATTTTAGGCGGATTGTGTGCCGCTGCTTACTTTCTCTACCTCACAGTACTAATCTGTCGAGCGCTTTGGCAGATTTTTACCAAACGACGGCTACTTCCCGCCTTGCAATCTGATCAGCGTGTCTACTACAGTGGGCTCATCTATCGTTTTACAGCTCTTCTCGTCTACACTATTCTCTGTGCTGCCCTCACCGTCATTTTTTACATATTTAGTCAGGTTGGTTATCTTACGTATTTTAATCGTCCTACTCTCATACGTTAGTTGTCAACATCCGTGCCCGACATGGATAATGTCAACCTGTGACCTCTTAATGTACAGCCGAATTACCTAGTGGCCGCAATTTCGTGCATAAAGTTGACTCAAACTAGTGGTTTCACAGTCAGCCGTAGTGGCAGTTTTGTTTGTGACTTCTTAGTCGATAGATTTTTTTGCGAAAAGTGAATGGCTTAGTCAGGTCGCATTGACCTCGCCTCCTGCAATAAGTTCAAATGGTTAGTTTTCATTACTCTTTCGGGTGTTGCCGGCTAGGTCGCATCGTTGTTTTTTGTAGACACACCGAGTGTTTTCCTTGCATATTTTGGAGGCGACATTCACCGCTGTATACCAATCGCTCGTAAGAATAATTGGCTGCGAAGTCGGCCACTTTGGAATGGGCATAATAAAATCCAAAAGCCATGTCGGTAGCGGTGGTGCTGTTTTTGTGCTTATGTGTTTTTAGTCTAGATCATTCAATAAGGCATTTTCGTGGTTTTAATCGGATATTTATCCGTTCACCTTGCCGAGATGCTTTGATCTTTTCGTTTTTGCATCCGCCATGCTTGTCATGGTTATCAGTCAGCGCGTCAATCAAATGGTGAAAAAGTGCTGATGCATGCACCCACCAGGTTCATGTATAATGCTTCGTCCGTCTGGGAATTATGGCTCATGTACGGACCTTTTAAACCCAAAATATTCTTGCGCACGTTTTAGCGATATCTTTTGCAGCATCATTGTCTGCTGGATTAGTGCAAAAGGCCGCTTCACAGTCAAGGGCGATGGTGTACCCCGTTCTCTAAAACAGATTTCAATGATTACGGAAAGGTTTCATTGTACGAAATATCGATGATTGGATGATGAGGAGACGGAAGGGCCCGAGAGAAAAGTCGCTCATGAGTGGCAAAGCCTCTTGTTGATGATGGAGGGACCTCTTTTGTGGAATTTCGCGTGTCTGTAGGGCTCGTATTATCGCTTACATTCATGCCTAATGCGCAAATACTTGATCTTCCTTTTCGGCTCGTGTGGAAGGTATGGCGTAATGGACCGTGACACTACTTGAATGAGGCATGGCCACTGGAACAGATTTTGGAGACAATTTCCTCATATTGTAAAACGGTGTGATTTTACGGCAAATTAACGGTTTAATGCATTCACTGGCACACAGTTATAGGTTATACGGCTGGAAATCCTTTGATTTCTGTATAAATTCGTGCTCTCCCCCAAGCGGATGTGTATATCGAAAGCCCACGAAGGTGCGATAATGGTGTGCCAATTATCAGCCAGACTTGGCGCCCTAGTCCAGCAACATATATTTGCATTAAGTTAGCGTTTCGTTGATATGCTTCTCTTTACTGTAGGCAAATGAGGAGCGATGGAAGTGGGGAAGCCATCGCATTGAATATACATCAGCATTTATTACGGGAGTCTATGGCATGTGGAATGCTTACGTGGTCACCATCCTCTGCCTTTATGCGCCTTCACACAAATTCCGATCATCAAATGGTAATCAAATGATGGAAAATCTTTTGGTGAGCAGCGATAGTCCCGACGACCGCTTACCAGTAGAAGGTCAACCCGGAACGGAATCAAAACAGGAAGACAGTGGACCAACGGAAGGTGTTAAACTGGTTCCCGTGCATGGACTCACCTTTTTCACCAAAACAGCTCAGGAGTGAAAGTAAAATTCAAACTTGATGCTGACGTGACAATCTTCTTCCCTACTCTGCATGCATTTCATCCGCATTTTTTCAATTTATTTACCGAAACGTAATCGGTTTATCGTCGCACTTACGCATTATTATTTGTCGGATTATAATACAGCATATTTTAAATGATAACCTATGCCAAATATTTTGATTGTATGGTGTTAACGTTGTGATGTACTCATTTTCCAAGTAAATTGAAAGTCCACGATGTGCTGGCGAGAAGGTAGGTGGTTTGAACACATCAAAATTCGTATTTTGTTTGAAACAACAAGGAACGGTGAATTCGCATCAACTCAAACTGAGTGAATTGAATATGCGTAAAAGTAGGCTGCATGAAAGTGGTCGCTCTAAATTTTGTTTTTCCAGGTCACATTAATCTGCTGGCATGTTAACGGGTGAAGTAAAATAGCCGAAAATTCAGGCGATTCGAATCCAAGGTAAAACAGTTTTTTCGTCTAGCTAGCTAGTAGTCATTGACGGGGTGGGAAGTGATTCTGGTATTCTGTGCCAGTGGGCGGGCTCGCAGTAATCAAGGCAGTTCCTCTTACGGCCCATCTTTATGACCAAAAACCGGTGTGTTCTAATTCCCGGTTCCCGAAGAGCCAATGATGGTTCCATTCGCACGCTACAAACCTTCATAGTTGTCGTTTAACGCAACCAGGGCGCACGATTCATTGAAAATTGACTTACGATAGACATTGAAGGACCATGATTTGGTAATCGCATTATGTTTTCGTAAATCGAAAGATACCGACTCCCAGGTGGACAAATCTCGATTGGCTAGGCACTACAACGGTGTTGGCAGGGCTTTCGTCAAGTCAGCCTGCCTAGGATACAAGGATTGTCTACGTTTATTGCACTAATTCGGTTACGCCAAAATTCTATAGAAACAATTTTGCTTGAACAAAATAACACTGAAAACAAGTTATCGCAGCGCTTATTTTGCAAGCAACGTGTGGTAAAATTTAGATAAAAATTTAGTGAAAATTCCCCCGCATATGGAGCTACCTTCGTACGAAAATGCACTGGAGGGAATCCCATACTGTTGCATTTAACCAGGTCTGTTATGCTAATTTCTTGTAAAATATTACATAACAGAGCAAATCCATCAGATTAGCCTTAACACTCCAGCATATTGCTATGGTTAGCAACCATCACCATAGAGTTGAACACTCAAGTGATAAAAAAATATAATATCATTAGTAAAATGTATTTACATCACAAAGCAACACTAAAATAGACCTTCCTAGGCTCAATCTTAAGTAATGCACCACTACTGGTCTCAGTAATAATAAGTTAGTTGTTTGTTTACCTCTCGGTTTTTGTAAAGGAGCCACTTTAGCTCCCCACCATTGTGCCCCAGCGGGGTGGGCTGTGGCAGTTGCCCCAGGCCTTTTTATATGTCAACGAAACGTATCCTGTCCGAGTACTGTCTTCTTTAGACTTCAGAAAAGTCTTGAAGCGCTACATTGATGGCGGTGGAAAGCAAGTCTGATCCCACAGGACATCTGCCCTGATTTTTTTTGCTCGGTGATGAGCCTCAGCGGGGCGAAAGAAGCGCATATGCTACGGATGGGAGAATCGGTGGCGATTCCTAGCAGCAGAGCTGAAAAATGACATCTGCTTTCGGCAACCATCGCAGTCTTTTGGTCTACAGGAAAGCTATTAACAACGAAAGTGACACTAGCCGTGAAACATCTGAAAAAGTTTTGTTGCAAGGCTGCAAACCATAGCTACATAAAGATATTAAACATGAGAAAACACGATGCCTCCTAGTCCTATACCCATCTGGGTTCTGTTTAGCAAGTGGAAAGGTGGGGGAAGTGTCGCGCATTTACTACATTGACATTTTCATGCAAGTATCATAGACGGCTCCGCAAGGAGCATTTTCAGATTGTTCAAGGCTGGTATCGCTTCAGCTGTTAATAGAATTCATGCAGAAAATAGACCTAGAGTACTTGCTAAGGGTAGACGTCACTTAACCCTTCTGTTGAGGATCGTCATGGGTGCCCCATGTGCTGCATATGCTCATCTTCCGTCATGTTAAGGCTTAGCATTCAGAAATGGAAATCAGCATGGTTGTCCTTCATGATCGGATTAGCTTGGGCAGAATATGTTTTGCCGTCGTAGAGAAGGGCTAAGGGCAACTGGCGTGTCCCAGAGTCCATGCCGCCCTGCGGCAGTGCAGAGGCGGACCCTTAATAGCCCGCGAAATTAAGACGAAGAATTCAACGCGTAATCAAGGTATTAAAAATACCTGGCTGTGTAAGTAATTATTTTGGAGGACATTCATGCTTTGTCTTGACAAAGTCGAGGGTTTTTTCCCTTTACAATACTAGCGTGGTGGAAACATGAATTTAAGACACGGCCTATTCAACAAGCCCCATGCTTCACTGTTCATATCCAACACTGAGTTTAGAGCCAAATTATTTTTTTTTTACAATCAATGCGACATTGTGAGAATGAAATTCCTCAAAGCTGCCCAATGAACTGAATGTATGGTGGGAAGCGTTCGGCAAAATGTCATTTACTTCAGGAACACAAAGTAGTGAATGAAATAATAGCAATGGCAGGTCCTGGCACATTAAAATCTTCTCTACAACGACCACTAGCAACGACTGGTGGTTCAGCGATGATAAATGAATTTGAGATTTATAACAAACTCATTCCTTTTAAGAGTTATCAAATGCTTTCTATTTCTTGCTCGCACAATGGCAGAAAAACATAGGGACAATCATTTGTACCCCGAACTCGATTGCGTCTTCCTTTATGACGCTTGTTGAAACAGCCGGTACCTTGTATATCTGCAACATGTTAAAATGTAAATTTCGTCGCAGAATAGGGCACATAGCCTTGATGAGAGGGGCATTACAGCTTCCACCGGTAAACCTTTGGATTGAAAGCACTTAGGGGTTAAACATTCGTGTGCGGAATTGCTGTGCAATGAATTAGGATGGATTATTTTCAAAATCACGTGCTTTTACATTAATATATAGATTTAAAAAATAACGTCGGCAAAATGCCTATGATAAAACACTGACAAATGTCTACCAACGCCTCTTTGACCGTGGCACCATAGCATCATGCAAATTGCCAAAAGGTTGTGAAATTGGCGCTATACTACAGTGGATCAGCTGAAGTATCGAAAAGGTAGACCTGTGAGCACACAGTCGATGTTGATTGATGAATAGGGCCAGGGAAATTTCCGACTGAGCTTCATCTGCAAGTCTTTAAATTACAGAGAGAATTTGCATTTGAAAACTCGGTCTCACCTATTTACGGTATTAATTAAATGCTGTCAAAATGGAAACCATGTCTTATTTTTAAGGCCAGATTATTAACCACCTTTCCGAAAAGAGTATTTTAGTTTAAAAGTATTTTTTGATAATTCACTGCCTTTTTCTACACCTATAAAATTAATATTTTGGAAAATTTAAACACCTTACCAGGATTAGTACTGAAAAGCATTAATCGAGGTTAGTAAACCTGTCATTTAATACTTGAGCGGAATTTGTGGTAGTTGGAGTAACTACTGTATCATTACAGTGCCCGATCAGAGGGTGAGGAGGTGTTGACAATTTGTGCGACTGAATAGTCATCAGCCAACTACAATCGCCACGCCAGAGTGGGATTACCTTTAATCGCCTTTTGGACGTCGCGAGCATCGGTCACGGCAAAGCACGCACGAGCGTCCGTGCTACCACTCTTTCTGGCCGAGGGCGCCCCAACAGTCGATACTGATTTATGATGGGCACCAGAATGTTAAAATCACTTATTTTTTTATCAAAATAATTGCTACTTAATTAATATTAATAGCATAAATAATATATCAGAAAATATACTAAAGGCATAATAAATCAAGCATATTTTAAATATTTTATGATTAAACCTATTAATGTATTTTCAAATAACAAAGACTAGTTGCACAATGCGTAAAGTGACTTTTTTTAATCCCTTTTGTCCCGTACCACACAGTAAAAAAATTTAATTAATTAGTTTCCAAAAAATCCCCTCTACCTTAGGCAAATTGCAATAACCGTAGAGCCCCGAGGCTTTACTAAAGACGAAATAAAGTACAATGCTCAAGCAGAATATGTATTACCGACTTATAGAAGGGTTTTGGGGCTATTTATATGGCGCAGGGGCAAGACCGTCCGGTTGAGGTACAAGAGCCGGAGCCTATGGTGACCTTTTGCCAAAACCGAGAGTCAAACAAATAAACCATTGTTCCTGCAGTCCCTCTTAGTTAACCTTCTCGTAAGCCATCATAACGTAGCTAGTGCTACAGGGGAAAACATTCACGAAGCACCACTACAAGTCATCGGATTTCCTTGCAACTGGGATACCTGACCACAAGGTCACCTATTCCTCTTGGTAATTCTACTGGACCTAGTTTCGTACTTAACGAAGCTATTTTGAGGGACGAGGGATTGCGCTGGCTATCACGTTTGTCCATAGCTAGTCGGAGGAATATTGGTCCAAAAGCAAAGTCATTTATTAAGGAAGGGGCTTTTAAATAGCTTCGTGGGGATGGAGTTTTGTGTTTATTCCTCCTTGCCACTTTGTTTTCACTTCAGTGCTGCCTAGCTATATCTATCTATGCTCTATCCAGCTGGTAGAATAATAAATGAGGCATCGTGTCCTCACCTACGTGAATTCTTCGTAGATAAAAGGTAACAGCTCCATAACCAAAAACCTTTCCAAATGGTTCACGTCCACGGTTAATGTCACTTCAGCTGTAAATAGCAATCCTACAAATTGGGGCAGTCATTTTCAAAACTTATGTTAAGGATCGTCACAGGTTCTCCCTTTAACAACATATGCACTTCTTCCGTCGCTTTCAGGCTTAACATTCAGTAACATAAATCAGGATAGACGTCCATTAAGATTTGGTTCTCCTTCCACTCCCAACAATAGAGTTGCGAGACTTCCTCGAAGACGAAGGAAGACATAATACTCGGACAGAATACATATATTCAGCGCAGAGAAGATATTTGGGCTACTGGCATGGCCCGAAGACCAGCTCACCTGACGCGGTACAAAGGCCAATTCAAAAGTTGCTCCTCGCCGACACCGAGGGATGAATAACCATCGTATTACAAAACACTTCCGAAAAAAGGAAACGTTACAACGGAGGGACTGAATATAATTCGCTGAGAGCAACTATGAATACTTAGAATATGAGGCAAACAGACAAATCTATTCGTAGAAACGCGGAATTAGCTCATGGAACCAAGAAGGTCTGCATGGTCTCCAGTTTACGCTATCACCGTCAATGTTGAATTAAATTAACGAGGGCTTTCATTGTAGCTCAACTCAGTCAGGCGAAATCGCTGCGTTGATGGTACTTAAGTCTATTTGGCGTGCGCATCACTTGACACGCTTTTTTTCAGCACTTGTTCCTTTAAAACATTACCAACATGGTAAGAGAAGCATGCTACACAAATCCTCAGTAGCACGGTCCTTAAATTGAGAAAATTAATACGGAACAAAATAATGTGGGGAATTCTTTCCACCACTTTATAAAAAAATAAAGTAGTTTAAGCTTCCCTTTACCCTCATTGTATCTGCCGTACCTTGGCTAAGAAGGGGTTTCATGCATTAAGGGCCCTTTTTTTTATTCATCTGCTTATTTACTGATTTTATTCTCCCGTTTATAAAAGCCAGGTTTTTAATAAAGAGGGCTTTTGCGTCTTATACCGAATTTCGACTTAAGTAGAAAGACAAATTGATTGGCAGGACACTTCGATCATCAGCTATTATACAATCATGGTGTAAAGGGTGTTTGCTTAAGCCAGCAATCTCCCCACCTGTCCATGCGACAGGCATTAGAGGCCAAAGTAAATGAAGACGGCCAAGTTCTCAGCATAACTATACTCTCTCACAGAAAAATCGAATCAAGTCGGTCCTATTCTACGACAAATATTACAGTTTTAAGGATAAAATGAAGATTTCAAACCATAATAAAAGCTATCAGAGCAACTTAACTATGCAAGGAAGACAGTCTCTTCTGAATGCAGTACTTCCTCATTTTTTTGCAATTGCGCGGAAACGAACTGGAGACCCCACCGCACAGATCGGATAAACGGATGGCGCAATGACGACCCATCAAGCAGGATGTATTTGACCATGTTGTCAGCGAAGTGTCCTCCTTCGGATTGGGTCACGAGTGTGTATAATTACGGTATATCATAGCGATAAATGTCATTGAGAGTTTGCGAATTAGTTTCAAGAATAGAATAGCTAAATAAAGGAAAAGTGGCTATCAGAGTTTCAAATCTATACTTCGTACAAATTTAAAGAATCACATTAAACGCAGAAGAGTGAAATCATAATTAAAGATGAAATTCCACTTCCAGAAATGTGAGTTAAATTTGTGAATGCTGAGTAGGTGCTGTGCAGGCAAAGATTGCACACACCGAAAGTCAGTTCGCTTAACACAATAAAAGGTACAGAAGGCATTTTCAAGGGAAAAGGGACTTGGGGAAAAGAAAACGTAGGCTTGAATATATTGAGTGTTAATAATAAGCTTGATTAACCAGAGAACAGATCGAATCTTTGCAAAACATGCTTAAAATTAACAAGATAAGTAAGAATGGACAATTTGAAAAAAAAGGGTATAGAAATGACAAAAACGCAAAGAACGAATTAAAAGTAGGGAGAATAAATATGCACTGAAGAAACTAAAAGCTCGAGTTATGCGCATATTTGAGTTTTCAAAGCATTAGTGTATGTTTCTGGATTGTAGAATTGTTGGTACTTAAATATATGCGACTCTACTTCCTCGGGGCCGCATGTCCTTAGGGCCACGCCAGTAGCCGCAAGGCCTACTGTACTATTCTGCCCTAGTGTTGCGCCTCCATTCGTCCACAGGGAAGTCTCGGAGTGCTACACTAGACTGTCATAACTCCCTGGGCACTCACACTGAGGCCACAGTGTTTGGGAAATGACGGAGGCATAAATGAGTCTCTTTTTCTGGTAATACTTTGTCTTTTTAGCGAAACAACATTATTGCTATATGGTGGATTCGGAAGGAACGTGGATGGAACGAATAACAACCAGATATTCTTAAATTTTTTTTTTAAATTATACATTCGGATAAACTATGCCAAGCAAATATAATGGTGATAATCGTGGCAGGTGTGCCAGAATTCAGATTTTCGAATGAACGTGAAGGGACCAAACAGCCATGTCGCAGTCTCTTAGGCTAGTGATTTAACAAAGAAGGTGTGTTTAATTAGGGTACGAGTATGGCTTAGTGATTGATGCATAGGTCCTCGTATCATATACAGTACTTAGGTAAAAGTAAACTTATCCAAATGATTAGTTCACTTTAAGTTCAGATTTTCCCATTCTCCTTTTTAAATTCCACTACATCGAACCATTAAAACTTTTCAAAAGTCCAGTTTGTAATGCTTCAACATATTTGTATTCATTGAAAATTAAATAAAAATGAGATAAAATCCAAATTGGTTTCCAAAGTCATATCATTAAGGCTGCCAATTACCGCTACACAGGCACCGGCCATTCCGACCTCCATAGCATGCACTAACAGATGAGTAATAAAGTCACTACCACAATCGCATCCACCACCATCACCACCTTCAATGTTGAAAGCGGAAGCAGCATTGCTACCACCAAAATCAACACCAATACCACTGTTAAGTCAGCCTCCGCATCAGCGACCTGCCACATCACCGGAGCACAGGCCGAATCTACTGCCGATGCAATGCCTGAAAACGCCCTTATCTTTCTGTTGCTATCACAGTAGTCTCCTCTCTAATAATGATTTCTGCTTCTTAGAGTAAAGGAGGAATTTCTATAATATGCAACACTACTCAGATTTAAAGGGACGCTTCCTTCGTACCTTCACTTCGAAACTCCCCTTTTAACTCATCTGCTCTTAGCAAAATGCTCACCTTCCCTGATTTCTCCATCACCAAGATTCACCAACATCGCAAAACCAAGATCACCTTGCGCCAAAGCAGTAGCGCCGCTAGTTCAATGATTCGAAGAAATTCCCGTGGTTACTGTTTGTGCGGTTGGAAATAGATGCGTTGAAAAGGCAGACGAGCAGATCGTTGAAGACCGTGTAAATGGACTAAATATGGCAATGCATTCCCAGAAAGCATCAGAAGTCGTTTTAAGCAGACTGCATTTTTGCAAGCAATTTACTTTTCCTTCAAAATATGTAGCTTATTCTTGCTATGTACTACAGTCTAGTGGAGAGATCTTCATTTGAAATTTCACATCACATGGTTGGTTAGGAAACCTTCAGTGGGTCCGCTTTGTCAAAGAAATTTATAAAGTTGCGCAATTGTCCCCAGCGCTTATTAAACCTCTGTGCTTATCTGGCACCCGATTAGGTATTCCTGAAACAGTATCGCGGAAAAACCGGTGACTCAGGCAAGTCGTGGGCACTGTTACCTCCGTTTTGCCATTTTCAGTGTTATTGTAGCCCTAACAATGGTCACGATTGACAAAAATCGGTTCTGGCTCCTGACGTCCCTCCCAACGAGGCCAACTAAGCTAGCCTAAAATTATCTGTATGCATTCTTATAAAGTATGCTCCTAGTTATTTTATAGTTCATGACTTGCTCGTAAAATGTGCTTGTATAAACCCTATTGTTGTACATACTGGATTTGAGCTGCAAAATTAGTTTATTTTGATTTGGTTCAGAGCAGCAAAATATATTATATAGAACAAGAAGTTGTTTTGAAGGTATTGAAGGTGAAGGGATATGGTCCAAGGTAAGCTCAAACCAATCTTCAAATATCCTGGTGGCACGCGTAATGCTTGGATTGTTTGTTTAACTCTCCGTTTAGGTTACGCAGGCAGCCACTAAAGGGCACAGCCATGCCAGTAATCTCTCGGCCCTTCTGTGCTTTCTAAAGGAATTTTCGATCCCAATGCTATGACATTTTTCGTCTTCAGGAATGACTCAGGCTGCTACGGCGCTGTCCTTGCAATCTCTAAAGGCTCAAATCAACTAATGGATAAGCTCAATGTATTTTTTGGGAAATCCCCACATGCATATAGGGTTGTTTTTGACTCCTGGTTTTGATTGAGGAGAACGCTTATGTGATCCGCCATTGTACCTTCGCCGGGTGGGCTGGTCTTTCGACCAAGCCAGTAGCCTTAAAGCCTACTGTATGCCGACAATATTATGCCCTAGTATTATGTTTACCTTCGTCTTCAGGGAAATCTCGGGGCACTACAACAGGACCAGCCTGTTTTGCTTTGGCCCAAAACAGTAAAACATGCTTCCTAGGACATAAATCATTTTGCTTAAATTTGAGAAAAGGGGCAGATGTACACTCATACCTCTGCCTTCACCCATCCTGGAGGCGCAATCTATGTGATTCCTCCAAAACAATTCAGCTAATAAATAAGCACAGTGAGTTTATTTTGGAATGTATTTGCGGAAAATCTCTCCAGGTATACAATGCGCTGCACTATAAAATTTGAGCAGCTGCTGCAGAATAACACCATCGTATTTTGCGCACTGGCAACATGGGATTTGACGTAATTTCTTTGTAATTTAAACATAGAAAAAAAGAGTTAGTGGACTATTTACAGCAGTCATGAACCTAGCCAAAAAGTTACATGGCATGCTAAAACCAACACCTTCTATGTTTTCAAACACTACCGACTTAAGTTTTTTATGATCAAGTTAACGAATGTACATCAATATTCAGCAGACTAATTTTGTGTCTTTTTATGATGCGCCATTGTTGTAGGTGTTCGTTCCATTACACCTAGGTGAGAGCAAGCCAGTGATACTGAATACTCCACCTCTTCATTTCCAGGAATGTGCAAGTCCTAGTTTTAAAAAACTCCATGTAGAGTCCCGAAACTTCCCACTAGAGAAAAAAGACATAATACAGGGGCAGAATACGTACTATTGGCAGAGAAAAGGGTTGGAGGTCTACTGACATGACCTGGAGGCCTTGCTGCTTAGCGGAAGTACAAAAGCCGCGGCCTTCAATGCCCACGTAAGCAATCATTTTGCGCGACATCTTTAGATGTGCTTTCATGCAATTATGACCTAGTACGGCCTCAGTGAAGTGTTAGAGCATTGCAGAAACAATAGGATCTAATGCATCACCCTAAATTTTACCGTTACAAATAAGGCAGGTCTTCCAAATGCTCCATATTTGGCTCCTTTGTCTAATGTCATTCGTTTTTTGATTTTTCTGCACAAAAGATGTGACTGTAGTAATTTTCGGTTGGTTAGTTGGAGAATTAGTGCCAGATAAAACTCATAGTTGTGTACAAAAGTGTACTGCAACCATAAATACACTAATAAGCGGTTCTGTCACACTTACTTGTGTCTTGTGCCTTAAGTTGCCTCAATAAATGCGTTATTTAAAATATTAATTTAAATTTTACGTTTAAATTTTGTTTAAATTTTTCAGTTAGCTGCTCTGTGAAAAGGTGACTTTTTAATTCAAGGTAATTACTGCAAAGCCAACGCCTTTTTATTGTTCTTTTCTTGCAGGAATCTATTTATATTAAGCATAATTTAAACAGCTGGTTTTGAATGGTTCGTGCAGTTGCATTATGCACACGTCACTGTCGTATTGACGTCACTTTACTAATAACTGAGCAATACTCTGTTTATCACCTCAAATACCTAGAATTTGGACCTCAAATTGGTGTTTTTGGTCTTGCTTTTTATGTTACATTGTTTGTGGTAATTTTTTCGTTACAAACTAACGATTAAATTATTCCGCTTAGTTTATATAGGATTATTAGTTACTGACCCGTCTCTAGGAGTGTATGCTGTATTTGTATGGGTGGTATATGCTTGTGTCGCTTCACTTTTTCTGATAGTTATGCAAGAACATTGTGGAAGTGCTATCTCTCCAAAACATCCTGTTGGGAAAAGACCAATCAGAGTTCGAGTCCTTTTACTGGATGGGCATCTAGAGAACTTCATACTATCGGTAAGCCATTTGACAACGGGTTCGTTTCCAGTCCCACGTTTTTCTACGACATTTATCTCTTTTACTATCTGAGTTTGCTTCTATCATTTTGCTTATCTGATGTGAATTAGAAGGCGATTCTTACGTTTTAGCCGCGATGTCCTGGTCAAGAATTTTTCGATTTGGTCGTTCAATCACTACAGGTGGAAGATACTGATTACTTTGATCTGGAATATGAAGACGCCATGGGAAATAAGGTTGTGGTAACATATATAATGAACTTTTTGTAGAAACTAGTAATATAACAACAAGCTGGTTAAGGCCACTTTGATGAATAACTTCTGACTCCTTTTTTCACTTAGATTGTCGTTAATTTATGAATGACTGTTTTGCTTCTCTTGTACCGTTATGCACTTTGAACACATTTGTTCTGTCACATCTTATTTAAAGACTTGTAGGTATGCTCTTTCATTATTTTCCTGTTCGAAAATAAGTTTCATCTACAAGTCTTGGTTGCTCTGAACAATTAAGACAGTTTGGAATATGCGCGTTGTCATTTTATCACTAATATAATGAATGTACTGTTTCAGTGTTGGCTCGACCATTTTAAACCTATACACAAGCCTGTCTCACAAATGCTTCGAAAGCCAGCTCAATTTTCCTTCAAGGTGAAATTTTACACTACGCACCTCAATCTTCTTATTAACAAGTTGACTAGGTACGTAAAACTATGTTTGTGCGTATGGTGAAAACTGGATTTGTCTATTCATATTCATACATAGTCCTTACCACGATTAATGTCAATTTCTCTGTTGCAGTCACAGACTCAAATTGATCTGCTTATTTTTTTTAAGTTCAGTGCAGTAAATTGAATGATATATTCACTTTCCCTCCCTTACCAATACCATTTGTGCTGACCTTTGCAAAGATTCAAGAGATCATGGTTAAAATGTCCCACTACACCATGTAATGGATATTTTACCAACTTTTGGCCTTAAATAGAATTCTTTTACTTTTTCTCTTAAATGATGCGCAAAACTTAGGTCTTCTCCCGGCAACACTTTTATATACACCATACTGTTTTTGATAATTTAGTCCAACTATCGCCAACATTATAATTTCACCCTCTGTTCGGGCTGTCAACTGAGTTTAATTTGCTTAATCGTTTAATGTATGCATTTTGGCAAGTTTATTAGATCATGTACTTCTGTTCCAACTCTTATGCAGAATAACTATTTTACACCGGGGTTTCCCCTCATTTTCAAAACTTGGAATTTTAACTTTTATTTGATGAATTTTTTTAACTCATTTCTGTCAGTTCATTAAGTTTTTAGCATTTTAGCTTACTTGTCAAGTAAATTAGCTGAAGAAAACACCCAAAAATTCATGTAATTTAATGCATGCTATTCCGTTATACTTTAATTTGTATTGAATTGACTAGTGCCTCAAAATACCCTAAGTTTTCTCAGATTTCGATTTTGACTCAACTTGTGGTACCATTGCGAACTGATTCGTGCCTATGTTGATCCAGTTCAGATGCATTTTGAACCTGAAATATGGATGCTCATTTAATCATCGAATTTGTTAAAAATTGATCGTAGCCAACGCTGATTATGATATGGGTACCTTACCCTCAAATGCTTCTTCACCTAATCTTTGTTACCTCCTATTCCCTTGGAAGCAAGCATTCACGCTTTCTACATAATTATCCCATGTGGTCCTGCCAAGGGATTATCTGATTCTTATCAATTATTACGGAATACATGAGTTAACTTTTACTTCATTCACCAACACATTCCTTATTCGGTTGTATAGACGGTTATTTGCACTGCAAGTGAAAAAGGATTTAATTGATGGCGAGTTAAACTGCGGGGAGAATACTGCTGCACTTCTAACAGCTTTTGTTCTTCAAGGTAAGCATAAAACCGCAGAACGCCACGAACTAAGCTTCATATTTTCGCCTCGTTCCACTGATTTACGTACTCGCTTGTTCTGCCAAAAAACATAACTGTTGTTCTTTTAAATGGCTCTTAATTTTCCACACAATCGCGACTTACCTATGTCTGATGTTTGCTCACATTTTGTAACCTTTCTCAAGCCTTATCGTTTAACATGGGTATTTTTAATAGGTGTTTTGGGTTTTAGTCCAGGTGTCTTTTTGTATGCTCCTCGATGCTTAAACTGATCAGCTAGATCACACGCGTTGTGTTGCAGTGTTGACAATAGGAGACGAATGTGTAATGATGAGCAGAGTCTTCTGGAGAAATTATATAGCAAATCACATTGAACTCTAGGATATGCATTGGTTGTAAATCATTAATCTTTCTTGAGTATGCGATTTCTGCTTATTAAAAAGTACCTTCAAACTCTGACAAAGTTAAGTTGGACTTTAGAATTACCTACGTAGGAACAAAACTTAGACCGTCACCTTACTATTCAACGGATGTCTGCATTTTTGCATATTTTTAATCCTATCACCTCGATCTCAAATTTCTGATTAATTTATTCAATGCATTCCTGTCCACAGATTTTGGTGAATGGATTTTACGTTTAGCTAGCCATCTACTAGGGTCTACCGCAGATTTCTGGGATTGAAGCCTCGTCGTCTGTGGTAGGCTCCCCTTAGGGCGCTAGAATTCGTGTGCTTCAGTGAGGCCTTTAATTAAGAACTTCCATCAAAATTACAGATTGACTATTTAAACAAGACTTAGTCATCTCGGAGGCACATAACGTTCAAATATATCTACATTCCATCACCTGTTCCGTAGTCGCAAAATTCTTTAGTTTGTATTTTTTGTTAGTTCATCCGTCGATTTTCCTTATTTAAGAATGCTAGTGGCGTTTTTTGCGAAATGAGCGGCTATAGTCATGAACGTAAATTACCAAACTGGGAGGATGTGATTGCGATTTTTCAAACAAATTCTAGAGTATATTTATCACTATTATGGTTAAATAATTTCGTCCGGATGCAAATCTTTTACTACACGACTTGAAGAGTACTTAAAAGTGATTTTCGCATAAATTATATGAAACTATTCAACTTATTGTCAGCTTAAAATTTATGATGCCTTCTAAGTTTTTAACAACATTCACTCGTGCACATTCTGTTTTGGCTTCGCAATGCTTATTTATTCATTCTAGCCGATACATCTTACAATACGGCTACAAAATTGGGGGCGATTTTGTGATGCGAAATTGAAGGGCTTTTATGTGGGTGTGATCAGTAATGGCTCGGGTACAATCCTTCAATGTTCTCTTGGAGTCGATGAATTGGGTAACGTTGGTGGCGTCAGAGCCATGGACAGTTCTTACTTCAACGATAGGAACCGTCTCTTTTTGAACATCTGCTGTCATTTCATCCTGCTGAACTGATAATTTTTGTTGTTTTATTTGCGGGAAATAGGCCCCTCAGTTGGCCATTTTGCCTAACTACCTACAAACAAGCGATTGGTAGTGACTAACTTTACACTAACTGCCTTAATGAAATATTTTTAATTTTCACTCTTAATATCTTCTTTTATTCTGATATAGCCGAGCTGGGAGATCGTGAGGAGGAGGATAGGCGCATACTAAGTTACTTGGAGAATATACGGTTGAGCAAGCAATACTCCCCTGCCTTCATATCCAAAGTGGTAGACTTGCACAGCAACTTAGAGTAATTGATCTGCTAAGCTTTTTTGTTATTATCTCTTGAAGTAAGCAGCCGTTAGGAGGCATCCAGTGGTTACTTACACTGAATATAATTGATGTTTGTGGTGTTTTGCATATCATTCTTAAGGCTTAGTGATACATTTATTAAGCATTCAATTACGCTTTAGACATCGATCTATAAACAATTTCTCTTCCCCCCCCCCCCCCCCAAATCGACACTAAAACAGGTAAAAAGATGCATATTTAGCCATTTTTTACAATTTTCCCTATCATCTTATTGTGCAACCTTTTCCTTTCCAAACGATATTAATTATTGAATAAGTAGTCAGTTCTATAGCAATCTCTTATCTGTTAACAAGTATAGGAAAATAAAAACCATTATACCTATCAAATTTGAAGTTTCGTAGTTTTAAGTAGTCCTCATTCAATTAACTTCAATCGTGTATTTTTTTGATCAGGTATGTTTATTGAAGACTCAGTGTTTCTGTCAGTATAGCAAATAAATGTCAACTCCACGATGAGCATATAAATTGTCTGCTTACTTTTTTGGTTTATTTTATTAAAATCGCGATGTTTTTCAGGTCCCTTTTTACTTCACCATGTAATTAGTTAGCATTGGGAAATCTTCAGCATGAGGCTCTATCCTGTAAGCGGTAACCGTGCTATTTTACAGTCAGCTGACTATTCTTCATAGCGTTTTTGTGTTCAACTTTTTTTTAGTTAAATAATCTTAAGTGCGTTTTCGTATTACTTTGTTTAGAAAATAAAATATCACTCACTTATCGTCAGAACTAATTCACACATTAATTTTGCATGGTTTATGTCTAAGTTCGTCCCTAGACGTGTAAGTCTTTTTACGTTCTCTTAGTGTGATTTAATTGAGTCCACTTGTTTGTTTTTACAATTTATTCATTTAACTTTGAAACAAGTTTATTTTGCCTCTTTCATGCCCACTTCTAATCGTTGGGAGTCGGGATGAACTTACTTTTTGATTTTTTAGAGGGATGTCCGAAGGGGAAGCGGATTACCGTCTTTTGGATGCGGCAAGAAAATTGGAGTTCTACGGTTTAAAGCTTCATCCTGCCAGGGTAATGTCTCCGTGGTTCATTATAGCTACTGGCTTTGTAGTGATTAGCACTGTCGCATCCAAACTAGTACGTTATTTTGTATAGCGCTTTGAGATCAAGAGTAATTCCAAGCGTAGCGAAGCCACTTTAGTCATGTCATGTAGGTAAATACAATTCCCGAATGTCTAAAATTTGATTTTACGTAAATGCGAAGATTCTTTGCAAAGAGTTGGATTGAGTTATTTTATGTGAGAACTCTCGCTTTTTACCCATTACACTCCACTCAGTAGCTTATACTGAGGTTCTAATTTCAAATTTTCATGTTAAATATCTATAGTGTAAATATTTAAAAAAGTTGGAGAAATCATTCGTTTAAAAAGTGCTCCAAAAATCTATTGCCTTCAACTGCCAACATTGTTTCCAGCTGCACAGTGTTTGTTTCTAGATAAGTTATTTATTGAGCTTCTCTACTAAGAAGAAATATCATGTGGCTGTTCCCGTTTAACAGTACCCTTTAGACTATGATGCTATTACTTTTCCAATCTTGTTAAAAACCTCATAGGTGTTGTCCAAGTAATCAGCTCATCTTAACAAGCACAAACTATTCTAGGGCTTAATTCACCCAGTTATGTGCCCGACAAGACCTGTAAGTGTGCATTCTACGAGGATTTGTTGCCTACCCATCCCAGTTTAGCTGTTGGCGCATAAAAGATGGGCTTGCAAACTAGTAGTTTTGAGATATAAATGCGCTTGATTTGACTACTCAGATAGTAATCTAGCGTTTTTGTCCAATCCTTCAAACAGAATTTTTCCCCTGACACCTCTTTGAATTCCTATTGAAGGGATTCCCTCCGTAAAAGTTTTTCATAACTTCATTTCATTTAAGAATAATCGCGGTAGTGTAGCTAATCTTCGCTACACGTTGAGTGTTTTAGCAAGATAACCAATCCGATTTGCAGTCCACTCCCCACGAACTCATTTGCTTCTAATTTTGTAAATGCCTTTTTGTTTAGTTGTTTTAGCATATTATTTGCAATTTTTGGCAGTATTTTACTTCTTGAATTATAAAATAGGTTTAAAAGCAATTACTCCTGCGATGACATTTTTATGCTAGAAATAACTTGTTACTACTTGGCTTTGTTTTATGACCAATCGACTTGCACTTTTTAACGTCTTTGGTGTAATTTTTCTCTTTAAAGTCACCACAAAGTACTTAAATCCTAAGCAAAATCCATCCCTACGATTTTTTTATCTTCAGCAATAGGTAGCCCCGAGCATATTACTCCATTACGCTAGTCTCAATAAATTTCATTTATAGTAAAAATGTTTTTTTAACACATCTTGTAAATAGCTGGACAAAAGAGTGTATTTGAAAAACGTTTGTTCCTGAAAACTATTCATTTACCCTAATGTTCTTTAGCATTTGCTCGCATTTCAGGAGAACGGTGGAATACCTCTCAATTTGGGCGTTACGCATGCGGGTCTTTTTCTCTATCAGGGCAAAAACAAATTAAATCATTTTAGCTGGTCGAAGATACGCAAGCTCAGTTTCAAACGTACCAGATTTCTCATTAAACTTCATTCTGGAATGGAGGTAGGTTACTTGCTACCACCTCTCAAACCAACATTTTCTCTGCAACATTTATCACTGCCTCGAAATACTCTCTTTTTTAATTTGTCACGAATACTTTATTACTTATTTTCAGTCAATTCCCCACCTACTTCATATTTATACGAACCTCACTTGTAATAAACTTTCGCAGTACTATTATCAAAAAGATGACAAATATTGGCATCTTGCAAACGTGAGCATATTTTTAAATCATCTTATTGACCCCACATAACTTCTAGTTGTCTATGGCTAATGTTCGGTCCATCAAGCGCAGGGGCTTGCTGAAGCACTGGTGGAAAAAGTACCTTTTTTCATTAAATAATTGACAAAAACCTCCAGTTTTGGTGCTATGGCATTTCACAATCTTTAATTGTTTATCATATCTACCTAATGCGTACTTATTATGCCTAGTTGACCAACATCCGAATTTTCAGTAATGAGTTGATCTTTATCCTGTTACGGTGACTAAATGTGCTATTATTTATAGTTTGCTGTACGTGTACATCATCGGATAGCATTTTGCCTTGGTGAACCCCAAAATGTATCTTGATTAAATAAACCCTTTCGCTAATCTAACCAACTTGGTGTTGAGTACTTCTGCATCCGGTTCCAGAGAGATGATGTGTGCTTTTAGGCAGTTTGCTCTACAATCCTGATTCTGATTAAAAGCCGCATCTCATAATGTGGGTATGGTGCCTCTTCCTTTTATGGCCGTATCGTGATCCTATTCAGCCTAATCCCATTTGCGATACTACTGGCTCCTGACGAGCATATTTTTTTCCCGCATTTTAAATAAGCCCTTTGGGAAGGATACAATTGAGTTCACCTTCGAAAGTCGAGACGCATGCAAGAACTTTTGGAAGAAGTGCCTCGAACATCACGCATTCTTCCGATCGCGGGAGGTGCGCGGAGAGCCGGGTGCGGGAGGCGGAGGACTGGGGGGATTCGGGGTCAGGAATATGGAGCTCCGCTGCTCCTCCTGCTCACCCCTATGCCTCGCAGCCGAGCCTTCGTTTTGCCGAAGACGTTGGACATAAAAACAGCAGCGGTGGTGGAGGGCTCACTCGGAGTGTAAGTCTCAAAAGCGGTCGCAGTCAGGGTCTTTTCAGCAAAGGATCGTCCTACAGGTAACTTTTAATGCCCTTAGATTTTGTTTTTTTGGCTTTACATTGTACTAACCCGGTGCGTAAGCTGCCATTTTTAGTCATTTTTGTTTAAGTGGGCATGTGTATGTGTGTTCAGGTCTACTCTCAAAGGAGCTCATTCGGATAATATTCAACCGTTGTTTAGGTTGCATGAATGACCTCTCCTCCACAAGGCGCTCATTTGTTCAACTGATGTCAGAGATTAGATTTTTGAATATTAGTTCTTAATGTAAAATAATCTACACTACAATATTGTTTTGTTTTCTTAGAATTATCCAATGTCAAGTCTGGAGGAGCTACTCAAATAAGGCTCAAAAGGTTAACCTCGATGATGCAGCACTCCCTAATCAGAATTTTCTTTTAATAATTAGGAATCTCATTTATAGCTGGTCTTCTCAATTAATTTTTAACGTTAAAAGTCAATCAAATGAATGGATTTCCACCTACAATGGTCGAGGATTTATACTACTTTCTCAATGAAAGTAATCCTGGTAACACGACCACAACCGTACTAGCCATTTTTAGGCTCAACATCCTTCTTAAAATTATTAGCGTCCTCTAAATTTGGAATAGGGCTGTGCATTTTCAATTATTAGGAGTATCTTACACACGGCTACCTTTTTTATAGAATGAGCCATGCTTAATCTCCTTTACTTTTATCTCAAATAAGCCCACAGCACGTTTTTTGTCATTCACCACATTTGACTAACAAAAAGTATGAGCAATGGGAAGGGAAAGTCGCTTGTCGAGTTGATAATCCTATGTGTCATTTTCACGCTTTCTGACTGCGTATCTTCTACTTTGACATATCACGCTTAGATTAAACTCACCCATTCCGGATTTAAAGTTCAACGTACCCTTCGTTAACATATTAATATAAATCCCACTAATTTTAACCTAGAAATTTATGTACTCTACGTAACTTTGCTTTTGCACACATCATCAACGGCGCAATTGAAGCCTAATTTCGTGATTTTTTTAGTAAGTAACCTCTCAGTTGACTTTTTTCAAAAAACAGTAAACGACATCAAATGTGCAATTTTTTCAGTAAACGCATTTGTTTGTGAGTTTGCAGGGATTTTTGAAATACATCGTCAAAAATTGTCATGCATTCTTTTGCCGTCCACCGCAATTATTTCCCTTCACTGATTGGTCACTTCTTACTCAAAAACATTTTGACAAACTGAAACGTCTTTACAGGTATGAAGGCATGGGTAGGCTTTAAATAAGTCCCATGAATGTCGCTTGAATCCGTTGCAGCAGGTCTTGTTATCAGGTGACCGTCCACACACTTCGCCATGCACCTTTGCATTTTACGAATGCTGAAAATGAAAAATCATGCAGTGTGTGCCCACACTTTGCCGCGTTTTATTTGCGTCCACCTCGTTTCTCGTTAAAAGCGCCTAAGCATATTTTAAACAGGCGTGGTGGTGTAATTCTTAATCAAACATGGTTTGAGTTTGTTAGTTATCAGATTCAGTCGTATCTGCTGTTTTAGTTCTATGCACAGATCTCTTTATAACCTATTTTTATGTGTAGATACTGCGGGAGAACACAACAGCAACTAATTGAAAACTCGTATAATTCGAGTCCAGGAATAATGTCTTCAGAAAAGTGAGTGTGATGGATTGTGTGACATTTGTTCAAATTCGTATGAGAAATCACCGATACGGTCCTTCGCTTTCCCCAGACGATCAAAATCGGTGGGTCGCCTTGGTTCAGGCCAAAATCTTAGTCGCTTTGGCTCACCGCATCTTCATCGCAGTGTAGCTCATGTTAATGAAAAGCCCGGAGAGGACCTCCCAAGAATGCTGCAACATCAACAGTGCCTCTTTCGAGGTAGCAGCTCGAGCACAGTAGCTGCTGACTTTGGTCCGCCAACAACCAGTCTTCCAGACCATTATCAACTTCTTTTCCTTTCCACACCCATTCGAAGGCCGCTTTCCACTAGGTTAGTTTCAGTCACTTTAATCCCTAGGTAATCTACGTTAGTAAATATGAAGGTATGTATTATCGAAGTTGAGAGCTTTTCGATTCAAGAACATTTCTTCTTTTCGTCTTTAATTTGCTGAGTACAATATTGGAATTTGCAAACAGTTTCCCCTTGTTTCCATAGTAATTATCAAATCCACTGGATTTGTATTTGAACAATGTTAATTTTGATAAACCTCTTGAGCGCAATAGGTGTTAATGACGTAGGTACAACCATCCTCTAAAGGACCGAGCTGGGCTCCTCATCATACATAACAGCTAGTTTGCATTCTCTTTTTCGTCTAAACAATGTACTTCATAGTTCAAAGTTTTAAAGCCACTGGCCCAAACAGGTGCGTATCCTCCAAAAACAACGATATTTTAATTATGTGTGATTTCACCCTTTTTTGATCTGATTGCTATATCTCTGTTAGTTTTTTCTGACAAGAGGGATAAGCTAATATTGCTTTAGATGCTACGTCGTTCCAAGTTACTGTTAAAAATTGAAGTTTGAAATAAGATTTAGCGTGCGAAAGAAAATTCCATTACCTTCTGGAATGCTCGTGATTTCAACGATTTTGTCCTAATATGCTGACTTTTAAAGGGCTTATGTCATGGTTCATTAAGTATGATTTCCACCCCACGATCGCCTTATCACTTGTTTGATTCAAAATTTTGCCTCTGTAACCAAAACGTATAGATAAGGCAAGATGGATACAATTTTGATAATTACCAATGGTTTAAGTTGATTGTCTACGCCAAGTAATAGGTTTTATGTCCATTTACTTCTCGTTCTAATTTCCTACATTTGGTTGTGTAAAACATTATGATTTAATGACCACAGTCTCAGATGTGACTATCTTACTGTGATTTGCAATGCTGATTAATCGAATGAACTTATTTGCTTAAAAGCAGTTGAATTACCACTTGTTGTCAATGGAGTAGATTGTGTGGGATTTCCAACATTTGAACCCCATTTCGCTGCTTACTTAATGTTGCTAATTTATTGTGCTTATGATTTTCATTTACACCACGGAACTCTTGCCAAGTTCGCAGCTTTCTTCCTCACCATTCCCGATTGTTCCATGTAGATTTAATTTTTGTCAAATAGTCTTTGTCATTGCAAGGGTAGTGAGCACTAATTATGCACTAATTAATTAGACCGAGGTCCTCCCAATCAAAGTTTGGATTAATGGGGTAGTCATCTTGTTTTGCAACCCTTTCATTCATCCTTATCTCAGATACCAGCTGTATTTGGGCTGCTAGCCCGTCCTCCTACCGCCAGGATTGTTGGTCAAGTTTGTGCACGCGACCAAATTACTGGCAAGCGTAACCACGGCTACTCGTTTGGCAGTCCCCCTAGACCTGTAATTACAAATGGATGGCATATTCGCGCGAGTGGGTTTCTTTGTGTTAATGAAACCTCCCCCCTCCTTTCTTATTCGCATTGCGGCTAACGGTCAAGTAACGTTATACCTTTAAAAACCTCTCCATTTTTTAAATAGATGCTGCATCAATGAAGAAGTTATAATCCTTTGCAGAATTCCTCCATTCGATCGAAGTATTTAATAATCAGTAAGAGGATTTAACTAAAGTGGGCCGGTATATTTTTACCAAGGCACCCGAAAACGTTCCCAGCTATTCTTCTAAATTGAGTAATGCACACTAAGTTTTAGCGTTTGGGCATACATTTATGCACTAAAATGGCAAAAATGAAACACGGTTAACAGGTGCGTTAGCAAGAAATATTTCTGAAGCCGTAATGAGCATATTCCTCTGCCCTTTCAGTGGGTTTTCCAAACGACGAAATGAAAATCATTTATTTGGTGGATAGAATTTTAAATGGTTACTGCGGTGCTACTTTGGTGGCCAATTTTAAATAGCCTTTGCTTATTATACAACGTCCGTTTGCAAGCAAACTTTAACATACTTTTTGCATGAAACGACTGAACTTTGTGTACAAAATACATGTAACCGTATTTAAGTGGCTAGTTGGTTTCCGAGATATCAAAATAAAATAGGAAAACCTGATTAGTTTCGATAATAAGTGGTGGAATTGCAAGCTGACTTCTTTCAAGATCACATTTTTCGCTTACGCATCAAAAGTAACAATCTCTGTAAATCATTCTTGGAAGAGTTCCAACGTAGGTTTTACTGAAGTCAAAATCTCTTTCAAATGGGTCAGTTGTGTTCACTGTTTCCAAATTTTATTATCTTTAATAAAAATGAAATTGCTAAATATGTTAGCTACCACAGTCTCAGAGGGAAATCAACCATCACGGCACATATTTTATTGGTGCAATGCAACAAAAATAACTTGAGAAGTGTAAGCATTTTAAGACCAAGAACATTCCACATAAGTTTTATTGCATTAAACTCAACCAATCTGCTTTTTACACGATTTAGTATAACTAGTCATTGTTAACCGATAAATAACGAGTGTCACTTATTTGTGACGCCAGCCTCAATTCTGAAAAGTGGGTTGTCACCTACACGTATTACTGCCAGTAAACGTGTTAGAATCTTGTTTTACCATTTATTTTGTGTTTCACAGCATTTAATTTTTGCAGATACCGCGCTGGCAGCTCTCACTCGGTGGATCAGAGTAGTTTGCCAACTGAAAGTCCCTGTAAAGTCGGCCCCCAACTACTGGAATCCGAGTATGGAGCTAGTGTGCCCCGTGTGTTCTCTGCCAGTGTGCTCAAAGCTTCCAAACGAAGACGCGAATCTGACAGTCTGACTAACACCTCTCCGGCCGTCACCACCGTGACTACCAAACCCTCGGATGCTGAGTCGATTACTAAATGTGTGTGCGCCCGTCGGGCTATTTTGCTTATTTCACGCTAACTGGTATATGAGGCTTTAAAGGACAGAGCACCATCTCATTACACTCCTTTTTAAAAGTGCTCTTGCTTTTGGCCCTCAAATTGCAGCTTGCTTATACTATTAACCTTGTTTTCAGATAGCCTCTTAACCAGCTCTCGACCATCTATTACGTCGGGACTCACGGCCGGTAGCGTCCCTTGGGCTCTCGACGAAAAATGTGTAGAGAAAGCCACTAAAGACTCCATTGACGAGAAGCATGTGGATAAGAGAAGCAAGGTCCTCACTCCCACTGATGCCTCGTCTTCGGAAGAGCCTGTGTCCGTCCCGGTAAGCAGCTGTTTTCATCAAAATAGACTAACGCTTTAAATCGGTGGTAGGTGCTCGGGTCAAAATATTATAACGCTTTTTTGCACGAAGCATTTTTTCCTTCATATTTTGTAGTTTTTTTTCATATTTCTTCGATTCTCGTTTTATTCATATGGGGTAAAGGTAATCCTTTTTATTAATTTGTTTAGAGCAAATTTCATCTGCTTAATTCGGCATTTTGTAAGCCCATCTCGGTACCTTTCACCACTCTCTTTGTCAGGGTTTACTCGTGATATTCACTGAGTTTTATGTGCGTTATCCTGGGTTGGAGTTTAATCGAATGTTCTTTGTGCCCAAACTTATTTGTTCGGTTCATTTGGCTTTCAAAATTATTTCTGCCACCTTTTTAACTGAAATTGCACTGATAACCAAATGCTATAAAGTCTATTCATGTATTTCACAATATCCAAATAACGCTCTGTTTTAAGTTTTGATGCTGGCAATCGATTACCAAGTTAGTGGGTTTTAGAACTGATGCATTACTTTAAACTATTTTCCCGTTTTTTTTTTACTTTTAAGTCAGAGATATTAAAAATGGAACCCCGCCATCAGTTTAAATGGCTTAAAAGAATGCGCTAGTTTAATCAAGACAGACGAAACTAATCACTGCATTATTATCTCTCCTACCTTTATGTTCGCACATCTTCTTCATTCCCCACTTGCTCAGGGGTAGATTTAAATGACTCAATTCTATTGACATACCGGCATCACTTCTTCCCTCACTTACCCAATAAGTTTGCTTTCTATCTGTTAAAGCTCTCTTCTAATGGAGTCCGAACTTCTGCCCCATCCACAGCCATACATGATTTGCACACGTCAGGTCAGCGTGCTCGCACCTTCTCTGCCTATGAGGAGCACTCTCAGTATTCAAATTCGCTTCCGCCCGAACACTACGACGAGGTGGCTGAGGATGAGGATGATATTTATGATAATGACGACACCAATGTTGATAGAGCAGATCTCTCTGATGACTCCCTCTTGCAGCATCCACTTTCTGTCTGCGCCTCCCGCGCTGTTTCCTCCAGCGATCTTTACAGATCGGAGTCAATCGAATTTCAGTATCCCGTCTGCAAACTTGACGATCAGAACTCACCGCTGGATCAGGAACTTGAAAATGGGTTAGGAGTCTACTTAAAACCTTCTGTTGGTCCTCTTATAAAGTGCCTTGTTTTGCTTATGTATTGACGTTCACGTTTCATTTCTTAATACTTTTTTCTAGAGCATTTTGTCCTTCGATTTTGACAACGCATTATGTAACCATTGATTGTATTCTATTTAACGTTTATATCATTGGAACTTTTTAGGAAGAAAATAACCGAATTCCCTATTTTCTCACCTTATGCTCAAGAAAGTCCCCCAGATAAGGTATGTCGAGCCTAAAGTCTTTCTCATTAATTAATGTATCATCTGAGGCATTTATTATTTAAAATGGGGCCGAGTAGCCTTTTTGTCATTTTTCGGGTGTTTCCAATGTCTTCCCGATGACATGTGAAGTAATAAATCCCACAACATTTCATAAAATCTTTTACCTATTTGTTGTGTACTGCTCGTGCACACAGCTAATGGCAAGCTCTAGCAAATGCAGATACGTGTTGATAGCATTTGCCTTCTTCTGTTTTACGCTGCCCAATAGTACATATAGGCAACTGCGGTTAAACGTATGCTGTTAATGATTTATTCCATCGCATAATCACTCATTTCAAAAGGTCTGCTATTCAAAAAACCCGAAAAATCATCATTACTTGTTGTATACTTGTATGATATATTGTGTAAAGAGGCGTACTAGGATTGTAAAAAATGGCCTTGCTATTTTAAATTTCCGCATTTGCTGGCTTTAGGGCTTAAGTGATTTGTTAGGGCTGAATTTGTCCAATTTTTTTCCAATTGCGGCAGGACTAGATGGTAAATGTTTAACTTTCGATTGCTCAAAAACTCTTCAAGTATGGCAATCAGTGTTCCGGAGTAATGACGACGCACCGCTCCCTGCAGCTCTTGTTTTCATGTCACAGTAATAACAAGCGCATGGCAGGGATATTTCTATGACTCTATGCAGCAACTCTTGAAGTCTTCCATGCTTTTTGCATTTTGCTTTTGGTTCTACATGTTTTTTATTAGGTTAGTGTATTTAGTGATAAAATCGTTGTTACATATGATGTACATCCTTAAGTTTATAAAGCCCATTTCCTAGTGCTAATTTATGTCATATCTCTAAAGCAAGGGTTTTAACTTAATACATAATACCTCCTCTTCTAATTAAATTTCATCCAATAGCTAACTTTTTGGGATCTAGTTGATCCTTTTTTAGATTTATTTATAAAAATGGCTATTAATATTAGACCCGTGTATTCTTGAAAGGAAATCTTCAACTTGTCTTTGAATTAGCTGTAACAAGAACATCTTTTAAAATTATTTCTATCGCTTATTAGTTTAGCATACCTCCCGAGGATTATTAGTAAATCCAAGCATTTCCTCTAAAGTGTAACTTACCATGATTAAATAACTACTATTTCCTTTCCAGGAAATATCTTCATCAACTCATTTATTTGTGTTCTCGTTAAGATTATGCTAGTACTCTGAATTACTTCATTTGATTGAGGGAGCTAAATATTATTGCCTGGCTTTCATGATTCCAAAGCCCTGTGTGTCAAGAAGCCAACTTGCAATTGTTGGTCACTGATATGTTCATTTTGACATCACTTCAATTTATTGTTCGACTGGGGTGTGAATAACACCTTAACTTGGTAACATGGACATGGTAACAGGAACATTCAGCAAAGTGGCTTTTGGCTCAGTTGTTCGAGACGAATAGGGCATCTTATCCAATGAATAATATGACGCTGAAAGGTGATATTCAAAGATCAACTTTGTTCTTTTAAACTATTTTATTTTAATTGCATCTTTTTAGCCAAGAAAGCATCGAATATGCAAAAATTTGCACTCTATTTCACTAGTAATTGCATCTAGAATTAGCGGGCTAAGTCTAGTGGTTTTCTAGACAATAATGCGATTTTACCAATAATGGTGTGATGTTGCCTTAAACATCGCAATTAATTGGCTTCAAAATCACTTATGAAATGCTAAAAGCTAAAGCACTTTTTAGGTTGAGTCCCGCGGCTCTCTCTTCTACCCTTCAAAAAGTGCACCTGCGAGCAGACGTACTTCAAACTACTCAACCCATGACGAGGAGTTTGGAGAAGAGGAAGGTATAGAGCCAAGTAGCATCGCACCGGCTCTTTCAATTGGTGCGATTTCTGCCATCACGGGTGTCTCCTGTTCCGATGATGAGGCTGACGAGAGTGGAGGTGGGGGTGGAGAGGGTATCAATACTTGCGAGAGCAGAGATGAAGGCAAAACGGAAGCGATGTCTCTTATGTCTGGTCCCTCATCTCCACCTGTCAACACTCTTTCCTCCCTGGTTGGACAACGAGCTCAATCGGAGCCACTGCAGCCAGTGTCTTCGGTGACTGATGGTTTGCATGTGGAGATCGATTCTCATGCTTCCAATCAGGCACGTCGGCAGCGGTTAAGGGGAAGGAGGACAAGGAAACGTGAGCTGAGAGGCGGATTAGATTATCTCGCTTATGATGCTTTAACAGCAACTGTTCAACAACATGCTTCCACGGTGACAGCTAATCCTACGTCAAGGACGCTTCGAAAGGTGAATATACTCATGAACTTTAATGCCTGAAATTGTTTTTTGGTTGTCCTTAAAGAATGAACCGGGTGTTTTGAGTAGAATGATTCCGATTAAAATAGCCTATACTTAAGAATAGATATGCATCTTTCTGAGTATTATGGATGTGAACCTTAACTATTGTGGATTTCTACTGTAGAAACTGGATCACAACGCTTACTTAAGAGGTAAATTGAGGCTTCACCAAATTTTCCCGTGTTGAACAATTTATCTGCAATTCCTTCATTTTGTCTAAAAGTATCTTTATTTTCTTTCACTGAATGTTACCATTATTTGAACTTTTCCCACTTCTAAAGGATGTATGTTCATATGGGTCAGATCACTTTATTGTTTGAAGTCTTATTCTGCGACACTGATTTAGCTCGTTAATAAGCTATAATCAGCTGTTTGAACATCTTCTCACTTAATCTTGGAACAATGAGAAGCAAATTAAATGCTTAAAAAGCCTGTTACTCTTTTGTTTTAGTTTTTATTGTAGGCTGCCTTTGCGGCTTCAAATTGAATCGCAAAACTAATAGGTAAATAAATATTCCATCTTCAATAATAGCTCCCAGTAAATAAGACATTTTTGAATATGGTGGATAAATCTTCGCAAATTCTCAGAAATTTATTTCGAAATGTCTTCCTATTTAACAAAACGCACCATGTATTTTCATTTTTCAGAAATCGCTACCCCCGTACCACGATCGTACATTTCAACTGGCGAGGGAGCTTTCAGTTACTGAGAAGACCTACATTAATGCCCTGCGGCTCTTAATCATGGTGAGCTCTCTTATCGCTATACTTTCAAGTAATTTATCAAAAAATTAGTCCTGCTGTAGCGCTTGAGACTTCCCTAAAGACGAAATGAGACATAATACTCTGGCAGAATATGCATATATTTTGCATACGTTAGGGCTTGGGGAGACTGGCATGGCCCAGAGGCCAGCTCACCCAGCTAAGGTGTAATGGAGGAGCCGAGAGTTAAACAACTATTGAAGTATCATATAGCCCCTCTCCTCTTTTGAACGCCGTTGCCGGCTCGCCCCTTGGTCAACTTACAATATGATCGGCACTGTAAGGAAACACCTGCGAGCCAACTGCGCCAGTCATTGAATTCCATACAACTAAGGTGATGCTTGACCGCAATGTCGCTGATTCCTCTTAACAATTCTACTGACCCTAAAGTTTTGTCATTTTTGGGAGCTGGATTTAGGCATGGGGAGTGTGCGGGCCATCACGCGTATCCATAGCTAGACGTAGAAACACTGACCTAAAAGTGGAGTCGTGTAGCAAAGGATGGGATCGAACATATTTCCGTGGGGATAGGGTTTCGATTCCATTACTCCTTGCCACTATGTACTTAAGTCAGTACTACCCAGCCACATCCATTTGGATTCCATCAAGCTAGTAGAGGAGTGGAGGAGGTACCACGAGTTTACATAATTGACATCTTGTAGGTGCCGTAGACAGCTCCATAACAAACTTTTCCAGATGAATCACGGGACTGGGGTAGTTGCCGAAGGTAGACGTCATTTTTAGCCCTTCTATTAGGGGTCGTCACCGATTCCCTCATCCGTAGCATATGCACTTCTTCCGTTGCATTAAGATCTAGCATTCAGTAATCGAAATGAGGGTGGATGTCGTAGAAGACCAGGCTCGTTTTCCGCTACCACCATTGTGGCGTCGCGAGATTCCCCTCAAGACGAAAGAAGACAAAATACTCGGGGAGAATATTTGTTTACCTGCAGAAGAGGCTCTGGCCCTAAGGCCAGATCGCCAGGCAAAGGTACAGTGGTAGTGCTCTTAGTGGACCGTTACCAATACCGCGAGTTAAACACTGTTCCATATTGGTTTTGTTTTAGTCTATTTTCCTACTTGAACAATATCAACCAGCGTTAGCTTATTCACTTCAGAAATTTACCAAAGATCTCTGCATTCTTGCAAGAATAATAGCAACCTAAACCGTGTTTATCAGATTATCTACCACTGCGCAAAAAAGACCTATGTTTTTCTTGGAAGCGTGACTCCCTAAAAGCAAAATTTATAGGATTTTCTAATTGTTTTGTCCGTTTATTCATTCCTACTTTTACGTGTTTGGTGTTAAAGATTGATCAAATTTTTGTCTAGTTGCATTTCTCTTCAGTCAGTTTCACTGTCTTTTAAGCTAGTGCATCCATCAACTATAGCTCACTCTCCCAAGTAAATGAGAGTTAGCGCCGTGTTGACATTTGCTAACTTAGCCTCCCGCTTATAGCACTTTTAAGTACAGTTTGAATATAACATCATCTAGCTTGCGTTTTACTTTACGTCCTGCAGCATAGCTCATGCAAATATCCATTCTATTTATTAGGCCAACAGCGCGCTAAGAATTTAGTCTTGTGAGAAATTACTGATCAATTTCACAAATATAAAAAGGTGTTATCAAACTCTAAGTAATATTACTGTAAAGGAGTTTGATCAAACTGAGTTGGTCATAACACATTGTACTGTATTCAACAATGTAAATGAGCCACGGTTTATCAAAACTGCTGATCTAACCTAAAAGTGACTTCCTTTATAGCCCTACCACGGCAATTTCATTCCTGATGGCAACCTACACACAGAAGTCACACGCCTCATCACACCACTCCACTGTCACCACTCGGCACTGTTGCAGTCAGCGCTGACGCGAGTGGCTGCATGGGAGAAAGCGGCCATCAGTGCAGCCACAGCAAGGACGCGCTTCCAATCTGCTCTTGCAGGCGTCCATAGGGCACAGCGAACCAGACGCAAACGAGCAGCCAGACAAATCCAGGCAGGCCGGCAGCACAAATCCAAGTGCTCACAGAAACTGGCCAAGGGCGATGGTTGTGGCAATGATCTTGGGACCAATGAGCTTTCAGATTCTTCAAGCACGTCATTACCACTTTTTTGCTGTATTTTATGCAACTGAGGGATATGGATATCACTTAAGAAGTTTATACCGTTGTATAAAATCATTTGGCGACTTTTATGCAGTATTGCATACATTTCCATGCCTTAATCCGTTTAGCCTCAGTAAGTGGTGTGCCTCGTTCCTCCTCCCGAAATGAGTTACCTCCATCAGAGACCAATCGCAATCGGACTCCGCCTGCAGAGGGCTGTAACCTCACCGCTTCGTCGTCGTCTTGCTCTTCGTTCTCATCATCTTCGACGAGCTCTAATGTGGAAAGCTCTTATCAGTCCGTAGCCTCCCCACCTGATCTCGCGTCAGCCGAGAGGGAGCTGCGGGAAACAACAAGGTGTTTGGCAGAAATGGCTCGGATCGCCGATGTCTACAGACACCCTTTGTTAGATGGCATTGTCTCACGCTACGAGGGCTTCCTTACTGCATTGCCTGAGCTTCTCAGTAAGCACATTCCGCGTTACATGGAGAACGAGAGCTCTGATTGCGTGGCAGGCTATCCTTCCAGACTCGCCTTGTTGAGGGTTCCTGCTCGGCGTTTGTGGTATTACACTCAAGCTTTCCGACGTCTGGCAGAGTTGTATGGAGATGAGCACCCGGATTTGGATGATTGTAATGGTATTTCGATAAGTTCAAATGACTGATCCTACAATAAGATGTTGTTTGAATGAAGCATGTTCAAGCAGCATCTGTCTTCAAATTACAGACTTTACTTCACAAATTCATTGCTTGAAAAATTTCTCAAAACATTCTCCTATGGTGAATAGCATTCTAAAATCGTCTTCGTTTAGCCCTAGTCTCGCAACTGTCAGATTTGGTATCGAGATTTGATTCAGTATACCGAACAACAGAGGCATATGCCTTGGTTGCCGAATTTTGTCAAGACTATCAACTGGACGCAGTAGAGCGACCTAATGTCCACGACCGATGCCGCCGTCGGGAGTGCTCCATTGCAGTGCTGAGCAGCCTTGTGAATGAGCCGCATTCCCGCCTTATTCGTGTTGGCTTTCTCGAGAAGATGTCCTCAAGAGGTCGTGGGTTTCAACCTCGAATGGCTCTGCTTTTCACCGATCGCCTCGTCTACTGTGGACGGGTTTCTGGTTCCACAAACATGCAACTGAAGGTGCGTTAATGCGTCCTTTCTCACATTACTCTTTCCAATCGGATACATGATAGTTCCAAACATTTGATCCTAAGCTGATAAGTTATTTATTTGCTTGCTCGGATTTTTGCTATGATCTATGAAATGAAGAACTGAAGACACATAAATTTTATCTAGCTTTCTGAAACGCTTAAAAATCTGACTCGATTATTACTGTACAACTTTTGCGTGTCGAAGTAAAGTCCATAATGTGACAACCATGGCGCCTTTAACGGCACGAATAGGTTTTAATCTTTACGGTCGCATCTTTCTTGCACGTATTTTGATGTCACAGCTAACACAATCATAATCATACATACTTCTGGTGTGGAAAGTGTTATACCCTTGAACTTTGCGCTGCTGACTCATTTTTTCCTGCATTTGGTTGTCACTTGGGTTATTGTGCAAGAGTTGGAAACGTGAACTTCTTTATCATTAAATGTTTCTATACCGGTGGCTGATATATCTTACTTGGATGCCCGCTACTAAAATCCACGTCTAATTCGGTTTCACGCACTTTGATGCAAGCATTTTTATCTTAAAGTGGTGCCTGGGATCATGTATGCTCTGGCCACCTACTCAACGCAATCTCCCACACAGCGGTTGTTTTCCTCGTTTGGCTTTGAAGAATTACCTCGCATAATTACCGTGTTACAATGTTGACTGTTTTATCGTAATTTATTATCATTGCATCAGAAGAATACACAAGTTGGTTGCGTTCTGCTTGCCCAATTTCAAAAAACTTAGTTTATGCAAACTTTGTTGCAGCTAGTTCGCCAAATACCTTTGTTAAATACTCTTATTCATCAACACAAACTGGCCAGTTGCATTCGTCATCAACAAAGAAAGTACTCCAAATTGCCACTTGCACTTAAATGCCGTGTTTACGAGAAGTCCCACGTTGTAACGCTTCAACTTTCGTGTTCCAAGGCTGTTTCACTTCTTAAGCATCGGTGCACAAGTGGACTCAGCACTTTGATCTAAGGGGGCCGTACAGTTAGCGCAGAATTAAGATACTTTCACTTCCGATACAACGAAAGGCTCCATCAGATTCTCAGTAAATCGCTCTTTGAGTAATATTAGAACAATAAGCACGCCAAATGCTGGTGGCATTAGTGTCTATCCAATCGTGTTCAGAAGATTGGCCGCCAGTTCCTCTATTTTTCGAATCAATTTCTTATCACCTCGATTAACCACTCCTTTTAAAGCCTGACACCATGTTAAAGTGTGCCATGGTGAGATTTTGAACATGAAGGGAATTTGGTTATTTTTTATTGTATAAAGTGCAATGGCTGACCAACTGAGTTGTGAAATCGCAGGAAACAGATAGATTCAAACTGATCCGGTGTGAAATTGTAACTGCATAACAAAAACTTACATGCCCGTGCGAATCTATTTTTTTTTTAGAATATGAGCGTCTATGTAATCAAATGAAACGAACTCTATCAGGCTCGAAAATCTTGTAATAATGAATACTTTATGCCATCTGGCTCATGTGCAATTAAGTGTAGGTACAGCGCTGATAAGCCACCTTAAAAATAACCTTGCTGATTTTCTATCTGACATTTTTTTCGCAAATGACAAATATTCTGCGTAGAAATACGTCAAAACGTGACTAAAACAGTACTATTATACCTAACATCACTATTGTGATCAGACATAGAAACCTTATCAACATGGACTTCCAGGTAGTGTGTAAATAAAACAATGGGACGTTTACTTAGGACCCGCGACAGCACGTCCAAATCTGAGGTAATAAAATCACAACGGTTCAAGGCGATCAAATAATCCCCACACTTTATTACATGTACTTTCCACAGTTTACCAGTGATGTTTCCTACTCCTTTATTAACGCTATAAACACTATCTCCTGTGTACAATTTCTAAGGAACCTACATTGTCTCTTGTGCATTGTTATTGCTCTATTAACTTACAAAGTGTGCGTACATTAAGCAAGGTTATCAGTAGTGCTGGGATTGTTTTTTGTTTTCAGAGGAGTTAGCAAAAATATCAACCTTTTTTTTATTAGATACACGGCGTAGTGTCCCTCTATAACGCCGGACTCGAATCTCACATCAAAACTTCAGTTTCATTTTCGGAGGGAATTTCCCAGGAGGGCACTGCCACAAGCCGCAACTCGAGTAGGGAGCGGCACAGCTTTGCGATCCTCGTTTTCTCCGGCGAGAGGGCAGAAAAGGCATCCTCCACCACCAAGTCCATACATTCTCGCACTCATCAAATAATCTTCGCAGCGCCCAACGAGGAGCAGAAGCGTTTGTGGCTAATGGCTCTAAACAAGGTGCTCGGTCGTGATAGGGAGGATGAAAGAAAATTGTACAGATGCTCCTCCATGGCGCCTACGCCTTCGTTGCACGGTAATACATTGTGTACATCTAACCACTGCCATCTTTAAATTACTGAATAGATATCTCCTGTTAAAGTTTTTTGGCGATTCTTTCACTCAGTCATCTTCAGCACGACATTATTATCAACGAAAACATAACCCATGAAATATTTCCGACTGAACTATTCGGAACAGACTAAACCGGTGCTCCTCTTGTACGACAAATTTAGAAAAGATCATCCTTATGATTGTTTACCACTAAAAATTTGGTGCAGACCGACTGTCACAGATGTTTTGTTTACCTTGAGAAAAAATATATATTAATTCGGCAAACTACTAATCCATTGTATTTGAGAGAATAAAATTAACTTTAATTACGAAAAAAGGGATTTCGAAGTCTGATCGGCCCAGCACTGAGGATAAGTCTCAACTCATCTCGAAAGCTCGGGAGACGCAGGATATGCAGTCACACGTAGCTCTCAACAGCAAAGACAACTACTTGGGTCTACTGGGTCCAAGGTCCCATCTCCAGCAGACAGTGCTGCGCTGCAGCGGTCTCGCGTACGTTTGTTGGCATCGACGACTCAGCGTCTCTTTGGACAACGTTCTCAACGCCAACAAGGTGAAGCCTCTTGAATCCACGCACGCCGTCTTATTCTGAGCTGTGCTAAAAGGAGGACTTCCCGTTTCTGGTCATATCTCAATTTAATGTGCCTAAAAGTGGATGCGCCAAACAGCTTGCTGAAGTTTGTAGGAATTTTTTATTTATAATCCTTAATTGCCATACGAAGCTCGTTCTTAAACGCAAAATCACGCCTAATGTAAGGTTATTGTGCTTTCAAAGGTTGACTCTACGAGGCCCATGTGTCTCAGCAAATGTGGACGATCATCAATGATACATGCTATGACTTCTGATACCTCATAGTCTCGGTCTTATTAGGAGTTACACAGCACACAAAAGCATGATTTTAGCATACACAATTTAATGATGCAATAATTTACTCAACTACCAATCGAATCGTGAGTACAAATTTCTTTAATTTTTAGTGCGAAATAAGCGGCTACCTGTTACGGAAGTTCAAGACCAGTTGCGGTTGGCAAAAATTATGGACAGTGTTTACCGACTTTACACTTTTTTTCTACAAATCTCCGGAAGATTCCACTCCGATTGCCAGTCTCCCCCTGCTGGGCTATCGTCTCGAGTCGGCACGACCAGCAGCTGCAGCGGCCGACGCTCAATTCCACAAGTCAGATGTCCTTCAACTGACCTACAAATCACATGCGTATTACTTCAGAACTGATGCGCCCGTCTCCTTCGAAAGGTATGGCAACTGAAATAGACCTGAAAGTGTGTTGTCATTGCGCTAAATGAGGAATAAATCCCTTCCTTGCCTCCCTGCTGGAATGTGAATAGTTTGGTTTTCGCATGCTTCATTGCGGTTTCTTCGCAAGTCTATTAATCCGATATTGTGAATATTTAACTGTAGTAAGTGCTGTGAATAATCCAAGGATTTGCAGACAGTAATGGTGTAAACAACGGCAGTATAGTATCGTACTAGTTTGATGTAACAGTAAATACATTGTTGGATCTTCTTTCGCAATCAAGACCAAAGTACTTTGCAATTCCTTCTAAATGTCCCTATTCTTACTCAACAAGAAACGGGTATTAATCACCCTTATTTTCTCAATTAGTTAACTTGCATTTGCGTGTAGCACTGATAAAAGTTGCTGCCAAAAAAGTGGAACACCGTTTCCCTGGCTATTCTTTTCCTTAGATGGCACAGCGCATTATCCTCCGCATTAAATCCCTTATCATCTGAGAAAAAATGATGTCCGCTTTACCCAACTACTCTGAAAACATCCAATGGTCTTATGTGCAATACGCCGCCGATCTGTAATGTAAGCATACTTATCCACTCTCAATCCATTCCCTGGGCTAAGCATCTTTATCACATCTCTCCCTCCTCGCTTTTCCCCGAGTGCCTTGTCAAATGGATCTATTTTCCTTTGGCAGGAATCTTGCTCCCTTTAAATACTTTATTCCCATTTAGCTTACTATGTGAAAAATCTCATTTTTTGCTATTAAAATATAACAAATTTGTGAACGAAGTGCCACTTTTTATCAATATTATTTCCATCAAGATTTGGGCATCGAAGACTTCCTTACGTAACTTCAAGGAACTGATCCTCCATTCGAACCTTCTGGACCTCTGAGAGACCCCTGAAACAACAAAACAACGATACCTAGTGATATGGAAATTTGCGCATGAACAACAACTGTCCGATCCGAAAAGTTCCTTTTAAGATTACAATGCGGTTCTCTAATAATTTGTTCAATAACGTTGCCTTTAAGTCGAAAGCGTTGGGCAGATGAAATTGATAAGTTCTGATTCTCCAAAATCCCGTTTTTTAGTTGAGTGGGATTTTCGGTAAGTTGCTCACATAAACTCGGAATGAAAAAAGCAGTTTCATTGAGTATATTGCTTGTAATTATGAATTAGGAAATTGGGTGCGAAATAAAATTTCGTTTAATGGAAAACAATATCATTTGCATGACCTCTTCAGCAACACCTTGGACGACCTAAAAAGTAAGCACGCCAAAGAGAGCAACCAATGCACAAGCTCATGGCGGTGCCAACTTACTCGAGATTTCGAACAAGACGCTGAAGATGACCAGCACAGCCCGCTCGACCCAACAGCTCAATAAAGTCCTCATCATGAGTAATGATAATTAGTTGGAAGTTTCTCTGACTCGAGCGGGTTTTGATAATCCTACAAGGTGTACACATGACATTCTGTAAACCACTCATGTGGATATAAAGCGGCACAATTTGTTGATTTGCATAGATTGGGTGCCTAAGTGACAACTACCGCCATTGGTATTCAAAGCTATAAAATAAAAAGTGGAGAAACTTTAGTGGGAAGTGCTTGAAACATAGGAATTATTTTCTGTGTCGAACTCCAATGTAGCCTGTTCATGGTCAAGCACTGCGGATGCTCAAGTCAGGAAGAGCAATGAGTTGGTGCTCTATCAAGAGCGTCTCGGTAGCTGCCGGTGCGGGAGAGTGCAGTGTAGCTCGATTCATGAGAGGTCGTATGAAACAAGGCAGTATGGGAAATGGGGGACAGACTAATGTAGTAGTTGTCACAGCAACTTGTATTCAAGAGGCTTTTTGTGTATCGACATTCGTTACCAGTGTCGCCTGTAGGTTATGTGGTTTTTAATTGTTTTAAGATGGTTGCACAAAATCCCGTCACAAGCGAATTTAGTCGGATCTCAAACAATAAAACAATTGGAACACCTTTTTGCCTTAAAATGACTACATTCGTGTTTACAAACAGCATGACTTCAAATAGAGCATTGTTTTCCGCTGTGGCGATCCCTTCTCCTCGGAAGCCGCGGAAGCGGACTTGTTGAAACACATATCCTTTCAATCGACAATGTGCTTCTACATCAACACGGGATGGATCAATATTTTCAGCGCCCTACTGAGACTCCAGTTTGGATGAAAATCCACTCCACTTGCGTGTTTTGCACAAAAAGAGACTTAGTCATCGTCAAATTTTATCAGTTAATCAGAATTTTTACTTTTTTATAAACAACATTAATATAACGCCAAGAACTATCAATTACAATAATGGAATCCTATCATTTAAACATCAGGCCTGTATAAGAATGGCAACTATCACCAATATGACTAAAAATAGAAGTGCCATTGACAGAAAAAATGAAGATATACTAGGCATTGCTAAGTGCACGTGCTGCATACCTATTACGATCCAAAGTAAACAAAAAAATAGTTAATAATTGATGGATAAAGTAGTCTAATGAACGGCTATAATAGCATTTTGCTCTTCAAAGTTGAGTATATAAAGTGTTACCAAGCCTTAAGGCGGCTCAAGGTACTAAGAGGGCTTAGAAGGGCTAGTCCGTCTAGGTATCGCCAGAAGGTGAAGGGACATACTCAGTGAGAGCATAAGCTAACGATTCAATGTTCTCGCGATCCAAATTTGTGGTGGGCTCATCCAATGCAAGCACGCCACACTGGAGACAGAAGACCTCGGCCAGGGCCAGTCGAATCACTAGACTGGCGAGTACCTTCTGACCGGCCGAACAACGACCACGCATGTCCAGCTGCGTCTCCGTGGAGGCTAGACGAGCCTGCTTACCGCCGCCCGTCATCACTGTGCTCGAGTCTGCTTTAACCATCACGACGCGGTATTTGTACGTCCGCCGAGTGCTGCTTGCATTCGCGTTGGTCGTCGGGGACTCCTCCTCACTGCATATCTTTATGTGGTCTATGTCTACGATGGACAGCAAGGTGTAGCTTGAATCTCAACCATAGCAGCACAAATACCACATTAACACGTGTATCTAAAATAACCTTATTTTGGAAGAAGATTGACCGAACAAAGAAAAGATGGAAGTCTTACCGTTTCCTCGGTAAGTTGTTCTCCATAATTCACGAATTATCTGATTAACTTCATTCATTTTCTCCGCATGGTATGCAATAATTGCTCTGCAGGAAAACCATTGTAAGGATGAGCCTCTGGAGAGCGAGTGTGGTGGGGGAAAATGTCATCAACTCACCCATCAAGAGCTTTATAGTAGCGCTGAAGATCCGTGGCCACCATTTCTGTCGTCTAGGAAGGAAGTTGGAATGTCAAGATCAAGTACTTCGCAGCATGATATAAACTTACTGAATGGTTAAATGCGATGATTTCTAAAAAGATGGTAAATTCTAAGCTTCCCTACGATGGTGGAATTGGCTTTAAGTAGGTAGCTGAATAGTCCAACAACCAAGTAAAATTAAGTAAACTAGACTCTGGAATAAATTAGTCGATTCAAAAAAGGAATATTTCCTAATAAAATGAAACCCGTGGATTGTGGATACTTGAAATTTAAGTAGAGGACAAAAGTTGGAGTTCAGCAACAGTAAACTTTGAGTTAAGTGAACTTGTTATTATAAATTAAACATCAAGGGAAAATTGAGGTGAGTACGGCTTTTGGGTGGGTCCCAAATGTATTGATAAGGAGAGCATTACCCTCAGTTCATACATCTTCTTTATGTATTCAGCTTCAGCGTCTGCATATTTCTCAGCCAAGCTACGTTCCAGCATTTGTAGTTCAGTTTGCAGCTGCATGACTTTGTCGTTGATGGCCTGTTTCTGTGAAATTGCAAAGAAAGCTTGATTAAATTAGCGTAGGGGAAAAACTGGCAAGATAAATTGTCCATACCGTCCTACATGACACGAGGTGAAGCCAGTGTGTACTTTAAAACAAACGAGCACCTGAGCAAGCGATCTTCCAAATGAGAAAGGATTACAACATGCGAACCCCAAGAAGTTGTTGTTCCAAACTTTTGCGAATGAACCATCGGCAAAAGTGTGTAAAGCTGTGGAATAAACACTTAACGCACGAGAAATGAATAACAAGGTAAAAAGTGGTTTAAGTGAAGCAACCTGCAAGTTAACATTGAGAAAGTCTGTGCGTAGAAAATCTCGACCAAACTCTTACCCAATTGTTACATTTTTTCAGTTAACAGACTAGATTTACGTGTGAAAGTATGAGAAATCCCAACTTTCAACCAGTGTGAGTTCAATACATTAGTGTGGGTGAAAAGCGACTCCGGTTACTTAAAACAGTGATCTATTTCAGGTAAATGGGACGCATCGGGTGGAAGCAAATAAACTTGAAAATCAGTGTTTGGTAGCAAAAAATTTGTGGTTTCGAGGATGAGCGGTTATGTATGGCACTCCCCTAAACTAAATACACAAAGTGCTATAGATTAAAAGCACTAAATTTTATTACTCTATTCACCAAATCAACAACTCAGAGTACCGGCTAATATGTTTTTTAATAATGAGTAACTTTAAAGATCCTCTAAGGAAATAACAATTGTGAGGCTTTATTGATAGGAAGCACAAATTGAAAATTAACCATTAGCCCCCAAAAAAGGACCAGCAAGAGGTTATCGGACTAGCGGATAAACTATATTACCGGTTCAAAAGGTCAGATCACGAATTTGAGACAAAGCGTGAACCCCGTAAAATGCATATATTCTAGGTGAATGGAAATACTTTTGATGAAACAGTCTAAGTAGCTTGCGTGAGTATGACCGGAGAAACAGAGAGTTGTACGTTGGTGAATCTACCTGGCTGCGAAGCCTTTCCTCCTCATTTGAGAGATTATTGATGTGATCTTCGAGATCTACCGACTCAGAGATGCCGGATTGGCAAACATCTATTTGCCGCTGGATGTCCTGGACACGTTCGTTGAGCAAAGACAGATGACCACGGGTTTCCCGCAACCGCACACAATCCCCAAGTTCACGCTGGACAACCTGAAGTATTTGTAAAATATAGAAGAAAACGCTTTGTCGTCACACTTTTCTGTAGTGGAACTGGCAGGCGAAGAACAAATCTGCTAATGGCACGTATTCCAAATGGACTGCTATGGGGGCAGGGTTGGTGTGGACTATCAACCTTCCCTTGTAGATAGTACACAAGGTAACACGCCTCCACACGGTCTTCCGAAAAAAGTATTTCAAGCAGGTAGCTTTCCGAATAAACGAATAATTTCGTAAAAAGATATGTGAAGTATTTAAAATGAATTAGGAGCCAAAGTCAATTCCATAAATCTATAGACGATTGAGGTAAATGCAAAAAAGTTGTCATAAAATTAAATTACGGATAAGATTATCACAATGTCACAATACCTTATGGTTAGCGATTTCAGTACGGAGATCTTCGACACGCTTAGAGGTAGTTACGACAGCAGACTTGAGAGCTTCGGTGGTCGCATCCAATTCTGCAAGTTCCGCTGTGACACGCTTCAAATGGTCTCTCGGGGATTCTGCATCGTCAACTTTTAACACTGCCGTATCACACGCCTCCTTGACCTGACGACTTCGGTCCCGCCATTCTTGCCACTAAATTCAAAATATCACATGTAAAAGTATTTTGGGACAGTTAACCTTAATTTCGGAAATGAATTGCCAGACTAGACTAGAGGGCGAATAATTGACTGTCGATGTTCACCCATGCGCAAGAGACCCCTGTCATGAATCGCCTCACGGATCGCCTGCATTAATGTATTCGTACACAATAAATACGAAGCTTTTGTTCAACGCGTGGTAGAGAGCAATTTTTATGTACGTATAATGCTATTTAAGATATAGCTAACCAATGAGGTTTAAAAGGTTGAGCACTGGAGACGTACATAGATACGACATGATAAAATTATCTCTTCAAATGTATGTACTCATTATGATGGTGGGCCAAAAATTTCCGCCACAAAAACGCGCACACACAGTGCCCATTGCAAGGCTAAATGTCCTGAAAACACAAAACTCCATGATTTATTATATTTTTTTCGCGCAAGAAATCAGTTGCGTCCACATGCACCACATTTTCGTCTGTTATGGTGGCACATGCCCGCTGCAATGCCAACTGAGGTGCACATACCCACTAGGTTTGTGCAGATTTCACTCAAGACAAAATCCACTCGGTACCTAAACTGTATTCCTACCCAGTTTAGTGACAACAGCTTGCTGTTTAAGTAGCCAGAAGTACCTGCTAAGGGGCCGTAGAATTGCGAAGGGGCATAAGTGAGTGTGCACTGATAACGACGGCCCATAAAGTGGAGACCAAATTTCCCATGAGAAGCTTGCAAATTCGGATTGAAGGAAAACCGTGACAGTAGTGAGCTCCCTATTTTGTATCCTAAGTGTTTATTTCTATCATAGCCGGTCATTATAGGTAAAAAATGAAATTCAACCCGCTTAAATGAATTTTGAAGCATTATCGGGTTCAGACTAATGAGACAGCAAGCGCTATCACTGAATAAATTTCCTATCATGTGATCAATATTTTGCAAAAAAAATTCAATTTTTTTCGATTCAGACATGGCTTACTAATAAATATCAGTCCGGATGGAGGTTTAAAAATGTACATCTTTTCTTTGTGGAAACAGAATATGGTGAAACCCAGAGGAATAAGCTACATATTGATGCATAAAAGGATGCAAATCCTAATTTTGACGGACGTTTTTTCCCATCTCAAAGCACAGACAAGACTGGTAAGCCATTTATTCCTAGTATAAAGGCGGAACAGTGCATAAGTTTTTTTTAGGAAAATAGCAATCCTTTGCAATAAGCATATCATTGGCATATTATGTATTAGCACACAAACAACAGCTCGAGTGTGGCATTGCAAAAAACAACGAGATTAAGGAATAAAACGATTTTTAACCAAATATCATGTGCTATCAGGATGTTTTTTGGTACAGGTGAGAAGTCGTTCAGTCCATTTCTAATTGTTTAAGCCCAGCTCATGAACACGTTGATGTTTTAAATGACAACATGGATTGTAAACAGTATTTTTGTCAAAGACTCTGTGGTGTAATGCTTAAAGCATTTTACTAGACACTTCCACAAAATCTACTTAAAAGACGATGAAAAATAAATTCCTTCTCATATTCTGAGTAAAAAACTATTCCATATCACCATCTGCTCACCTCTTTCGATGAAACCGCTACAACTCCCACAGAAAGATAACCAAAGCCTACACTTTGAGCGATTACGAAAATAATGTGATTAAGGAGAATATTTATTCTGACCAATTCATAAATTTATGTCAAATCTCAAAAAGCTCAGTTTCAAAGTAGCTGCATGACAAGTTGAGCTCATAATGGGCTAACAGCGCAATAGCTTATCGCCTGTGAATGAAAAAAGGCCTTTGTTTGCCCAAGTTTGAATCAAGCTTTTGCTAAATGTACGAGCTCGGTATGACCACAGAAAACGTGCAATTCGGCTTGAAACTTGAACTCACCTCGGCTGACGCAATCGCCACTTTGTCACTCCCCTCCTTAGTCACCCTCTGTTTATCATTCTCGGCCGTAAGGAGCGCTGCTTTACAAATTGGCAGCTGTCCACTCAGATCCTCCAGTTTACCAGTGATACGAGTTCCCACGGACGTCAAGCGCTCAAGCTCTGTGTTCAGACTGGTCACTGCTTGGAACTCCTTTTCCAGCTGAAATAAATCCATAGATTTCGAGCACTACATGCACATTCTCAATCGTATAGGGCGAAACCAAGTGCTGCAATTTGGGTTTTAACGGCTACTTCATACGTACCATAAAACAGTAGAAAAGGCTGGCAAATCGGTTAATCATCATCTTAGTTCTTTTCGGTTTTGTCCATGGCTTTGATAATCTTTTCAAAACGACCATTCTACGCATCTTTTGCGCAATTTCTCAAAGTAATGGGATAATCTTGGTAGGGAATTTATCTTGATTTAGCGTAATCCTTCAAGCCGCTAACCAGGCAAAAAATAATCTGTGGCTTTTCAGAAGGACGATTTATTGTCTGGATAATACTGGAAATTTTTGGTAAGATTAACAGTATTATTGGCTTATTCACAACTAGTCGTACACTTGAGACTTATTAAAATAGTTGCTAAAAGTTGGTACCAAACCGACTCGGCTCAAGTTGTCAACCAGTAAACCCTATGAACCATATGGTACATGAGGATTCAAATCACCTTAATAGAGCATTTTAGTCTTACCTTGAGAAGGGCACTCCTCAATTCATTCTCTTCATCTGTTGCCTTCTGACGTTTCGCTAAGTCCTGATCCAGTTTCTTGCGATAATCATTAATAGCTGTTGAAAGGAGATTGCTATTTGACTTAGAGTTGCGAAAAGCTGAATTTAAAAGTTACCATTTGGCACGCAACGAATCCCGTTCTTCTTGAAGTTCTGCAACAGGTCTCAATGCTAAAAGGAGAAATATTGGTAGGTTTGCCAAAATTACGCGCCAGATGGGGCTCATTTAGACATTACTTGGAATGCTAGTTAATCCGAACGACTAAATAGGAAGAGAGTTTATAATTGAGCGCAAATATGAAGAAGAAATACGAAATTATTGTATAAAATAACACAAAGGTCACAGACATCCATAATTATGCTACTAGATAGAAATCTGTCAAATAAAAACCAAAAAGAGCAATATTAATAAATCCCTCACTTGTATTTTCATCCACAGGCGTAAGAGAGGTCAGAGAGCGATTCAAATTAGCAATCTCTTTCTCAGTTTTTTCGATGACGGCCATGTCACCTTGCAACGATCTTGCAACTGACTCATCGGCTTGAATAACTTCCAGTTTTGATGTTTCCTTGAAGATAAGGAGTGGAAAACATATATTAAGCGTAAAAATACAAGTTTACATTTGCTATTTCATTTTGCAGCTTCTCAAGGCTCGACTGAGTAGTTTGAACTTCGGCTTTCAGCTCAGGCAGTTCAGTTCCACGTAATTTGGCAAACTAGTGGGGTGCACATTGAAGATAAGATCGCAAAATACTTTATTTATCTCTGGTTTCAACTGAATGAATGTCTCGTACTGGATAATCATCTCTTGAAGCTCCTTTCTTTTAGTGTCCAAATCGCGAGGCATGGTGGCAATGCGTTTCTCGATCTGAAAACATCAAAATACGACGTGAGGCTGCAGACACAACAATTTTTGCGAAATGAAAAAGTGGATGCTTCTTCACCTCTTCCTCTAAATCCTGGTGATCCTGCTCATTTTCAAAGCCTCGGTGACACAGAGGGCATACTGACTCATTGACGAGGCGATCTCGAAACTTCTTCCACAGGTGCAAGCCCCCTTCTTCAATCTCACAGTCACTGTAAAAAGATGCGCACAAAATAATAATCCTTATAATTCTTTCATTAAATGCCACACGTATCAGGACAAATCTACCTTAAAATAAAGAAATTCGCAAATAAAGCACACTCGACTTTTGACCCACAGGAAACTCATGAGAAGTACATGCAAATTACTAGCATTAGGTTGAAAACGAAAAATAGTTACACGAAAGAAATGGGAAACTATTTATAAATGTATATTTGATGATCTTATAAAGATTGGAAAGATTGTCTAGCTTACGCTACATTGAAGGTCCATTACTGCATTTATTCAAAATAGTTTTCCTTCGTTAAGAAAGCAAAAGCACTCACCGTTCGAGTTGTTTTTTCCTTGACATCAAATTGTCTAATTTGTGCTCCAAATCTACGCTGCCACAAGCGGAGATGAGACGTTCTTCCATCACCCTTAAAGTGTCCTCCTTCTCATGCAGCTGTTTCCTAGGAAAGCAAACGCCGAGTGAGATCAAATCACGAGAGCCAAGTATCGTAGCTGCCCAAAAGCACCTTTGAAATGACATTACTGTTTCCATTTTGGAGAGATCCCGGTGTAACATGTTAAGATTCTGTTGGGTGGCCTTAGAGGAACGTGCCAATTCATCGAATCGCTTGTTAAATGCCTTTGTGAGGCTATTCGAGGTCTGACTTCCATCAACGCGGACTGGAGGAATGGGTTCGCCGGTAAAAATTTGCTCCAGTAGATCCAAATTACGATTTCGACTGAGAAACAAAAGGTAGGTAATCAGTCATTGTAAACGGGAAAAGAGGACTAGTTTATTAGTGAACTAGACTCACAGCTTCTTGGCCGTTTCAATGGCGGCTTTCTTGCTACTTTCTAACATGGAGCGTTCGTGGTTTGCCATTGCACTTTTTTGCGCCTCGACAATTTGATTGCTTGAGATTAGAAAATTTGATTTACAGGCAATGCAAAATAGTCACTTACTCTAGATTTGTTATTTGACTTTCACAGGAACTAAGCTCGGCCTGTGTTCCCTCTATTGACTTTCTTATTTGAGCTTCATCCCTGGAGGACTCCAACAATTCACGGGTTTCCACCTAATAAAAGTAACACGAAAATATTTATGCACTGACTCGACAAAACCTGAGCATGAATTTGAAACAAGGCAAAACAGACACAGATGCTAATAAAAATGTTTCTTCGACAAAAAGGTATTCATCAGTGAAAGGGATCTCAGTGGTTGCAATATTACCCATTTTCCCTACCATCAGGCCAGCGATCAGATTAACCGTGAGGAATTATGCTCGAAATGCAAATTAATTTTACTCAAATTCTATCAGTAGCATGTTATTTTAAACGCGTCCAGTAGTACGCATATACTAGCATGTTTACTCTTTCCACCTTTCACAATATATTTCATTACCATTTAGTAAAAATGGCAAAGTTGGATAAAATTATTACTAATAATGTGACACGGAGAGGATACTAGCATAACGAAATACGAAACCCCAAATCTGCATGAAACCTCATGAAAGCATACAAACATCACGATTTGTTTGACAGCACCCAATGACTAAATTTATCAATATTTTTAGGTTGAACGCCTATCTCGCATGAATAGACACAACAAATCCCCTAGCGAACTCACAGCTTTGGCCAATTTGTTGTTAATTCTCTCTAATTCACCGCCTGCGGACTTAGCCTGTCGTAGCTTGAGTTCAACCTCCGCCATCTCCTTTACATTATCTGCCTAAAAACACAATTTTATTATAAGGCTTCCATTAAAACTAAGGGAGGTAGAAATTAACTACTCACCAAGGCTGATTCTTGACTAGCGATAGACTGCTCAACACGGACCAAAGCCGAGCGCGCCTCATCAATGACCTTCTGAGCCCTTCTGCTATCGGATTCTACAGATAACTAGAATGAAAAAGACATCGAACAGTGAATTTGTGGTGTTAAGTGGTCCATTTAATCAAGTACTTACCTTTGTCGTCTCCATTTGGGACTCAGCCCTCTGCAGGGCAGCCTCCAAATACTTTCGCACGGTTTCAACATCGGCATCAGCCATATTGTCAGTGTTGGATAGTTTCTTGGTGACTTCTGAAAAAATTGATATTACATAATTGGTTGAGATGATTAAAGGTGAATGTTAAATTGACGATGGAATACTCACCGTGGATATTAAACTTAACACACAGCTCTCCCAAAATCTCATTTCGTCTCTTCAGAGCCTCCTCTTGTCGCTGTGAAAATGAACGAATCTCGTTATTTCCAAGCTGCACAGTTAAAAGTGCCTTCATCTCTAGATAAGGCTACATTTATCTTGAGAGTGTTAGCAATGTCAGCCATTTTTACCTGATGTCCTTTTCTTTAATTTCACTCAATTTGATGCGGCGAGGTTGTAGTTTACAACAGTATTTTCACTCATAAAACCACCTCTTCAGATTTGTATATTTTTTCATCAAACACAATCCCCTTTCGCTGGCCAAGATCTCAAGAAAATTGACACCACCAATTGCACTAGTGTACAAACCAATTCAAATGTCGCCCAAAAAAATGGGGAAACGTAACGACCCAACGTTGGACTAATCCAATATGACATCAGCCGTAACTTATTCTTGTCGATTGCTTTCATAACATTCTACAAGAATGCAATCATCCTTGGAGTACAAAAAGCAAACCAGTTGTGGGATGATTTGTACAACAATTTATCATAAATTAACGGGGACGCGTGTCACATATTTGTGACACCATAGACAGGTAAGAAAATGGAGGCGTCGAATGTATGCAATGCTGGCAGCGAACGTGTTGCATAATGCTGCGGACTATAATTTCAAAGAAGTGAAACCTTCTCTCAAGCACGAGGCCATACTTTTTCAAAACCGCACCTGCTGACATTGTAATGAGACTGAATTGATAAAAAAGTGGAAGCCTAGCAGAAGCACTCCTGCATATCTGCTTGATAACCAACCTTTACTTCTATATCCAACTGCGTTCTCTGAACGATTAGGTCTGACCTATTTTTTTCGTTGGTATGAATTGATGTTTGAAGCTGACGCAGATCCCGTTCAGCTGCTGCGAAGGATAGATGCTTCTCATCTAAACGTTCGTCAGCCTGCTCGATTGCATCCTTCAACTCCTCATCCGTTCCTTTAAAGCGAAAAAAAGTTGACTGCAGTCTCCATGTTTTGGAGGCGCACAAGCGTTTATGGATCTGGTTCAAAAAGACGAATACACTTTCCTAACCATTGTAAAGGTGATAAGAGACCTAGTTCCACTAAAAAGGTATTTTAGCAAAATATTTAGAAATAAGCAGATTGCTTCGGCACATACTTGTGTTTTAAGCATGTAAAATTTGAAAAGGGTCCAGCAAAAATGTTTGGAAATGTTAATAATTGTAATTGTGGGAAGCACCATTTTGGCTCTAGGCTGTTTTAAATAACAAAACCAACCGCTTATTTAAATTATTCCAGAATCTATGATAATTAAGAAGACTATAACTAGTCTAGTCCTGTTCAGGATGATCAACAAGACTCTACCCTCAAACTCCGAGGTGATTTGTTCTGTTAAATCTCGGAGTATTGCCTCCAAACGTGTTTTCTCGACAGCACATGCGCCTAAAACGAAAATACTGACTGTACTATCTCTCAATCTCTCAAAACTATAAAGCCCATATGAGCAACAAAGGCATCTCAGAAATGGCATACGTGCATCTGCTTGGTACTGGACCAATTCCTTGTACTTCTTCCGGTACAAAGTTAGCTGGGTCTAAATGATGCGACGAAATTAGCCACCGCATTTAAATATCCTAAGTTATCGAGAGACGAAAAACACTTACATTCACCGGATCTAGTTCCTCATCGACTTTCGAGAGAATTTGTTTTTGCTCATCTAGAGCCCGTTTCGTATCAATTCTCTGACACTTTGTCTGCATTAATTGAAACAATCAATTTGGTACAAGAATGTGTCATAGATGAGAGGTCCAGTTATAACCCAATTATATAGCTTATTTGAAAAGTTTTGCGGAATGATTAACCTGAATAGCCTCTTCTTTAGAGCGACTGAGGTGCTTTAGTTCACCTCGATAAATTTTCGCATTTGTCTCCTAAAATGGAGAAGAATATAGTAACAAATGTAAATGTGCGATCAAAATTAAATTAATAAGGGCACTCGCCTCTTCAAGCCTAGACTTTCGGATGGCATCGAGAGCCTTGACGTAACGAGAAGAAGCAAAGAGATCATCAAACCGCTCTTTCACAGCTTTTGCCTCGTGTAAGGGCCTAGATACTTGTTTCATAAAGTTTCTTACCAATTTGATTCCTCCTGATGGCAGAATATTACATTATCGAAAACAGCCTTGCATGCCCCTAAACTTGTCAACATCTGAAAGTGAAGCTGGTGATGATAAGCACGCCAACGATACGGAGAGTCGAAAACGCTTGTTACAGAAAGCAGACTAGGATTTCTTGGTTAGCCGCAAAGTTACAACGGCACTGATAAGATAGCGTTTTAATGCCTAAGTTCATTTAGAATAATACAGAAATTCAAGGAGTTCATAAAATCCAAAATCCGATTCCAATAATTGGCCGAAACTTTAATGATGTGGAGTTAAAGGTAGAGTTAAAGCAAGATTATCAAACTTAGAGCACTGGTTTGTTTACTCAATGATAACCCAGAGCATTATAAGCACGCATTTTTTTCAATAATGAAGTAAAAGTTACCTCCCTATCGATCTCGCCGCAACGATAGCTATGGCTGACCACATCACCTGTTGGAGACAGTCTTTTAATGGTCCCATCCAAAGTCTTCAGGCTCGGCTGTTTAGCCTACGGTGGAAAGCGTCCAAAAAATTATCTTCAATTAACAAATTTTTAAACTTGCAGGCAGACAATAATTGTCCATTTCTTCTGCATAATAATAAGTAGTACGCATGCTCCCTATTCCAATTACTTGAAAATGTGAATACTATCCGATCCAAACATTAGTTTTTAATCAGAATAAGGAAAATGCGCTATCATGAGGCTTTTCGTGCATAACTAATAAAGTAGACAGCCAATAAACTTCAACAGTAGCAGTAAACGCTTATGTTAAGTAAAATCAGTTGCACTGCAAAAAGGTAGCAAACATTAAATCACCTTGCACAAAAATGAGGAAATGCATGGATAAATAAAGGCATAAGACCCATAAATGACCCCTTTTATCTGTGAGTAAATTCTAGTTACCCACCTCCCAAAATCTGTGGATTTCAAATCAGGAGATAAGAACCTGCTAGTTAGTAAAAAATTGCAACCATTTAATTCATATTCTGTAATTATAGCGTCGGTAAAAATATATTTTGAACCACAAGCCATTTAAAAATTAAAGTAAGACAAGTTCATTCAGTAAATAATCCGAGTTGGTCATACCGTTCCACGTTGGGTAGCGACCAGACTGCGAGCAACAACGAGAGGGCAGTTTTTAACGTCTCTTAATTTGAGCGCTACTTTGGCTTTAACCTCAGCCGAGTGTGCCAACTGAAATGAACAGAGAATAGCAAGCGTCAGACACAAGAGTAGTAAGAATTTATAAACAACCCGACCCCGTGGCACTCACTTTTGGGTCGTGAATAAATGATGCACCAGTTTTTGAACCAGGTGGCAATTCTCCAGTAACTGCATACCTGAGGCACTCAATAATTGTCTGGATCCGATAAGTACAGATCTAAACACAAAAGCTAACCGTCTTTCCCGTGCCATTGGGACCCAAAATTAGAGTAACGGGGGTTGAGAACTTGATCCTCTGTGGATTTTCAGGCCCAAAGCTCCTGATACCCTGTATGCATACCTCCTCCAGCAAAGACATTTCAAAATGAGTTTGAAGAAACTAAATGATTTTGGAATAAAAATAACGCAAAGAAAGGTAAAGTAGAAAGGCATGGCAGATGGGTGGCTCCAAAAATGCGAAAAAAAAACTTAAAACCTAGATGCATGAGATCGCTAAAGTATAAGATAAAATAAACCACTAAATTTGCGAAATTTTAGCACTTTGATTAGCGGTTGTAAGAATTTCACCAATCAAAACTAGTGAATTCCGGTCAAAAAAAGGTCACCTATAAGAAAGCACCCATTAGTGTATTCTCGTAAGTTTTCTAAGAGGTTAACTACAGCGGTAAAATGAAGAGAAAAGAGCAGAACTGGTCAAGAGGGTTGCAGTGTTTAGCACAATTTGCCTAACCGCACATAAGTAAATTTCAGACTTTAACAGCTTGACAGCAACATACAAGGAGTCGCAGTTCATGTGACGATACCTTGCTTTATGTTTTTTCCGGTAAATGATATTTTCAGAGGAGTTTCAGTGGTGAAGGACCGCCAATACGTCAACAATGAGAATGCTCACAAATACTCACACACAAACTTCCTTTGACGCGCTGACATCTGCCCTTGAAAAACGATTTGTGGTGTACTAAAAGTATCTATACTATTTATATTACACAGATTGTAAACCAAAGTTTTCCTGCAATTTCCCATTGTTTAACTTTTGCTTATAATTAACGTTGTGCAAACAATGGACAGGCTGCAAATAAAAGGCCACTATTCTCGAAAAACAGTGAGATTGTTCTCAAAAACATTAATATTAGGTTTATCAAAAAATACTATTATAGGTAGCAAAAGTCCATCAGTTTGTTTGCCTAAAAAAAGCTTTTTCCAGATCTCTTATTTGAATGTCTGCGCAACTATTTACATCAGCCATCTAACCCTAAAAGTTTATGCTTTTACTGTAGCGTCCCGAGACTCCCTGAAGACAAAAGAAAACAAAATACTCGAGCAGGATATATATTTAGCACAGAGAAGGTGTCTGGGCTATTGGCATGGCCCAAAAGCCAGCCCACCAAGGGAGGTACAAGGGGGCCAATTCAAAGTACAAAAAGTGGCGCCTTGCCAATACCGAGGGATAAACCACTGTCTTATTACATAGCCTCCTTCCTCTTTTGAGCGTCGTCCCCGACGCTCCCGCAGGTTAACCTCCCGCGTCAGCCATTACAACATAGTCGGTGCTGTAAAGAAACACCAACGATCCCATCGTGCCAGTCACCAAATTAGCGTCCATCTGAGGGGATACTTGACCTCGACGTCACCGATCCCTCTTGGCGGCTTGACCGGATCTAAAGTTTCGTTCGGTTTATGGATTTTATTCAGGTCGTATTACATTTACCTTGTGACCCTTAGCCATAAGTACAACTCCTTGACTGCATATATGGCTGTTCTAAATTGTTCTGCATTGACACGGCTTATTACGTCTTTAGGAATAGCATTTGCTTTAAGCAAGCTCCGTTCAATTAAAGAAAAACCAGGATTTCGTTTGTTGATTACAAATCATAAACACTACCTCTTAAGTTAATTAACAAATCCTATGTCTTGGGTACCGCAAAACCATACCACATTTTACCTCATATAAATAATTTCTATGCTCCCCTAAACAAAACGTCCCTTATCTTACCCCAGTTTGTTTACAAGCCACAGTTTTATGACAGCATAAACATGCAATACAATGGTGGTTTATTCCTCGGTATTAGTGAGGCTTCACTTTTGTACTTTTGAATTAGCCTTCTTGTACCTCGCTAAGTAGGCTGGCCCTCATGCCATGCCGGTAGCCCAGACACCTTCTCTGTGCCGAATATATATATATATATATATTGCCCGAGCATTGTGTCTTCTTTTGTCTTCAGGGAAGTCTCGGTGCGCTACAAACAACTAGCTCCCTGTTTATCTCTTCCTCTCTGGCCTCTAAACTCTTTGAGCAAACAGACTGATCCAGCGAGTCCATGTGTATTAGCTAAATTTTACGTGGACAAATGTGAGTTTTTGCCTTTAAGGAAAGTTTGACGACTCTTCAAGTACGACATTAATGTTTACGTAAAGCTTCTCATCTGAAAGACGCATTTAAACAACGTATGCATTACATACTTATTACCAACGTACAGAATGGATACGAAGAAACTAATGCAACGTCCCAAGACTCCTTTGAAGACGAAAGAAAACAGTACTCGAGCAGAATACATATATTCAGTACAGACAAGGTGTTTAGGCTACTGGCATGGCCGGAAGGCCAACCAACCCACCGAAGTACAAGGAGGCTAATTTAAAGTACAAAGATGGGGACTCACCGATACCGGGGGATAAACCACCATCGTACTACACTAACATATCCAAAGGCTGCGCCAGTGCCATCATGGTTTAATGCGCAGTTAAAATTATTATAAATTCACTGTAGTATATCATGGCCTAAATTCACTACATACCCGGATTTACTGCTGCGTTTTGAAAATCTCTTCAATTTTTAGCTCTTATCACGCTAATCAGGTTCCTCGGCTTACATAGGTTTTACCTTCTTTTAACACCACTGCCCTCCCACCGTGACAAAAACTTCTTAACCTCTCTTGGCGATGGATTCCTCATAATAAAACCGGCTTAAAATTGAAGTCATTTAATTCTGAATGTACACATCAGGTGACATCTGAAACAAGACTATGAAAAATGAAGTCATTTCTATTTACATGGTTAATGCATTATGGAAATCTGTTTAGGTGTTCCCTTGCTGGTTGATCTTTATATTTGATCCGTTACAGTTTTAATATTTTGCAGCCATACGGGCAACAAGCAGGGTTTTCATAATCCTTCGACACGAAATCATAACTTATTTTCTGACAAATCGCATCACTTCTGAAAAGGTCGGCTTTTACTCTTTTAGATCAATTTTCATGTGCCATTTGTTAAACTCTTTGTAATGAAATGCCATAATTAAATATTTAGGTCAACGAATTTCAGTTCAGTGTTTTGTTTAGTTTCCATAATTGATTTGTTTGAATGGTCGAGCACATGCTGAAAGTATTCCCTCACTTTAATGTCGCCCCGAGGTTTGTCAAGTTTGGACTTACGTGCCGGTTGAATGGTCTGTTTTTTGTGACAAAATGTTTTTTTCAGTTTTTAATGGTAGTATTTAGCAACATTACTTCATCAGCTCCTTAATAGACTTCAATGGAATCTCTTATTCTGCCTTCTCGATGCGTATGTAGCCCACCATTGGATCAATTTTTAGATGTCCAGAAGGTGTTTCGGGATGTAACTGGTCACGGTCATCAGTAAAAGTGGTGCAGTCTGTATATAGTTCACCAACTAAATTAATGCATGAATTTTTCATTTGATGCTTACTAGACATCATATAGCTGAGCTTAGAATTGTAGTATTGACCGCTAACCGTTCCAAATGCGTTATGCCTTCGATCACGTGGTGTATTTTCCCAGGACTTAACCGTTAATCGTTTTGGTTGAAATTCAAGCCTCCACATACAAAGCATGAAGACCTGATCCGCATGTCGGTTTTCTTATTTTAGAGAGTTATTCTAGCCATCTTGGACTGCGCTCACATCTGAATGGTCAGGCTACCGGTAATACCTGTTAAATTCGGCTATTACAGTCCTTATTTAGTCTAGGAAACTATTTGGTTCATTCAGCAGGAAGTTTATTTTCATCCTTTTCGTGATCGGAGCTCTAATCTACATATGGCTGCCATACAAAAATTATCCTTTTACCAGTCTTGTTGGAAACGTGGTTACCGCTCCAAAGAAAAATAAAAGCTTGCCTTTTCCGATGCATCAATACCCACTGAACCATGCCTCAATCATCAACGATCTCAAAGATGCAATGCATCATTCGTGGAAGGCCTACGTTGATTACGCCTGGGGGATGGATGAAGTGTTAGTGTTAACCAAGATGGGGACGCGTTGGATGGACGCTGGCCTTACTATGGTAGATTCTCTTGACACTCTCTGGATGTACAAAATGATGGATGAATTTGTCCGTGCTCGTGATTGGATCGAGGCCCATATAAATTTTGGCTATAACAACGATGACACAAACGTTTTCGAGTCGACAATTCGGTTATTGGGCGGGTTATTGAGTGCCTATCACATTTCTGGGGATATTGTATTTTTGAAAAAAGCGGTGCGATTATTTGCTGCGTCATGTCATTTGGCTTTGAACATTGATCGAAGACTTTTTTTCTGATTTAGGAGTTGATTGGGGGGAAGCTTATTGCGGCTTTTAATTCACCTTCTGGTTTACCGTATACAAATATCAATTTTCAAACACTTAAAGCATCTCTCCCAAGTAATAGGAGGACGGTTTCACTTTCGGAGGTGGCCACACTCCAACTAGAATTCAATGAACTCGCAATACTTTTGCGTGACAGAAGCATTGCTGTAAGCATTTCTTCTAAGTACTCTGCAAGTTTATGCTTGAGTGATCGGTGTGCAGCCATGAGTGTCACTATTCTGGAGCTAACATCTTGTAAATAAGTTGATAAGGTACATAAACAGGTCTACCATGCGCATATTCCGGTCTGGTGTTCGGGATGGCTACGTTACTCGTATTCCTGTGCTATTCCACTCATTTAGGCACGTGAGCAAGAGTAGGGTGTTACATCATTCATCATAGCCTGTGAGTCACTTGGGTGAAGAGATATCCGTTGTATCAGTCCCAAATTCGCTACTTAGTTCAGCATCATCTGTCTTTCACTATGTGCAGCTCACGTGATGTGCAACTGTGGCCGGCGGAAGATGGCCAAACTAGTCCGTCAGCACCACGCTGTAGATTTGTAATGGGTCCTAAACGTCCCGAAAGTGTTTCCCAAGTGACATTTGTCAAGCGATTTGTGTTCATCTTCGGGATTCAGGCGACACGTTCTTGAAACTCCCGGTTTCTTACTAAAGGAGCAAGCTTTGTCGAACTGGCTACACAGGAATCGGATTAGCATATTAGGGGCCTCAGGGTTTTCATCCTCATTGTTAAGTACACAATTGCATAAAACCGCTATCATTGTGTGTATTTTAGAGACCAGCAGCAGGTGTTTACAAAATACTGAATGAAGTGAGTAAGCTGTCTGGCCTCCTCCCTATCGAAATAAACATGTATCGGCCTGCGCATTCGTCAGTGGGCACCATTACCCTGGGTGCACGAGGCGACAGCTACTATGAGTACCTCCTAAAGGTATGTCGATTTTCGTCTATTTCTACCAGATCCATTGCCGTTCTGATTTTTAGTTAACAAAGAGACTTTTTGAAAGTTTTTGCAGTACATACGGCAACCATAAAGCAAGTTTAGGAAGATATTGCCTGTTTTGTGCATCGTTCTGGATGCATCATTTTAGGAGCCCTTTTGGAGTTGGTCTAGTTGATTAGTTCCATCAGATACCAGCCAGAATTGTTTTTGCGACCGGAGAACAGTTGGAGCTTTTCTAAACAACAAAGGTTCGCGTGAGGGACGTTCGCGCCTTGACAAATATTCGTGTTACTTTTTATCTCTACTTTGTCTTCAGTGGTTCTAATGTTAAGATGCACTTAATTTCCGCAATCTGCTTCAATCTAGGAGAAATTGTTCTGAATTTTTCTGAGAAATTGATCGCTATTTGACGATTGCTTAGAATCATTGTATCACCATTTTATTTTCCAAATTGCTAGAATACTTTTATTAATCTTTGCACTAACTAGAAAGTGTGCTTCACGTATTATCTTATGCTCTGTTCTTTACTGTCTGGCTGTGCATTGCTCATTTGTAGTTGCTTTGAGATTAGATCTGTTAGAGGTGGTGAATTCTCTACGTCTTGTAATTTTAATGCCTCTATTTACTTTCCAGTTGCCGTCAAAGCAGTTGTAGATACCATCGGTAACTTCTTAAGGCATTCTTGTAACTAGGTTTATGCTGGCAGTACTTATATGGTTTCTGTGTTCAACCTCTATCTGATTTTAGTTACATTTAATACGTACATGTTGCATATTATTATCTGTTGCAATGGGTATACTTAAGCAGTTATACCTTTAATTGTAGAAGACTCTGGATGAAGCGTACCGTTTCTCATCATATTTTTTTTCCGCACATTCTTTGTGATGGCACTTTACCATACGTCTCCGGAACTGTTTTGTAGGAATAAATCCACGAACCATAATGAGGCATGTGGATTAGTTGTAATTCTTAACTATGAGGTCGACTATCGTATTTCCACGTCATACTAGTCAGCGTAAAGTGATTTTAGCGTTTTCCATGTTTTAGAAAAGCTCTCTTCGTATTTAGTCTTTACAAAAAAATTTAATTTGGTGGAGTCTTCGAACTACGTTATTTCAGGCTTGGATAGTTAGCAGTAGATCGCGAAAACTTCCTTTACTATGATTTATTTAGCAAATTAGCATTGGCATTTGAGGGGAGGTGCTCTGAAACTTTTTTTGAGGTGCTCGAGCTCTTAAGGTATGATTTTGCACCCCAGTTTTAATTATTATTCTCTTATGCGCAGGTTTGGGTCCAGACTGGCAAGGTGTCAGAGTGGCTTCGCAATGAGTATATTACCGCTGTCGGAGGTGTGAAGGAAAGGTTGATTCGCCAAAGTGTTCCTAATGGACTGATTTTTGTTGGAGAATTGCACGCATCGGAGTTTTCTACGAAAATGGTAGCCTTGTCTACGATTATTTTTACATGAATTGTTCCGTTAATTGATCGAGGCGTTGAATTCAGCAAACGATTTTACCTTTAGACACGTCCTAGAGCCCCGTATTCCGTAGATGCAGCCACTGTCTATTGCAAAAAATGCAAACAAGGCACAACAACATGCACTGCCGCATTGCACTCTGGCTTAATGGGTTACTTTGTGTTATCCCATCCACTACATAGTTAAGTGATGTGCTTTCCTTCTGGTCGGTTCGAGAGTTATGTATACTCTCGTGGATTAGGCTCGTTGAGCGATCTAAATGGGGGCACATGGGCTTACTCAGAATGAAATTAGACAATTTTCATTACACTTTTGCGTAAATTTGAATGCATAGCTCTCGACCCATCTCAGTCTACCCCACCAATCTCTTTCTAAATAAATCATGGCTACTGAAGTGCCATTTGAACGGCCACGTGCTAGTATTGTTGTTCTCGGCAGTATTTGCACTTATAGGGTTTCAAACTTTTATCATATTTGTGCGGTTTTCTGTCTGGGCAAGCTAAATTGTCGTTATAATTGATAAGCTCGAGTATAGTCCACGAATTTGTCTCTCTGTGCATCCACACGATCCTCTTCTTGGGCAGCAATCACGCACCCCTTGAGAAGCCTAGTGCTTATTTTGTACAGACATTTACCATTATATGCACTCACTTTATGCTCACGTTTCAAAGGATCATCTGGTATGCTTCCTGCCTGCTACTCTGGCTTACGGGTATCTTCACGGAATGCCAGAGGAGCATCTGCATTTGGCCGAGAGTCTGATGGAGACGTGCTTTCATCTCTACAAAGATACTCAAACCGGTCTGAGCGCGGAACTTGTGTACTTTAATCTGGCTAACTTTGATCGACCCGATTTCTATATCAAGGCAAGTTCTTGCGGTTGGATCTTGTTGGTGATTTAAGGTTTACCTTTTGCTCATTCGCTATAGCAGTTCTACTAACTATTCTTTAAATTCATGTAATGAATTTCACTGTATAGCCAGCGGCTCAAATGACTGTTTTTCGCATAGTTGAGCTATGGGACGTTCTTATATGCATACTTGGGTGATTTATTGTCTCCATGGTGTAATGGGTGTTATATCATTGATTTGGGTTCTTCGTGAGTGTCAATTCCACAGTTGGTTTACCTTATTAGGGGATATTACTATTCAACTTTTTGCCCTTGGGCTCACAATTGAGGTTTCAATTTATTCTTAACAATGAATCCTTACGTGAAATTTAAGTGATTGCGCTCTCTGGGTATTTTTGCCTTCAGTGTTTTGAATTCATACCGAAGGTATTCATTAAAATTTTCACGCTAGCGTTAATTTTATACCTATAGGGGTGGTCGGCTAAATAGGCTGTATAGGTATTCTTTTCGCCATAAATATTAATACGATAGACGTTGTAACGCAATGTTTACAATTTGCATTCAAAAGCTCGTTCCCTGGTGTTCTCTTCCAGCACATGTATCTATCCTTATTTACGGAGTGTGTTCTTTTGATTTTGACCATTTCCAGCGATCAGATGCGTTCAATTTGCTTCGTCCCGAAACAGTAGAGTCCCTCTTCTACCTCTATCGCATTACCAAAAATCCCAAATACCAGGAATGGGGGCTGGCGATATTCCGCGCTTTCAATGCCTCTTGTCGTATCACTCCAGCAGGTTTTGCACCAATCCAGGATGTCCAGTCCTCTGTCCCCCATCACAGAGACAAGATGGAGTCCTTTTGGACTGCAGAGACCCTTAAGTACCTCCTCCTTCTCTTTGACGAGCAACTTGCGGCCAAGTTTGACCTGACTGAGTGGGTCTTTAACACTGAGGCGCACCCATTCCCCCTATCTAAAGCAGATGCCCTTAGCGTAATTCAGGATTTGTACAATTTTAACCTTTAATGCTTTATTTTTGCGTGATAAGGTAAATGTTGGTGCATTCTTTGAATCGCTCCGGCTAACGGTCATTGTTCTGCACTTCCCTCTCTATGAGGTTGTGATAACATTTGTCTGTTTGTTCATATTTTATTTGCGTTTTATAAAAGTCCTTATTTTTTATTCGCCTTTTATGAATTAAATAGTCACTGGCAGACCATGTAACTCTGTTGGTCATTAGTGCCCGCATATTTTTGCCCTCATTTTCACCGAACTAACGATGGATAATTTGAAGTGATTTAAACTTGCAACCAAAATCGACTAAATTTTCTGTTAATATTCGAATTTTATCGTGCCGAGACTTCCCTGAAGACGAAAGAAAGCGTAACGCCAGGGCAGAATACATGTTGTCCGTGTGCTGGCTACTAGCACCACAAGAGTCCATTCCGCCCAGCGGAAGTACAAAGGCGGAGCCTTAAGTGCCCGCGAAATCAAAACGAAGAGTTAAACAAATAGCCAACGTACTACAGAGCCTCTCTTTTTTTGAACGTAGTTCTCGGTGCTCCTCTTGCTCATCGCAATGTAATTGGTGCTGTAAGAGCTGCCTCCATGAGCCAACCGCGTCAGTTTTTGATTTTGCGTGTAACTGAGAAGATAGTTAACTGCAACGTCACTGCTCCTTCTTAAAGATTCTACTAGATCTGAGGTTTCATTCAGTTTGGGAACTATTTTGGCAGAGGGGGAATGTGTTGTCTATTTAATATGTCCATCGCTAGTCGTAGGACCATTGGCCTAAAAGCAGCATCAACTAATAAGGAACGTGGGTTAAACACTTTCGTGGGAAAGAGGTTTCGTATCTGTTTTCCCTTGCCGTATATCTACCTGGGTTCTGTTCAGTCAGTGTTGGGGTGGGGAAGGTATCGCGTGTTCACTTCATGATATCCTACGGGTACGGAGGTCACCCGCTAATGAACTTTGTCAGATGGTTCATGGCTGGT